TACTATAGGGTTAGAAACAATAAGTTAATAGATTGCTAAGTCCCGCTATCGTAATTAGGTCGCCTCGATAGGCTATTAGTAGGGTTACTTACGCCTAGCCGATATAATATATTAAAATCAAACCTAGCGAGGTAGACGGCCTATCTAGCTACCTCCGTTCAGGCCTTTGTACATTAAGGATTACGTTGCGCGGTGGTGAATTGGTCAGATTGCACGTAATAGATTTAAATTAGGGCTAGCTTCCGTCTTTCCGAACAACCAATTATACACCACTCTACCTAATCCTTTACCTAAAGGCCTAAAGCCAAACCGCTGATTTTCATCGTAGATTCCGCTATTAAAATACGATCTCGCTACACTAACGACAACTAGCAAATCTAATACGAGGAGGTTGTAGCCCTGCTAATTGCGAATTAGAATATCTAAAAATCTCGTGTATGCGACGTGTATACGTAGAATTCGTTATATGCATATGACTTCCGCTTTGAGACTATTCTTGATTAGGTTTAGCGCCATTCGAGATCTCATTCTAGCGAAGCGCCTAAAGCTAAACCGTTCTCGGCGGGTGCAGGTTGCGTTACTACTACTATATTTTATGTCGAATAGGCTGTATAGCTTAACAACTATTAGTCGCAGTATAGTACTTCATAGAGACGGGACCTAGATAATTTAGCGATTAAGAACATCCGCTATTTTAATAAGCTAGTCGCTTTAGAAATGCTAAAGTTATTATCGATAAACGTAAATTGCTGCTCTCGACTAACTCGTTTGCCTACCCCTATATGCTTTACGAGCAAACAAACGACGCCCTTCTACGTTAACGAAGTGCAGGGGGTCCACCTTTCTAGTGCCCTCTACAACCTCCGCGTATCCATCTACTATGTAATTCAGTCGCACACTCGCCTCGACTTAGTAGGGCAAACCAACCCTTTAGCCTCTAATATCTAGAACTTCAACCTATAGCCTAATCTCGACAAACCTAATACGTAGTAGCAAACTTTAAGTGTTCCGCAAGCTCCGCCGCCTATTAAAGTGCGCTAAATCGATAGTCCAATTTAGACCTTACCGCCGCCGGAGAAAGCTATCTAAGCTATATCCTATACGATCAAACACCCGATCCGCATCCGATTAACGACACCGAGGCCGCTAAAGCGAATCGCCGCTAATCGAGAAGTTCGACTCGAGGTCTATCTAGCATCTAGCATCTAGTATCTAGTATTTAGCATAGCTAGCGATAAAGTCCGCCGCAAACAGCGCCTAGCCGAGAAGGCCGCGCGCTAGAAGAAGCAGCAACTCGAGCGTTAAGAACTATATCAAGTACTACTGCTAGGTCGCTCCGCTATTATACGCGTACGTCTAGACTTCGGTATCCCTCCGATGAAGCTGCCTTAACTAAAGTCGGAATAGGCGCGGCACTTTAAGCGGCGTATCGAGAAGATTATAGATCTAGAGACATCCCTCGCGCGTATTTAGGAGTTGGTATAGCAAGTAGGCTAATTTAAGGAGACTGTTTAGTACTAGGCGGAAATCATCGAGAAGGGCTTAACTAAACTCCTCGATTTCAAACATCCTAGTTCGGCATATATCCCTATACCGTTATAGAAGATAGTAATATATGCACTTATCTATAGCTAGAATAATGTCCTATTTATTGCTCGTATAGGCGAGGGAAAGAGTCTACCATTCTAGGGCTTTACAATACTAACCGGTATAATTACTATCTAAGTCGTACTACTGAATCGCTTAGGTACCGAACAAGCAGCAGCGATCGAGCGTATAGCTAGCAACACAAATGGCCTTATATATTTAGTCCATATCTCTACCGAAACTAAGAAGATCGATCTAGGCATATTCAAGAATATCCTCGATAGCAAGATCTAGTATATTCTGCTTAGCCTAGAACAGGCAGCATCACCGCAGTTCCTCTCGTTGCTTAACGACGCGTATATACGAGAGAAGGTCGGTCTTGTTATAATTGACGAGGTATACCTAATCTATAACTAGGGCGAGCCTTCTAGCTTCCGCGACGAATACTCGTAGGTTAGTTAAATGCGCGATCACCTACGCACCGACACTAGCATACTATTAACCTCGGCTACTATAGATAAAGAGTATACTAAGTATGCGATTAAGTATACCGGTATACGCAAGGAAGGACCTAACCTATATAAGACTAAGATTATCCGCAGTAGCATTAATCGCCTAGAGATTACCTATATTATTAAGTTTATTCCGAGAGAGCATCTAACCGACTACGATATATTGTATATAGTAATCGACAATGCCGTATCGTATCCGCCAATTCCTAAGGAGAAGGAGATTACGAAGGGATTAGCAATACTATAGAACATACGCAAGTCCTTAGTATTTATCGACGGCTATAAGTATATCGCTAACTTCGTCGACATCGCCCGTAGCTAGTTACTGTATTTGACTAAGGACAATCCGGACCCTACTAAGAGATATTAGTACGGCGTAGGTCCTAGTATTAATGTCTACCGCACTATCTCCTTCTATACTACAAAGGTACTAAAGCTAGACTAGGATAATCGGTACGATAAGTATTGTAAGCTAGACTCTAATATTCGCTATATAGTAGCAACTACCGCCGCTAGCATTAGTTTAGATGTGCTAGACATTGCAGATATATACTAGTGGAAGTTTAATATAACTCGGAATGCCGGAGACCTTTAGTAGCGACTTAGCCGCATTACGCGGCGATTAGCCCTCCTAAACTTAGAGGGCTTCTTCGATGCACTATACTTCTATCGGCCTCGGGCGTTCTTCTTTGTACTATACTATGCCGGAGATCATATTAAGCGAATGCTAGAAGGCGCTAGTATGCTTTCTATTCTTCTACTAGCATAGATACAGACACAGATACAGATATAGTCGCAGTCGCAGTCGCAGGGCAGCGGTCGTAGTCGTAGTCGTAGCAGAGGCAGAGGTCGTAGTCGTAGTCGTAGTCGTGCACGCGCTACCGGACCTAGTAGACTGCGATAAGAGCTTCCTAGCGAGGATATCGGCGGCGCGAGCGATTAGGATAATGTATATAGCGACACTAAGACAGATACTAGAGATAATACGCCCCGTCGCAAAGGCAAATCTAAGGAGGGTACTTAGAATACGTCTGAGTTAGAGAGCCGAAAGAAGATTCCAAAGATCTTCCTAGGGGCGCTAAACGATTACCTTAAGATCCCTAGTCGCTACTTTCGCGTAGTAATAAACGAGCACTATAGAGAGCATTTAACTTAGTTTCTATATCCGCTAGGCTAGCTAGATCTAAAGGACTGTTGCAACATCTATAATACTAACCTAATAGCTAAGCTACCCGAGCTACCGATAAAGCGTATTAAGCCGGTCAATCTACTAGGTAAAGATACAAGACCTAGCTATACACTCAAACATATTAAGAAGTAGTGCTCGGAGAAGGTCGATACCCTATACCCGCGTAAGAACCGCTTGTTCCGCATACTAGCTAGTATATATATAAAGGACAGACTAATGTAGTCTATATCGGAGGTCTTCCTACTTGCTCGGTTATACGATGCCTAGGAGGATCTGAATCTTAGCACAGATAGGCTATTACAGGTCGCACTAGAACTAAATGATTAGTAATACAAGGATAACCTCGAAGAATTGCTAGCTATTATTATTAGCATTACTAAGCAGGTATATGCTGATTAGGAAGCATATAAATCCGAATAGAAGGCGAAAGAGGAGGCTGCAAAGAAGGCTAAGGAAGATATAGCGGCTGCTATTATAGAGCATTATAACTAGACTATAGGAGGTAAAGGTAGCTCGTCCGAACTACGGCTAGTAGCACCTAGGACCCGAGAGGAAATAGAGGCAGACCTACGCGACCTAAACCAGTCCCTAAGACGCTCTGCCTTTGCGAACACTATCCGCTAGTCTAGTATATAGAATAGTCTTGCTTAGCAGGCTTAGCAGGCTTAGTAGGCTTAGCAGACGACTGCTACCGCGGCACTATCTAACCCTCTATCTAATAGCAACGATGCTACTAGTCCTTCTAATAGTAACGCACTACCCGCTAGGAAGCGTCGTCGTCGTAGTGCTTAACTAGACCCTAGCCAAGCCTAATCTGCTTCTGCTTCTGCTTCTGCTTCTGCTAATCCGGCCGTCGACGAGGAGTACGATATTACCGTAGAAGAAGCAACTAAGCAGTTAATACAAGCTTATATTAGTCGTCGTAGTAGTCGCAATATTCGCATTACTTAGGCTGCTAAGGGTCTATATAGCGAGGGCGCGCGTGCGAGGAGCTTGAGTGCAGCGAGTAGCCGTAGTAGTAGAGTTAACGACGATATCCTGTCCTAGTATCTGCCGAGTAGGTGGTAGAGATTGGCGCTAGCATTAGAATTAGCGCTAGAATTAGCACTAGCACTAGAGATAGCGCTGCAATTGGCGGTGAAATGGCACTAGAAATAGCACTAGAATTAGTACTAGAATTGGCACTAGAATTAGCGCTAGAGATAGCGCTAGAGATAGCACTAGAATTGGCGCTAGAATTGGCATTTAATAAGGTCCTTCCTTACTACCCTTCTATTATATCCTTATAGGCTCGCTAAGTCCTTGTCCTATCCCCGGAAAAGTGAGCCGTAATACTACGCTCGATCGCGTTGCTTCTACGAGTGTAGGCCTAGTTAAGCTGCTTCTACGAGAGCAGGCCTAGTTTAGCTGCTTCTACGAGAGCTAGCCTAGTTCAGCTGCTTCTGCGAGAGCTAGCCTAGTTTAGCTACTTCTGCGAGAGCTAGCCTAGTTTAGCTGCTTCTGCGAGAGCTAGCCTAGTTTAGCTGCTTCTGCGAGAGCTAGCCTAGTTTAGCTGCTTCTACGAGAGCTGGCGTGTAATGCCTAGTTTAGCTGCTTCTGCGAGAGCTAGCGTATAGTAGAGCTAGCGTGTAATGCCTAGTTGAGTTGCTTCTGCGAGAGCAGGCCTAGTTGAGTTGCTTCTACGAGAGCTAGCGCTAGAATTAGCGCTAGAAATGGCGCTGGAAATGGCAGTAGAGTTGGCAGTAGAGTTAGCATTAACAAGATCCGTTATAGCCACCCTTCTATTATGTCCTTGTAAGCTCGCTAAGTCCTTGTCCTTCTGCGAGTGTAGGCCTAGCACTAAGCTATCGCCGCTAACCCTGCCTAGTTTAGCTGCTTCTACGAGAGCCGGCGTATAATATAGGATGCCTAGTTAAGCTACTCCTACGAGAGCCGGCGTGTAATGTAGGATGCCTAGTTGAGTTGCTTCTGCGAGTGCTAGTTAAGCTGCTTCTACGAGAGCTAGTTAAGCTACTTCTGCGAGAGCCGGCGTATAATATAGGATGCCTAGTTGAGTTGCTTCTACAAGTGCTAGTTAAGCTGCTTCTGCGAGTGCTAGCGTATAGTACCTAGTTCAGCTGCTTCTACGAGAGCTAGCGCTAGAATTGGCGCTAGAATTAGCATTTAATAAAGTCCTTCCTTACTACCCTTCTATTATGTCCTTATAAGCTCGCTAAGCAGGTTCTTCTATTATGTCCTTATAGGCTCGCTAAGTAGGCTTTTCTATCGTGTTCTTTGCGATAAGGGTTTATAGATGGTTGTAGGTATAGATAGTCGTAGGTATAGATAGTCGTAGGTATCGATAGCATATAAGAGCTAGGCGAGAAGCGTGAATTCGAGGAAGCGACAAGGATGCCGAGTCCCGCTAAGACCCCGGATTTAGTATAGCAGAGCGCTTAATTGGTAGGATTAAACGTTACAGCTGCTTCCTTCCGCGTATTTACAATACCGACTTTACGACTTTTACAATAGCATTACTAATATAGCGAGATACGTCGATTCAGCGCGTTTCTAGCAAATGGCGCTAACAAAAGTGTCTAACACGATAACGACGGCCGCCTTAGGCACTAATACTAGCGAGAAGTTACTAGCGAGAAGTTACTAGCGAGAAGTTACTAGCGAGACTAGCGAGACTAGCGAGACTAGCGAGACTAGCGAGACTAGCGAGACTAGCACTATACTTATTACACCGTAGCTATTAGCACTACAATATGTACGGCAAGGATAGATACGTAGGGCGATAACATACATCGAGCGCTCGTAAAAGCACCCTTCGAGAAGCTACGACAGCCCTCTTACGTCAACGCCCTCTATTGCTTAGACTCTCCCTAGAACGATCATTCCGATAACTAGTTACTATATAAGGTAGAGAAAACGAATAGTAGCGTCCGGGGATCTAATCAACTAGCGGCACTAAGCGGCTATAGAAGTACATACTCCGAAGCATACTAGCATTATATATAGCCTATATGCTACGCGTAATGCGTAACAATCAACGCATTCTATTACTAACTATAGTACGCGAGGTATGTAGGAAGGGACTTATTAAGCGAAACAATAATAGCTCATTCGCTAAAGCGACACTTATTAGTACCTAGACAACAATAGAGTATAACCGCGCCCTTAGTGTTAGAGACACCGCGAAAAAAAAAGGTTGTCGAGCGCGTTACAGTCGTATAGCAATGTTGATACGCTTGCTAGAAGAGGAGGCGTACTATAGTCGGATAACAGTCTTAATACGCTTTCGATCGGTTCGGTTCGGTGTATACTATAGTCGAATAGCAGTCTTAATACGCAAAGGGCTACAGTCGTATAGTAGTGCTGCAGTCGTGTAGTAGTAAAGACCAAGACTAAGCGCCTTCGGGCTTAATAAGTATACTAGAGGCCCTCACGTAACGACTAAGGTCATTATAACTAACAGTCCTAACGAAGGCGTTACGCCGACTCAACCAGATACGCGTATATTATCCTATAAAGAATCCGAACGTAGGAAGCCTATAGCCGCTACTTAAGGTATACCTTACTAAAGAGTTTTTACCGAGTTAGGCCTAGCCGCTACTCAAGGTATACCTTACTAAAGAGTTTTTACCGAGTCAGACCTGTAGCAATGCTACGAACCTATTAACCTACTTAGTAGGAGAGTCGCTATCGAGCCGCTACTTAAGGTATACCTTACTAAAGAGTTTTTACCGAGTTAGACCGTTAGCCGCATTATAGGTGTACCTTACTAAAGAGTTTTTACCTCCGCTAATCTATCTAAGACCTCTGCAGTTTGCACTACGATGTTCTAACAATAACTATGCTCTTTCGGTTAAATACGCAGTCGACGCCCGCTAAAGCTATAGTATACCTACTCGCTAGGAGAGTCGCCTCGCAACGTCTTGCTTAGCAAAGCCTATCGGAGACCTTAAGAGAAGGACTGAACAAACTCTACCTATCGAGGAACCTTAACTATTAGATAAGCGGCTCTATCGGTAGCAAGCCGTAGAACTAGCAAGGAATAGTGTTGATCGCTATAGAGCTACCTATATGCGACAAAGAGGTATCGATACTATTACATACGCCGACAGCTAGTGTATTGCTAGGGGTATTAGTATATTAGTATATATAGAAGAAGAAGAAGTTGAACTAGGAAGCGTAGGTCTATATTAGCGTATCGCAGGTAAGGTTTGCCTCTACTAATAGGATTGCGCCATTCACGCTACAATAGTAAGGCAATAATAACGGCTATACATTATCGCACTTTCAACGCTATGCCTAAGGCTAGAATTGCTAGCAGTTATCGAAATTACCGGAGGCCTCCTTTAGCATTAGGCGCTCTGAATTCATATAGGAACCAAGTCTAAAGCGAAGCTAATAGCAGAGACCTCTACTCCAACCTACTCCCGACGAGGCACGCACTCTAGTCTACCGCTACTACTTCGCCGCTAGGCACGCACTCTAGTCTACGGAGCTATTAGCTATTAAGCTATCATCGTACGCCTAGCCCGGCTAGCTATTAAGCCATTATCGTACGCCTAGCCTAGCTAGCTATTAAGGCACGCACTCTAGTCTACCGCTACTACTTCGCCGCTAGGCGCGTACAATCTAGAGCTGCTATAGGACAACGACGATATTACAGGCGTTGGTTTAGTGCTTAGACAAGAATAGTCCTACCTTAATACATTAAATATTATGCTCTATGCTCTATGCTCTATACTCTATGCTCTATACTCTATGCTCTGTTCCTTTAAAAGTTACTGCCACCCTTACTACTAAGGCTACCTATGCGTGCGAGGAGACCTATATTAGCTCCTTCTACTCCACCGTTGCTAGCGCTAGCGCCAGTGCCTGTGCCTATACTAGTTAGGTCCTAGGTTTCTACACCCTCGAATAGCTAAGCAGTACTATTTGTAAGCTAAACCTATATATTATCTCGCTCTAGATTAAGTACTGTATCTTCAATTAGACCGTAATCAACACTATCTAGGCGCTTTGCAGCATTAGGACCCTCTAAGGCATTAGATTCTAGCACCGTAGTACGGCCTCGAATGAAGTTCTAGTTAGTAGCGTTAAAGTTCTCGACGACTAATAGTATCTAATCTGCACCGATATTCTAGATATCGTCCGAGAGCGTAAAATCTCCGTACTGCTACTTCGCGAACCTATCGATACGGATCTTATTAGCTCGATTAAATACGCCCGCGCTAATGTCCTTATTAGTATAGTAACTAGTCCGATAGACACTAGAATTCTCCTTAAATATATCGCGGATAAGGCGAGATAACTCTCGGTTTATCGATACTCGCTTAAAGGCAGTAGCAAGTCTATAAGTCGAATTAGTAAGGCGATTATAGTCCTCGGATAGGGCATAGTTAATAAGCTCAATCATCTTATTACTACCGACAGCATAGCCCTTCTTTCTAGACTAATTAACTGTTGCAGTAGCAAGGACCGCCTTCTATAGGTCCTTAGTACTACCCTTATTGAGGAGGAAATAGAAATAGGTTATTAGACGACTATAGTTGCTCTGTCTAGCTCTAAGGAATATAGGGATCGTATAGTCTACGCATCGACGAAGGTGACCGATATCCTATATACGGATAGCATAGCGGACGCGTAGAAACAAAGAGATCTCCTTCATTAGTCTATATATAGATGTAAAGGCCCTATCTAGCCTAGCTAGTGCAGCGCTATTGTCGGTAGAGGCAGGTCGATTAGGCATTCCCTCCTATGCTTCTAGTAATAGGAGTAGCTTATATATCTCCTTTAGGATATCTATATACTCAGTAGCGGACATCTTCTCGACAATAGCCTACTTAACGACCTTAGGCCGGGTCTAGTTACCTTCGCTAACAAGATCCTTAGAGATATAGCTACGGTTAACTATAATCTAGAGGAATACGGCGACGGTGCGGGCCTTAAAGCAACGCTTTAGTAGTCTCTATATACGGAAGAATTTTAGTAACTTTAGATTGACCTCTTTTATACCCTAGAAATCGACATCCGATAATAGAGAGAAGTCTATACGATCGCCGGCCTTGTTCTTGTTCTAATAGGTACGGAATAGTATAAAGTATAGGTTTATAAAGATGTAGAACTAAGCGGGCACTAGAAGGACATGCTACTTCCTATCGTATGCAGCCTTGTTCTCGATACTACTAAAGATTATAGCTAATATACGCTCGATAGTTAGCTGATTACTAACGTTAATAATTAATCTATTATCGAAAATCGGATCCTCTAGCTTTAGACCTAGATTGCCCTAGTAGATATCGTCGTGTACTAAGGCGGTGCCCTTATTCGAGATCTCATTATTCTACGATAGAGGCATAGCTAGTAGCTGAGTCTTACTACGGAAGCTATAGTCAATCTCCGGATATACTAGTTCTTCGACTAGGTTGCCGGTATCCTTCGCTACCTTGAAGATCGTCTTAATCGCGTTACCAAATACATATATACAAGCTTCGTAGAGCTAGTACATTTCGACTGCTATAATAGCATTATTATTGTCGATGTTTTAGATAATGTTCTTAGTTAGGACTAGCTTCGAGCGGTCTAGTATATCCTACGTTAAACTACCCTCTAATATATCCTCGTAGAGGGCGATATACGAGTTAGTAATATTGACCTGTTCATTATTGTCGGCAATGCCTTAGTCCTTCCGCTTTGCCTAGCGATTGAAGTTGTCGTAGCAGATCTACTAGATATACAACTTAGCCCATTCTAAGATCTTCAGCCGCTAAGTATTAGCATTCTTCTTAATTAAGGCTTGTATAGTCTTATACGTAGGAAGCAGACCTATACTATAGAGGGTGTCGATAAGAGGTGCTAGAAGATTGCTAACATATACTAACAGAAGGCTAAGCGACTTTAGCATCTAGGAGGCCCGCTTTAGTGCTATTAAATACACTACTATATACGTAATCGTATAGATACGCTTCTACATTATGTTCCGCTTGTCCTCGAACGACATTGCTCGCTATATAGTATCCTTACGGGTATTTAGCAGTATAAAATCCTCGAGAAGGCGGTACCAATTTAGGGCGATATTATAGATTACATCGTATATCTCGGATAGGCGACGTAGTACGGCAAGACTGTCTTCTAGCTTATACGCATTAAAGAACTTCTTGCTAATTAAGTTCTTAACCTCAGCTCGCAGCTAGATAGCACTAATAAGATGCTTATTAGATAGCATGTCTTGTATAGCCTGCACCCGCTTACGATAGGTCTTAGTGCCCTTATTGCTAAACTATATAAACAACATCTTCTCTATCGGTAATTTAAGCTAAGCAAGGTACTTTATAGCGAGGGCGTACTTCTACTTTAGTGTACGGCGCGGACTACGATTGCTAGTAGGCTCGAGTTCGCCCTCTTCCTCGTCGTTTATCTTATCGAGGCCGCGCTTACTAGAATGCCAAATAGGCTGATCGTTATTATCGGAGGCATTGCTAGTACGGCGCTTACGCTCTAGTTCGCCCTCGCTCTACGGCTCTTTATCTATATTAGCATCCTTATCCTTAGTTAGACTATTATTAACTAGCTAATTATATGTAATGTTGCGATTAGCGGTTCGTAGGCGGCGAGGAGCAGCGCGCTCTTTAGTAGGCTAAAGGCGAGCAGGCTAAAGGCGAGTAGGCTAGCGGCGAGCAGCTAAGCGGTCCTTATCGCCTAGTATGTTCTTAGAGTTATAGTAGTCGCTATAGTACTAGCGCTAGCGGCGGCGATCTTTATCGAGTACTAGACCGGCGAATGCACTAGCGAATGCAGGACCTAGCAGATCGGATAAAGGGCCTAGTATATCGGAAGTCTCTCCTAGTAGCGATAGGTCTTCCGGAGTAGGCATTTCCTTGTCTTTATCGTCTAGTCGAGGCGGCAGGCCGATATCTTCTTCGCTACGACGGTCTAGTTTAGATATTAGTAGCGCTTCTATTAGATAAGAAGAGCTATGCTAATTATCTCCGCTACGACGATTGAGCTCGGAAGTGTTAGCTTAATTAGTCAAGTCGGAGCCGCTTATATTGGTTAGTATCGCGGGTATTAATTAGTATTCGAAATGTCGACTTAAGTAGCTAGCTAAAGTCGCGTCTGCTATTTAGCTATATCTTAACAATGCGGTATCGCACAAGCACGGTATTTATAGCAATATTAGTCGGAAATACTAGATCTACGAGCTCGCGGAGGTTTCGAGTATATTAGGGGTAATAAATCTAGTGCCTTCTAAGCCGCTAGTAAATAGCGTCGCCGGAGTAACGAGAACTTAGCACTACTATACCGTAGGCACTCGAGTGTCTTATTAAAGTAATTGAGAAGTACTCTACGAAGGGCCTCGAGTTAGTTCGGTTAAGATTGAAGGAGGTCGTTACGGCCTCTATTTCCCGCCTCGACGAGAACTCGATAGTAAGAAGTCGCACGTAGTTACTTATAGCAAATAAGTTAGTCGGAAGGCCCTAATTAAGGACCTCTAAGTATTAGGTACGCGAGATTTAGGAGTTGTTGTTTCGGTGTATATTAGGTGCGCTAGCAGCGGATAGCTATAAATAAAGTCGCCTCGCGGGATTTAGTATAACTTAACGTATATACGTCGCATATACGAGATTTTTGGATATTCTAATTCGCAATTAGTAGGGCTATAACCTCCTCGTATTGGATTTGCTAGTTGTCGTTAGTATAGCGAGATCGTATTTTAATAGCGGAATCCACGATGAAAATTAGCGGTTTAGCTTCAGGCCTTTAGGCAAAGGATTAGGTAGAGTAGTGTGTGATTGGTTGTTCGGAAAGACGGAAGCTAGCCCTAATTTAAATCTATCACGTGCAATCTGACCAATTCACCACCGCGCAACGTAATCCTTAATGCACAAAGGCCTGAACGGAGGTAGTGGGCAAGGCCCGGTCTTTTTCGCGGCGAAATTCGACGCAAACGGCCTCGAGTCGAATTGTCACAGGCCGTCAGACGCCGACAACCAGATCCAACCTAGCTCTCGCCAAGCCGACGACGACGACGAACGCCGTGCCTTCTCAGCCTACAAATGCTGAGCGAGTCATCCTCAGCACGCCATCGTGCCTTGCCTTCGGTCCTTTGCCTCAGATGCGACCCTCAGCTACATGCAGCCCTGTGGCGAGATCTTGTGAACGGCGTGGCGTATGCATTGTCCATGTGATTTGTGCCGAGAGAGTCACCGATGATCAGTCCAGACCGCTTAGTACGAAGACGCGCGCTTCCACCGGAAATGCTCCAGCAGCATCGCGTTCGAGACATCACCTCCGTAGCAGCTGCCGTTTCGTCCCTGCTGAAGTTACTTGTAATAATGGCCTCTCACCACTTGTGCAACCAAGTTGCGTCTCCCACAATGCCGCCAGCGATATCGAATTCGACAAAAAATGGCCGCCAACACCTTGAATCTCCTCCATCGTTCACTTATATGGCAGCGTTGAGCGTCCATTTCATTCACTAGCTGAGTATATGCCTTCTACATGTCGTCGGATCCAATGCCGCCGCATCATGAATTCTTGCCCTTCTGCGCTTGTAACGCTCTCCATTTCTCCTCGGGTATCGTAAGACAGTTGATGCCGAGATAATCGCAGATTGCAGTGCAGACCACATACGCCCATCGACCATACACAATCATCGATGCCACGAAGTACGCCCAAAGATAGTATAGCTGAATCTCCGAAGATGCAGGGCTGAAGCCAATATATGGAAGATTCACCATGATGGCCCCACCTACCAAAGGAGCCAACAAGCCTGTCCAGTATGGGAAAGGTTGCCGCGTTAAGTGAGCGAGGATGGTCTTGGTCGTCATGCGACCAAAGACGAACGACAACGTAAGGCAAAGTAGGCACAAATGATTGTCTTGGAGCAATGCGGAGTATGGTGAGCCCAGCCATGCAACAAGAGCTCCACTAAAGACGATCATCGGCGACCACTCCAAGAATACTGGCATAAGCGGAAGATTCTTTGCTCTTCTTGCCCTGACCACATTGATCACGCAGCCCGGCAAGTGAGCTGTGAAGAACGCGATCAAGAGGATCGCAGCCCAAAGATCGACCATGGACATCGAGCCAAGCACTTCCTTCTGTCCCACCACGTCCGCCAACGGCTTGTGCCAAATTTGAGGACCATGAATTCCAGAAAGCAGCATGATTGTTGAAGCCAAGAGTAAGCCTTCTGTTGGCCCGTTGAAGTAGCCGAGATACAGGGTATGTGTATGATACGTCTCCCAGGTCGAGAAGAACATCGGCAAGCAGGGTATGAGGGCTGTCAAAGCACCAATGCGCGTGGGGCCAAGAGCCATTGCAGACACTTCGAGCAGGGATGCCAGAGTGCAGTTCAGCGAGTCAATGCCATGATCAAACAGTTCTCCGAGTCCAGAAGAAGTGCCTGTCCGTCTCGCTTGCTTGCCATCAATATTATCCATAGTCGAGTATGCCCAAACCCCAAAAGCATAACTGTAGTATACCCAAGCATGCTGAGGTCCAGTAAGATCCGGATCCATGAGCTGTTGCAACCCGACGTTCCCAATTACGAAGAGGAATCCAATGAGTGTGACCATATTTGGAGCCAGCCATAACGGTAACCATTCTACGCAGTAATTCCACTACACTCAAACCGTCAATGACACTTCTAGCAACCAGCCAAAAAAATTCGAGGAGACAAGATGATTGTACGTACATAATGTTTCAAAATATAATTCGAAATCGGCGACAGGTCGACGGAAGAGTACTTGTACGTCTTGAAGTGTTTGAGTCCTTCCTCCGAGAGGCTCCCTGATGATGGAGCAGGTCTCTCTGTTATAGCACTTTCATCAGCACCACCGTTTTCCAGCTGCCGACTCGCTTCGAGAATTGCCGACGTACTCTTGTCGGCCATTGTTTTTTTCTTTTTCTTTGGTGCTGTAGGGAGGAAAGAAAATGCCACCGCCCGGAAATTCGCTTTTCTTCGCTATCGTACCACCATACTAGTCAGCTGGAAAAGGAGTGATCGCGTTTCGTTGCACCGCCGAAATTTGATGTGGAACGTGCTTTTGATGAGGTGGTGAGGTTGAAGTAGGAAGGGGGTTTTTGGTGCATGCTTGTGATTGGTTGGGATGGCGGCGAAATTAATCTCCGTGCACGTGAGGTGGGAGCTCTACCTGGTATTCCGCTGTTCTCTTCGACTGTGGCTTTGAAGGAGTACGTACGTACCCGTTGCAAATGCTAGAATGCCACGGTATCACCGAGCTCGATGCTGGGATGGTGATAAGCTGGCAGAGGTAGGCACAAATACTCGCGATTGACGAAATATTAGCACAGCACAGCCATACACAGACATATTAATCATTTCAACTGCAGAAAGAGCACCTCTCACATTCAGCAAAGTAGCATCACCATGTCTCGATTCTTCCCTCACACCCCTTATGCAGAAGAGCAGCCGTACTCACACACGCTCCTCTACAGCCACGTCCTCTATCGTGGCTTCCAAACAGGCACAACACTCGGTCTTGGCTCGGTTGCAATTCAATCTGCATACGGCTGCGTTCGTGGCAGAAGCTCAATAGCACGTGCAGCGATTTTACCTATCACTGGACGATGGGCTCTCGTAACGACGGCGCTCATGGTGCCTGCGACTTATGGAAGAATGTATGGAAGAGAAGAGATAGAGTGGCGGGATCGGTCGTGGCGGCTATTGGAGAATAAAGGACAAGTTGAAACGGATGATTGGTCGCTGATTGGTACTGTGGTTGGAGCGATGGCGGCCTTGCGGCAGAGTACGGTGAAGGTGACGGGAATGCGGAGGGCAATGAGAGTCGCTGGGGGAGCTGGAGTCGGGAGTATGGTCGGCGTGGCAGGTTATATGGCATGGCGGTATGGCGTGCATGGTGGGAAGCGAGAAGGGTGAGGAGACTGGCGAGGAAACGCTGATGGAGCGTCTGGATCATAAATGACCTTCGCAATAATTCATGCGACCTCATGCGCCATGCCTCGAAAGCGGAGAGTTCTGGAGAAGACGCACACGAAAATGTGTTCTGCAAGACCAATTGTGCGTCCAAAGCCAGCCCGAAGATCTTACTTGCAACGGACAGCGTAACCCAAGACCTTTGGCCTCAGCTTTTGTTGACCTTTATATCGACTTGGCAGCACCACATGGTATATTCATTTGCACGACGTCTCGTTGTCGATGAGATGACCGTGACCTGCACCGGGAAATCGAGCAGCGACATTTAGCACCTAGTCACCCACAAGCCATAATGGTCATCCCCAAGCTGACGCTGGCTTGGTAAGGTGCGAAGCAGGACCGCAATTTCTCCTAGATTTGAATCTCTAAGAGATGCAGAGCTCGAAGAAATCGCCTCCAGAGAATCAAAAAGACGTTTGCCTAGATCGCATCACCTTGACCCATGTGCATCACATCCTCGAGCCTTTTCGAAACGAACTCCAACGTTGCACACACAGGCCACAACTGGAGGATCAGCATATTCATCCCCGTCGTCGCCACTCTGATCGCGATCGAAGCATCTCTACCACCCTCCGAGCCAGCCAGGAGTGACCGGATCAGCGAGCGCATGCACGAGGTGTATCAATCAGGCGACAAAAGGTGGGAGCACGAATGCAACGAAGGCCGTTGCTAGTTCAGGAGTCACAGTAAGAACAAGAACGAAACCTTCTACCAGACGGTAAAACGTTCGCTTCACCGAATCTGAGCACCAGACCTACTCATGCTACCTAGAATTCTCGACCTGCATAACCTGAATCCTTCCATCCTCTCTCTCTCTTCCTCCTTGAAAAACGTACTCATTCGCCTTCACATCAAGAATAGCTTTATGAATCCACACAACATAATCGCTCCTTCGTCATCACGGGAACTTCCTGCCCCGTTAAATAAAGCGCTGGGAAGTGTCGAATGTGCGCGCTGGGCCTGCCGTCGATGGTGGATACATACATGTAGTTGTTCGTTGCACGGAGATCTTCTTTAGTTCTGCCACGATGGTTGTTGCATTCGTTAGAAGCGCTGAGGGCAGGGCATGTGGCTTGTCGCTCTGATATCCACGGAACTTGCTGTATGACAGCCGGCCGCCCTTCACAATGTATCGAGCACTGTGACTGTCAGCGAAGAAACACGGTCTGCATCAGGTGCCGCTTGATTTCCGTCGAAAAATTCCGAGAAGCACATGATGGGATGGATGGTGGACTGGAACATTTGCTTTTCCAAGTAAGATGAATTTTCATGATATCGTAAGCACTGCCCTATCTTGAAGCAGTCTGAATGAGCTCGGCCTGCTGAAACTATCTCTGGGAGAGTTCGCAGCGCTGAGGACCAAGCATCGCTGTTATAGCGTGGGCAACGATCCTGAAGTCCCGATGGTCGCTATCAATGCTCGCAAATGGGTATGGTATGTCGAAGCGTCGTTTTTTGTTGAGTATACTGCAGGAACGTACGGCCGCCTTGCGGAGGAGCGTTCCTGGGTGAGGCGGCCCACCTTAAGCCTCTATGAATGTTCGAAGCGACCAGATGTCGCCGATCTGTTGAAAATATGTTAGTCAGGGCACCCCGATTCAAGACATTTTCCATCTTACTTCGAGCTTCTTCTCTCCCGTGCTCAGCTTCCTCTCCTTAAGATAGTCGTCCCATCCCTTCTGAGCCTCGCGCCGACGCTCATCGTTTCCGGCGTACCATTCTTCATCGAGAATGGCCGAATAATTGTCAGTCTTGTCCTTCACGAGCTTGAAGATGCTCTTTGAGATCTTGAATTTCCCTCTCATAATTAGAAAGTTGACTGTGAGACCACTCAATCGACCCATATCGACGACTCGCAGATTTTGAAGGAAGCAGATGGTCTGGATTGAGAATGTGCAACGAAAAGGTATCTTGGAACACCGAAAGAGTTCGATCCTGAAGTCGCAGCACGCGTAGAATGTCGAAAGAGCTTCGTCGCGGACTTGACGGGAAACTCGAGTGATGGGTGGCTGAGAGGGCGTGAGCAAGGTCGGAAAGTCTGCAACGTAGAGCTCATAGACGTTGTTGCGAAGTTCAGGTGGTAGATCCATGAAGCCACGGAATTCAAGCCTGCTATCTGCCATCTCAAGGTGTTCGATCAAAGTGGCCCGGCCAACCTGCAGAGAAGGGTGAGTAACACGACGATGAGAGCATTCACCGATCTCAAAAAGCGTACCTTTTGGGGGTTTCGGTGAGCCCGCCTATCCGTTGCAAACTTGCGAAGCTCGGCATCGGTACACTTATCGTAGCAGATAAGACCCTTCTGAATGCGCGCCAGGTATTTTTCGGGAGATCGAGTCTTTTCTTTGTATCCTGCTTCGGCTAGCAGTCGGCGAAATTGACTTGGCCGGCCATACTGTGCCGGTTCCTTCAGGCGCCAGTACTTGTCGAGCGCATGCTGCATGGTGGACACCCTGCGGTCGCGTCGCGGATTCTAACGCGAGAAAAGGCGAGCAGAACCGGTTGGAACGTGCAAGTTGCCAACCTGGATCAAGGTGGTTGTTGTTTGTTTGAAGAAAGGCGCAGAGGTGGCGAGGTTTGATGTGGTCCGATGGTGTGATAAGATATCACGATGTTGATGCCCAGAAGTGAGGCAACCTAAGTGAGAAGTGAGTGGCGGAAGTGAGGCAATCTGTCAAATTCAGCAGACTCATATCAAACTTGTACATTCAGGTGGTACATATCACATACCGTCTCGCACTTATAGACGTCTCTCTTTCGCGCCGAACGCCGCGCCAATGCTTCTGGTACATATTCCGTCACTCCCCAAATTATCCTTTCTACTTCCTCGCCGTTGGCCCTGATACGCCTGCGCCGATAACGCTCGGCAGCTCTTCCGATCCCATCGAGAACAGGGTGCCAACAGCAAATCCGATGAGCGAGACCAGACCGACGGTGAAGAGAGCGATCAGCCAGAACTCCACGCTGACGTCCTTCTTCTGGCAAGCTGGTCCACCCCAGACAGTCGTCTTTTTGCCATCGCTGCTCTTGGTCGACTTGCACTGGCAGCTCCAGCAGTCCAGGCCTGTACTGCCACCGGGTGCCAGCGAGTCGGGATCGTGGTACTTCTTGCTGCATTCACCGTGTCCCGTGCAGTTCCTTGTTGCACTTTCGCATGCGGACTGCGAGGTGAAGCAGGCCGGAAGGATGCCGCGAAGTGGTGTAGTATTGTTGGCGAAAGAGGAGGCTGGAGCAGAGAAGCTCTGCACGGGCTTGAAGTCGTGTGTTTCTGTCAGAGGCTCCTCCTTTGGCGATCGGTCTCGCTTTGCCTTGATTTGCCGTTGCGGGATCTCGTAGGTTCCCCATTGGAACTTCTCTTCCTTTCCTTGCTTTGCAGAGAGGTCTGCCGGTGGCGAGATGAGCGCGGTAATGCTCCACTCGTTGCTCTTCGCAAGCTTCTCGAACATTGCACTGGCATCGGCCAGCGAGTCAGCGACGTAGAACATATCGCCATTCACGACGACGTTGTTCGTCTCCTTGATGTTGGCAAGGACCGCATCGTCCGAAAGGGCTGCGAGGGGTCGTGGGTCAGATTGCTTTATGAGGTCAACGAACAGACCTTTGCTGGCATGCGCTGCCGGTGCTGGAGACACCTGCACAGACGTATATGCTGAGCGGAGGCTGTCGACTGCGATATTCACAGTCAGAGTGAAGCCCGCGAATATATGGAGTTTCACATACGCTCTTTCCCTTCAGCGCCTTCGACCAGGATCAAAGCTCTCCTTGGGCCATCACGCTGCTCCGTGAACATGCGATGCCGCAGTCCATAGGCATTGATGGCATCGATCACTTCGTCCCTGGCTATATCTGCTCTATGATAGTCCTCCACGCCTGCCCTTTGCGCGAGCAGTAACCTCGCTGGCACGGGCGACAGCGTTCTCGAATGCGGGTCATGTCTAGGCTGCGGGTGAGGGTCGTATGTGAGGATATGCGCGGTGCTGGCCGAACCGATGCGCGCGCTCCAGCATAGCGCTGATATTATGCCCGTCGTGGTGAGCTTCATCGTCGGTGGCGTGGCGTGGCGAGGCGAGGCGATGAGATGGCGGTGGCGGTATTGATGCTATCGTGCCGTGCCTCTATGAGAGAGCTCGCGGTCTGCCAAGCCTCACCTTCGCTTCCAGGGTCGATTGATCGTCAGCGGAACTGCTTCCTCCGCCACCGAAACCTTCGAGAAGACGGCCGGCGATTGTTTCTATCACCTCACCACATTTCACTTTCGACATCTCGACCAACAAACACACACGGCACTTCTAGCCATTTCCGCAACATCGCGCACATGTCATATCGATAGCGACACCCTCTCACCACTTCTCTCGCCCTCCCGCCACGACTCTTTCAGCCGTCGACATGCACATGCTTCCCCGTACCTTGCGGCTGCGGCAACAGCCCATACGTCCGCCTCGCCTCACTCGATTATTGCAGCAACAGCGGCAAACACACACACAATCACCTCGTCTAATTCAAGTCCCTCAAAGACGACTCCTGTCACAGATCGCATCTCGGCAAAATGGCGGGACCGTACGATTTCAGCCTGTTCGCTTCAAGAAACCACGCCTCACTGTGAAGCGTGTAGCGATCTCTGTGATCATGGGTGGCGCGATGATGGCATATGTGCTGCTAATCGCAAGGGCGGCGGGCATATCAGTCGAGGTGAGCCTCGAGGAAGTAGAAGACGAGGGAGGGGAAGAAGAGGAAGAAGTTGAGGATGGGGAGGACGTTGGGTATGCCTCGGAAGACAGCTTATTCATTCCTCTCACTTGGAGCAAAAAGATGCCGCGCACATTCTATAAAGGCAGTGATCCAGAGTGGCAGGAGTTTGTGAAGATTGCAAAAGATAAGCAAAGGCATAAAAAGATTCAGGACGAACTCGTTCAGACGGTATACTCGAACTGTCAGAAGCATCCGATCATCAAGCAGCAGTTGGGAAAGGATGCCAAGATAGGAAAATACTGGCTGGACATCTCATTTCCAGATGGCCCGCCTCAAGAGTACGAGCGAAGCGGAATTGAGATTGGCGATGGCTTTGTGGCGTTGAGTCAGCAGAGAGTGACGCCGGAGAAGCAGTGGCGACTCATGCGTGCGCTTTATCCCAAGGCTGCGTTTGATTCGTTGTGGGCGGCTACCAGCGTTCTGGCGGGCATCCACTTTCGAAGAATCAAGCAGCTTCTGGGGTGGGAAGGCAAAGATCCTTTCAGTCCAGAAGAGCGATATCGACACGCGCTCGAGGTGATGGAGAAGCGGCAGGCTGCTAGAGATGGGAAACAGGTTGGTGGGAAAGCGCAACTCGACGCCGATGGTAATGCCAGCTCTATTGTTGGTCGTTCATCAGCGTCTGCGACGAGTACAGAAGCGCCGAAAACAGGGAGCGAGGGAGCAAAGAAACTACCATTCGGCTTTGAGGTGCCCATGCCTGGACATGCTCTCGGCGGGGAGGGCACGCACGACCTTCATATCGCCATGCATTCCTTCAGCTCGACAATCAGGAAGCAGTGGAATCCAAAGAAGATGGAGCCGCCGCGAGGGACGTTCGTGGTACAGGGATTGGTGGAAGTGCGAGGGTCGCGTGGCAGGGTGCTCTTGGATGTGCAAAGCTGCTACGACCCCAAGCAAGCGAGGTTTGTAGCCATGCACGCTTCTGTGCGGAACTTCAAGCGATGGAATCAGGCGCCCAAGGGCGGGCCTTGAGACGGATGAGAGTTGAGCATTGTAGCATTATTTGCTAAGCGTTCGAGCGTGGTGCGTTTCAGCCGGAGATGATGACATTACTGCATGGCATCGGAATGGGGCATGGAGCATGGGGCATGGGGCATGGGGCATGAGATAGCAGTGACTGGGGCGGTCGTTGTTGGATTCAATCGATTCATTATTTTGTTTGTAGACGGGTAGCGCTGAGCCAGAAAATCGAAGTATTGCTCCTTCACTCCTTACTGGCTTGACTTTTTCATTTCAAGTGGGTGCAGCATGGCTCGGCGAAAGCGCGGCAACACGCGAATGGAATCTCGACGCGACTTGACGACTTGACACCACATTCTGAAGCCAGGCAGCATGTCTGAGCCTCCTCCCGTCATCAACATATCAATATCCTCCTCCACGGCACCTCCCTCTCCAACAACCGGGCCAACCTCGACGCGTGAGAGATCTCGACCAACATGGGCAGTGATCGTGACATATTCTGACCCAAGACAGATCGACTGGCAACGCAATCTGCAGCAGACGCGCTTCAACGTCTTTCGGGTGCCGGTATCTCGAGCATCTCCACCGGCGTGAAGGATCTCGACAATGCCCTGATCGGTGGCAAGCAGTCTGCCAACGCCAATGCCAACGCCAACGCCAACGCCAACGCCAACGCCCATGCTGGCTTCGAGCGAGGCAAAGTTGCCGAGATCTGGGGCCCGGCGGGTTCGGGAAAGACAGCTCTCGCCTCTCAAGCTGCGCGCGAGGCAATCATCAAGGATGGCGGCAAAGTCGCGTGGCTCGATTGTGCGACGTTGCTGAGTATGGCCCGAATGAATGCCATCCGTGCACATCCACATACATCCAGAGACCAATCGGGAAAGCCGTTGGTCGATGATTCTTTCCACTACCAGTCAATCGCCACTCTCTCACACTTACTGGCTTGGATTGTGCACCCACCGCCTTCCTTTCCTCCGCATGCAACGACTCTGCTTGTGCTGGATGATGTAAATTCCCTGGTCGACCTCGATTACCCGCGACTTCCTTTGAACAATGGCAATGGCAATGGCAATGGCAATCGAACAGAACAGCAGAAATGGCAGGCCGGTCGTAGATACGCCATTCTTGCATCCTTGATCAAGGCACTCAACAAGCTTGCCGCCGTGCACAACTTGGCAGTAATCGTCACCACCGGCTGCAGCTCACGTATGCGCACTGATGAGGGACTCATGGCAGCTATAGCACCTGGAGTTGGAGGCGCAGAATGGGAGAATGGTATCTGGTCCCGCACGGTCGTGTTTCAAGACTTCAATGGCCGCTTTGCTGGTGTTCAGAAATGCCAAGGCCGAAATCTCATGCCTCTCGATGCCGTTGGAGACGTTAGGAACCCCATCGGATTTGAGATTGCTGAGCGCGGACTCGTCAAGGAGAGACATGTGGAGGTCGATTTGACGAGCAGTTCGCCGACTGCTGGACCCCAAGCCGCCAAGAATGTTCGCAAACGTGCATATGAAGAAATTGCAGACTCAGAAGACGAGGATCTGGATGAGTATGGATGGGCTGAGAATGATGAGGAAGTACTCGCCGCAGAGTCGTTGGCCAACAAGCAAAGCGAGAACGGCCAAGCAGATGGAGCGACTTGAGAGCTCTAACATTATCGTCCTCTCCAACCATCAACTACCTGGAATACGGTATCATTCGACCCCACATTACCTGGAAACACGACGTAAGGAATGCCGCTCCATTTCGACGACTCTTCCAGGCACTCCCACAATGGCACACCTGGAGCCGCTTGACCCACGACAGTGGCGATCTTCATGCCTAGTGCTTTCGACGCCATATCTGACGACGTGATGCCACCCTTGGCAATCACATATCTTGGTCTCGATGTCAAGCCGCTCAAGAAATGCACAAGCGCTCGGGCGACTGCTGAACCAATGTTCAGGCTCTCTGTAGCATCCGCACCTGTCACGAGCTTCCGACTGGTCATGACGAGCACGTCTTGGCCCCTTTCGATCTCACGTGCAGCTTCCTCCTGCGCTTGTTGGATGATAAGATCCGCGCTCATCTCGGACTCAAGTAGCTGATCCACTTGCAGCTCAATCGTCGTCAGCCTCGAACCGCTCTTCTCTCGGAGCACCTCCAATTGAGCAGTCGTCTTGGGCACATAGCTTCCCGCAATGATCAAGCCGCCAACCTTGGGATCGAGATGCAGCTGCTCGGCAGTTTTCGGTGGAATTGGAGCAATACCCAACTTAGCAGAAACCAAAGCCGCGCCGCTGCGATACAGAAACTTCCTAGACTTGCTCGCTGGCAAAAACATCAGCTTTGAACACGCAAATCGCAAACACAATCCACTTACCATCCAAAATCCCCAAAACAACAACATCCATATCACTCTCACTCGCCGCATTGACAACCACAACACTCCCCTTCTCAAACCCCATCACCAACTCCCTCACCCTCTCCGGCCCTCCAACCCTCACATCCTCCAACCCCAAACTCACAACCCTCTCCCTCAAAATCCTCCCCCCACTCTTCTCCACAACCCAATCCCTCAAATTACTCTCTTGATACCCAAACGTCGCATCCCTCGCAAACTGCGTCTCGCCCGCCGGCACCAAAACCCCTTCCTCCTCAACATAATGCACATCAGAGATCGTATACCTCCCCCCTTGCAAAAAGAACGGTGCGAGAATCCACAGATCCGCTTCCCCCAAGATTTCAGATACAACATCCGCTTCCAAAGGAAAATGTCCCCTCAACGTCGAATCCGATCGCAACACAATTTCGAACTTTTCCCCAGTCTCCCGTCCCGCGATTTTCAAATTTTGACAAATCTCGTGGAGCAGTGAGCGAGCTTGAGGGGCATGTAAAGCTCGAGAATTCGTTAAAATGAAAAACCCTCCGGTTGCGGAGGTGGTTGAGGAGGCGAAGGAGGCTTTTAATGTGGAGATTTCCCAGGTCATGAGGACTTGGATGTCGTGACATGTTTGGGTTCCGGTGGGGTCGTCGTCGAGGATTACTAGGAGAGGGGAGGTGGGGAGGCGGGATTTGATTTTTGGGCGCAGGTTCCCGTTAGCATCATTGTCGGAGAAGGGGGGTGGGAGGGTGGAGAGGAGGTGGTCTTTGTTTTGGCGGCGGGGAGGGGGCATTGGTTTGGTTGGGTTGGGTTGGGTTTCTGAGGTGAGGTGATGTGCGATTGGTATAGTTGGTTAGTAGACGCTGTTTTGATATGAGGAGGTTCGGCTAATGCACCCTGGCACACTCGGGCCGGTGGGAGTCAAGTCGGTGTTTGAAGGGATGTACTTAAGTGGAGCTTGATATATCGACATTCAGTGTAGTAATAGAGAAGCAACTGTACGAACGACCTTCAGGCACGCAAGAGCTTTGACACGGGAGTCCAAGAGATCACATTATCCAAGGCAGGAAGCCTGCGACTCCGTCTGCATTATTCTATCCATCCTCTCTCAAACCTCAGCAAAGCGTGAAGCATTCGGTCAATGAGGTGTCTTGCGAAGCGAATGTATACGGTCAAGTTCATAAATCTCATTTCTCTCCTTCATTTCGACGAATGATCCGTTGACACAAACACCTCGCCAGTCCCCGACCATGGAAGTCCATGTCATCGCTAGGTCGAGGAGATTCGATTCGCATAGACGCTCAACTCTTGCTTGCGTTTGTCTGTAGCGAAGGCCAGGGTAACAATGACGCAGAACGCGAAGAGAACCTAAGCCCCAGCCACATGGTGAATGGTTGGCTCCGAAGAATGCTACTGTGAATATGACGATGATTGTCACCTGCACGAAGGCGAGAGGCTGAGTACCATCTTCGCTTTGTTGGGAAAATTTCTTGGATGGATGGCGTTTTCTAACACAAAGGACGCAGCAAGACCGGCTGACAATTTGATAGACCTCCTGGATTGGATGCTTTCAAGAGAGCTGTCGAGATTTGCAAGTCGTTTGAGGCTGAGAGTTGAGATATCAAGTCTAGACTCTAGACTCTGCCTTTACAAGCCACATGCAGTGTTACCTAGGTACCAGTAAAGGTCGGATCTGTCCGTAAGTACGTACGTACGGCTACGTATAACGGCATGCATTCGGTCAAGCCTACAAAAAAAAAAAGTTCTACAAAGTCGCAACTACGAGATCGTGGGTAATCCTTTGTCCAAAACGCCATGCCCCAAAACATCAACATCGACTAATATCCTCTTCCTGCTCATTACTTCATATCAGCCGGCGTCAAAGCCTGTACCACCGACGTGCCGTCCATGAACCGCGTCCTGAAAATCCTGTTCGCATTTGCAAACATGCCGTCCTTCAAACTGACAACAATAAATTGACTGCCTCGGAATCTCGTGCGGATCAGTCTGCCAATGTTCTGGGTATGCGAAAGATCCAACGCGGCATCGACTTCGTCCAAAATGTACATGGGTGCAGGCGAGTATTGCAGCAGCGACAGGATCAGCGACAGCGCAATCAGCGATCGCTGACCACCGGAAAGTTCGGTCAAAGACTGTTTCCAGACCTTGCCCAAGCAGACCTTGACCTCGAGACCATCACTGATCTCTTTGCCCTCAGGTGGGTCGAGTTTGGCTGTGTTGCCTGGTAAGAGGTCGTTGAAGATGAGGCCAAAGTCCTCGTTGACCTTGGACCAAGTCTTGAAAAGAGCCTCCTTCTTGTACTTATCGAGCTCATCAATGGTGTCCTCAATCTTTCGCTTGTCCTTGATGACGGTCCGCATCATCTGCTTCAAGCTGGCCTCTTTCTTCTCCACCGAGTCGATGGTAGCCATCACCGCAGGATTAATCTTCTTTTTCATGCCTTGGAATCTTTCTTGAATGTTCTTAAGCTTTGATCGGCACTCATTCATGTTTTGTCCAGACCAGTCGTAAGGAGTGCCGGATCTGCCGAAGGAGGACTGCTCTTCCAAGATCCAATCATACTCCTTTTCTAGGCCGTGCACAGATTGCGAAGCAGATTGCTGAGCTTTTGCAAAGTTATCGATGGCGTGTCCGAGTTTTTGAGCCTCAAGCTTCTCGTCTGAAATTTGCTTCGTCTTGCTCTTGGTCACCTTGTCCAATTCGTCTATCTCCTGATCGAACGAGACGAGTTTCTTTCTTTCATCGTTAAGCTCGGCCTCAGCTTCAGCATGCTTCTCTTTTGTGCTGCTCTGATCTTGCAACTGTGCTTGAAGCTCTTCATCGTGACCCTTCAGCGTCGTCTCGGCATCATGGAGCTCTTCTTGCGCGGCTGAGAGATCGCTGCCAGTCTGCTCGGCATCAATGCTTGCATCTCTGACTTCCTGCTGAAGAGGCTTGATTGATGCTTGGGTCTTGGAAAGTAAAGTCTTCAGCTTTTCAAGTTCTCCTTGCAATTGCTCAAGCTTAGCACCTTTGTTGGACGAAAAGTCTTTCATGTCCTTCTCAACACGCTTGACGTCTTGTTCGGCCTCGGTCTGACGCTTCTTTGCCGATTGGATCTTCTCCTTGAGGGCGACAATGGTCTCCTTCATCTCGGCCACCGAAGCAATGATGCTACTTGACGAATTGCTGGCAATCTGAGACTCTGCAAGCTGGATTTCGTGGGTCTTGAGGTCCAATTCCTGCTTCATTTGACGCGCGCTCTTCAACTTCTGCGCATCGCGAGCCATGACCTGCTCCAACGCAGCAAGTTTCGCTTCTTCACTCTCAAGCTCTTGCGTAATTGCATTAAGCTTGCGCAGCTTCAGCAGGGCGCCGCCACCTGAGGCTGCGGATCCGCCAGAGAGAGTACCGCTTGGATCATATACGTCTCCCTCCACTGTCACGCTCTTTAGTCGCACAGATGGATCGAAAGTGACCCTCTTCGCTGTATCTGCATTGGCACAGATCAAGGTGTTGCCAAATACGTACTCCATGGCCTTCTCGATCTCATGGTCGTAGCCGATCAGATTAATGGCTAGATGAACCATGTTCGGACATAGCTTCTGCGCATTGCCTACGCGATCCGCTGGTGCGCGAGCCGGATCGATCTTGTCGAGCGGCACAATTGTCACTCGCTTTCTGAGCTTGCCGTGATCGATGAGCAGAGAAGATGTCTTGGCAGAGTCCACGACGATGTTGTATAATCGTCCACCAGCGCAAATCTCTAGGGCAGTGCTAGCTTCAAGTGACGAGTCCGGCAGGCTGAATAGCTGTGCGACAAGCCCTTTGACGCGTCTGCGGTCGAACTTTGGTTCCGGATCTGAGTACGAAAAGTCCATATTGATCATCTCTCTTCGCATACGCTCTGCATCGTTCTGCAAGACGCGTATCCGCTTCTCCAGTTGAGCCTTCTCTGCCTGCTGCTCTTCTTCCTTGCCGGGCTGGAAGCCCAACTTCTCGAGCTCCTTTTGCAGTTTCGCGGCTTGTGCTCGTAGCGACTCCATGTCTTTCAGCAGTCCAGCATTTTCCTTTTCTGCCTTTTTCGCCCTGGGCTCGTCTTCCTTGATGCGCGACTCGAGATGAGTGATCTTCAGCTTAGACTGTTCCACTTCTGTGCCCGCTTTACTTGCATTGTCGCGTGCCGCAGCGAGTTGGCCAGCATATCCGCCATCTGAGCCTGCATTGGAAGAGATTCCGGTTTGCAAAGTCTGCAGAAGCTCTTCTTTCTTCTCGACTTCAGATTTCAGTTCCTCGAGCTCCTTGCTTGCACCCTCGAATTTCTGCTGGAGCATCTGGTGTGCTGCCGTCTTTTGCTTCAGCTGCTTCTCCAGATCGTTGACCTGCGCCTGCGCTTTTTGCAATCGCTCCTGCTCCTCTGCCATAGATGATCTCTTCAGCTCGAGTTGTGTATCTATTCTCTCCAGAGCAATGGCAAACTCCTTGACAGCGTCTTCCAGCTTCGCGAACTTGCCGCCCTTCCTGAGCTCCTTATCTCTTGCAGCACGCACCTTCTCCTTGTCTTCTTCCAGGACGCCGATTTCCCTTTGCAGCTTTTCACCATTCTCTTCCAGCTGTGTTGCTCGCTCTTTCTTGGCCGCTAGATCTTGCGCACTCTGCTCCATCTTCTGCTTAGTCTTGACATAGTCGTACGCGACCACGAGCTTCGTCAAGCGCTCGAGATCACTTTGTGTGCTCTGAAACTCCAAGAAAGCGCGCTTCTCGTTTCGCAGCTTGTCCAACTTAGGCTCGATTTCCTCCTTCAGTAAGCCCTCAATCTCTTCCACTTTGGTCTGCTTCTTTGCCAAAGTCTTGAGCGCCTTCTCTCGTCGGTCCTCAAACATGCGCGTGCCTGCCGCTTCTTCCACCATGCCAAGAATCTCGGTGCTTTTCATGTTCAGCACTTTGGTGATCTTTCCCTGCATGATCAAGAAGTTGGGATTGTTGATGTTCAGCTGCACGCTCTGAAACAGGTTCTGCACGGTCTGCTGCTGGGCTCGATGTCCATTGACAAGATACTTGCTGGTGCCGCCCAGGACGATCTGGCGCGTGACGCTGATTGTTTTGTGCTCCTCAAATCCTATGGGCGACTTGGACTTGTCGCTGTTGTCGAATACCAAAGTGACCGAGGCCTTTGTGATGCCGGCCTGACCACGCTTGTAGATGAGATCGCTCGCACCGCCACTCGCACGCAGCAATTCGAATTTGCCAATTCCCAAGCAGAAACATATGGCGTCCAAGATGTTTGATTTGCCCGATCCGTTCAGCCCAGTGATGGCGTTGAATGTCTCGTCCCAGCCGGCGATGACGGTGCGCACGGCATAGGACTTGAAGCCGTCAATGACGAGCTCTATGATCCGCATGATTCCGGTCGTATATTGTAGTATCGTTGTCGTTGGGCGCGCATCATCTGCGTTGATGTTGTGCTCGGCCCTGATGCAAATGTTGTTTGGTTTGTTTACTTCGGAGAAACATTCGGCCCGGTTCATGGCGACGCTGCAACGCGACTTCTCCACGACATTATTTTCATGCGGCAAAGCTATCGAACTCTGCAACCTCTATCCTCTATAGCACTCGTTGTTATGACTCTTCGTGACAGGGATATAGTATGGCTAGTGTTGTAACATCAATGACACGCAGAGGCTGGTCGATCGCTTAGTCACCGAGAACGAGGCATTTATGTTCGTACCAAATGTCTCTCGGTTTCCGGTGCTCGAGCACAACACCCACCGTCTATGACTACATGTAGACTACACGCCGACCTCCCCACACGCCGTGGCATTGCAACGGCGGTCGTTCAGCGGCCACCCACGCTGGCCCTCGTGAGCTAATCGGCTCGGATCAGCAAATGAAAAGTCTTATCAGATCCGAGGGGCATGCCGAACTGCCCACCCTGCACCACAAATTACTCACATTACTCACACTTGGGCAAACATCGACCGAGCACCACTTTCCGTGCCTCAGCGACATGGAAAATGACTACCTCTATGTTGGCGTGTGGAAAGGCAAGCGCGTTCGGGAGTCTTAAAGCGGGTGTTCGGCCATGCACAAGACTCTATACCACACCTTCCTCCCCCAGCATCGGCGGCAGTGCCGTCAATGGGAAACATGCCGCGAGAAACGAGGACCCTGCCACCCAGCGGGAATTGCTCATGAACGTGCTCAGTGCGAGTGCCACGAAACGAGACGCGAAGCAGTATCTGGCACGATTCAACAGGCCGAGAAAGGATTCGCAAGGCGAGAAGCCAGATTTGTATGCACTGCTTGAAGACCGGAATGCGCGGAATCGCGCGGATCAGTCCAGGTTGGAAAAGACTGGAGTCAATCTGGGTGGTCTGTATGCGCCATCTAGAGCTATTGCAGACGTGCCGCAGTTCTCATCCGACGAACTTTCTCGTGAACAAGCCAAAGCGGCACCGCAAGAAGAGCTTCATGTGGCCTTGGCATGTCTCAAAGCGCCAGAAGCCATTGACGAAGACACTCTAGATGGACTGGCTCGGACCATTGCTCAGCTTGTGAAACTCGACATGCGCATAATATTGGTACTGGACATCAACATCAATAATGTCCAGGCCGAGAAGTATGCAGGCTCACTGGTGGACGTCAAGGCTCTTCGCAAAGCTTTCGCCCAGCAGGCCGATCGCTTGTGTGATGCTATTGATCGCCACAATTCTGAAGGAGCCCGATCAGTTCCTAACGCACTCGAAGTGGTGGAAGACGTATGGGAGAATGGAACAGAAACGCATGAGCTGCACGTCACCATGCCAAACACACTGATCGATCCTTTAAAGCGCGGCATGGTACCCATTATTCCTTCATTGGCGTACACCGCGTCTGGGCAATTAGTGCAAATTGCAGCAGCAGACATCATGACGACTATCACGAAGTACCTGATCGGCGTTGATTCAGCCGGGCAGCAGATAGCAGGTCCTCCAGAACCAATCTCGCTCGATCGCATAATTGTGCTAGATGCCATAGGGGGTATTCCAAGCAAAGACCGCGGAGATGGAGCTCACGTATTCATCAACCTGGAGCAGGAATTCGACAAAATCGAGCAAGAGCTGTCAGAGTATGCAGATGCAGCAGAGCGCAACCACAGCCATCCTCGAGGTTCAGCTTTCTACGATCAGCATCGTGACAATCTGGATTTGGTCCGAAAATGCTTGCAATTGTTACCTCCATCATCTTCCGCATTGATTACGACACCAGAGGAAGCAGCAAGCTCCTCGCGAGCGACAAAAGCAAATACACTTGGAGCAGGAACGAGACGGCAAAAGAATCCACTGATCCACAATCTGCTCACCAACAAGCCACTCATCTCCTCTTCCTTACCAGCCGCCCGTCTAGCTCATGCAGAAGGTGAAGATCCGAACACGCCCGTCACAGAAGCCAGCACCGTGCTGAGACGAGGCATGCCTTTGATCATCATACCAGCTGCTGACCGGTATCTTGGATGGCAAAGACCTCAGGACGGCAAGAGTATGCTGCGACTAGACGAGGACTCGCGAGTTGATCTTCCTCGGCTAGTGCACCTCATCGAAGACAGCTTTCGTCGCAGACTCAACGTGCAAAACTACCTCGACCGCGTCAAAGACCGCATCGCAGGCATCATCGTTGCAGGACAGTACGAAGGCGGCGCCATCTTAACATGGGAAATGCCACCCGGCGTGAACGACCCAAATCGACTCGTCCCCTACCTCGACAAATTCGCCGTCCTCCAAACCTCACAAGGCAGCAGCGGAGTAGCGGATATCGTCTTCCAGGCAATGGTTAGAAGTTGTTTCCCCGGAGGCGTATGCTGGCGAAGCCGCAAAGACAATCCGGTCAACAAATGGTATTTCGAACGCGCGACAGGAAGTTGGCAGATTCCGAATAGTAATTGGACGATGTTCTGGACGGGAGAGGATGTGGTGGAGAATGAACAGAAGTGGAAAGATTACGTTTCTGTGTGTGAGAGTATTCAGGCTAGTTGGGCGGATACTGGCAAGAAGCCTGACTAAAAATTCCAAACAACGGATAGATGCAACGAATGGATGCTACCTACACTCCCTCCCTCATCCCCGTCTCTCTACTCATTTCCTCCGCCCTCTCCCTATTCCCCACAACCTCATACCTCGCATCCATCTGCACCGCCCCCTCAATCCGAAACTCCCTCATCCACTCCGGTTTCCTGTCCACACGGGCCCAGGGGCATAAGCTCTGTCAATTCGATCAATTCCGAATAGTTCCTTCCTAATTCCTCAAACAGCCATCTTCAACTTCAACAAATCCCCCTCCAAAACCTCCCGCCTCTTCTCCTCAGAAAGAAACTCAGCCATATCCCAAGTAATATTCACATACCTCCCACTCAACCACTCCCTCCTCACCTTACTCAACTTGACCAAAGTATCCGCATAAACCTCTCGACTCTCCGTAAAAACCTTTCTCAAATCCTCATCCATCTCTCCTGCCATATCTGTAAGCACGTTTCCAGGATGTACGGAAAACGCCACGAGTCCTTCATCGGCGTATTCCACCGCAAGAAATTCTTGGAGGCGCGTCATGGCCATTTTTGAGATTTGGTAGGCGGAGAGACCGGGAGTGATACAGGTTGCTCCGACGGAGGAGATGGAAATGAGGGTTTTGAGGGAGGATTTCAGGACGAGGGGTAGGATGGCGTGGGTTAGGAGGTAGGTGCCGAAGATGTTGATTTGCACTGGATTGACATGTCAGTAGTGTGGGAGATGAAAGGGACAAGAGGTCTTACTCTGTTGCAACCATCTCCCAGAATCTTGTTGGTGAAGTTTGGATTCTTTCTCCATGTGGATGACGCCCGCATTGTTGATCACAACATCGACTTTCTCGAATTCTATCTCAATCTTCTTGACTCCTTCGTTAACGGAGTTCTCGTCGGCTATGTCGATTTTGACCTGTAGGACTTTTGGCTCCTTTCGTCCCGCGGCTTTGGCTGCGGCTTTGATCTCGGACTCTGTTGTTGAGAGGTCGCCTCGTGCTGAGATGGCGATTTGTGATGCTCCAGCTCTGGCGTAGGAGACCGCGATTGCACGACCGATACCTCGACTTGCTCCGCTGATGAAGACTGATTTGCCAGTGTAGTCCGATTTTGTAGGATCGATCTCAGGATAGGTATCGTTGTGGACGATTTTGGTCATGGTATAGTCGGCTGCGTAGTATTAGGATTTAATTTGTGCACCAGAATGCGTGAAGACAGACCTGGGCCCTCAATGGGGTTCCATACTCCCTTTGGCGGTGGCATGCTGGACTGTGTTGTTGGTCTTGGTGGTGAGCAGCAGATGAATTCTTGAAGGAAAGCATGCCAGAACTATGGACGCGACTTTATACTTGAATTTGCGACGCTGGTGATTGCTGCGTAATACGCTGTCAGCCATGGCGTTAGTTGGCGTTAGCTGATGAATTGGCCAGTCTTTGGATGAGATTCTGCAGGTAGCCAGTAGCGGCCAGCAGGAATCGGAGTTGATGCATCTGTGCTCTCTAAACGGACTTGACGAGACTGTTGCGCCTTGGCTCTCACGAACGCTGGCTTCGTTCTGATTCTAAGTCATACTTCTGCAGAATCGATGCTTTGTGATGACGCTGATTGAGTAGCGTCCTTTTTACCGTGGTACAGTGTCCTTGCCATGCCTCGCCTTCTAGGTCAGCCTTTCGCCGCCGTATCAATAAATGAAAAGCAAACGTGACGCCCGTGCCAGTCTATGCTCTATATTCCACATTCCCGCAATGCCGTTGACCATGCTCCTTGCTGTCGCTGGATGCAATCTATTTCTTCTCAGAAGTTTCCACCTTCTCGGCTGTAGGAGATGGTCCGTCCTTGGTGCCAGCACTGGATTCCTCCAATCTGCTGTCACTTGGGCCCTCAAACTTTGCCTGCTGTCTCTCGAGATCTTGCTCTGCTTCCAACATTTCCTGATGCCTCGAATCACTCTGGGCAAGTGCTTCGTCGTGCTTCTGATCTTCTGTCTTCTCGTCAATATCTTCCTTGTCATTGACCTTCTCTTCACGACCTGAAGCCTTCTGCTCTTCAGCCTGCTCGTTCTCCTCTTGGATGAGCTCTTGCTGCTCCTTGATGACCTGCAGTCTCTGCTTGTTGGTGGTGGCACCTTCTGCAGTGTGGACCTCAAGTTCGATCTCGTGGAAGAGCTCCTCAGGAATGCTGGAAAGCACAGCCTGCAGTGCTGAGAGCTGACCATCGAACTCGTTCTCCTTGCCCTGAGCGTACATGAAAGCGTTGCTCAACACAAGTAGAGTACTTGGCACACCATACTTGAGACGGAGGTCCAGCCAAAGCCTGAGATCATCTCGCAGACGTGCTGGACTCATGCCATGCGTCCGCAGTCCACGTGCGGCACATGCGTTCTGCAGCTCAGGGACAGAGAGCGAATCAACTCCCTCAAAGCTGATAGCCTTGTCGTCGCGCTTGATCTGTCGCATGCGGTGTCGGATCGTGTATCGAAGCATAGCGTCTGTGCCAAATGTGCCAAGGTTCATGTATCTGCAGATACCCACGAGCTGAGGTCTTGACAAGTTATCCAAGGTCAAGTCATCCTTGAACAGCTTACAGACCTTAATGACGTCTGACTTGGTTGGTTCCTCGCCCGTCGAACGCAGCTTGCGGAAAAACTCGGTGAACTCCTCCTTCTGCGCAGTCGCGGCAGAAATGGGAAGACCAGACTCCCTCATGGTTTGACGCAGGAATTTGGAAACTTCCTTTCTTGATGTCCGCAGCCTCATTGCCTTAGTTTCTTTGCTCTGGGCCCCTTCATATGTAGAAGGGAGCATGTTTGGGAAGAGTTTTAAAGCCACAGGTAACAGCAATTCCGCAAAAGGCACAATCACGAACACTGAAAATGGCACAAGTCGACCCAAATCTTGCACAGTTCTGGTCAGCTGGCGGTGCTCCCTTCGTGTGAGCTCATATCCGGCTGCCATCTTCAGCGCAAGTTTTGAGGAAATCTTGACCTCTGTCGCCAACAGCTTCGTGCCATCCCAGTAATGCTGCGCTTCGTGTTTGACCTTTTGCCACAGAGTCATCTTCTTCTTTTCCTCCTTCTTGGCCACTTCCTTCTTCTCTGCGTCTTTGTTCTCAGCAGCAGTCTGCGCTGCCAGTTGATTCAAAGCATGCCGTTCTGACGCAGTGGTGGGTGCGCTCTCTGAGGGCGTTGCGGAAGGGATGCTGATCTTCTGGTCGGCAGCATTCTTAGGGGCAGACTTGTCGGCGTCCTTTGGAAGTGGCTTCTTAGCCTGGTCCATGTTGAAGCCGGGTGGCGGGCCTTGGTTCTCTCCATGTTGCGATCGTTCGGTCGAGATCGTATGGCGCGGGACTACTATGGCGACTGCTGGCATGTGTCGAGGAAGTCTTGCAGCTCGAGAAAAAGCTGTTCTACTGCCATGACGAAGTAATAGGGGCGCAAGTTGCGCCGAATAGCGTGAGTTGATCATGCTGACCGGCAGCACGGTGTAAATGCTGTGATATGGTGGTCACAGCAGAGGGTGGAGGAGGCGCAGATGGACAGGTGGTGTAGAGGCGCAGGCGCAGGGTGATGATGTTGAAGAGAAGTCCTGCTGTTCACGTCAGGGGCAAGGGTTCGAGCATCGGACATCGGGCATCGGAGCGAAGCAGGCGAGAGCGACGCCTTGGCATTTCCGGGCTGCATCGGAGGAGCGTCTTTCACGGGTTGATGCCGCAAACGAGAATGGTAAGCAATCTCAGGCGAAGTGAATATGAAATGCTATCACATGCATGTACTTCGCCCACGTGAAAACGGTCTTCATCATGCTGATCACTCCTGCGCTATCTTTGTAGAGAGCACGGGATCTGGGCCGTGCTCAGGCCTCGGCGTCAGTGAGGTGGGATGGATCCATTGCGGAAGCCAGTTCCATTGCCGACCGCATCTCCATCTCGTCGCTTTCGCTACTCGCCGTGCATCTCAGCGCGCCCTGACTATTCCGCTGACTGTTGAACAACGTCTGCAGCACATTCAGCCTTCGCTCCTTTCTATTCCTTATTGCCTGCCTCAATCGACCTTCACCATGGCGCTGTACGATACAAGCTAGTCGTCGCAGTCCTCGAGAGACTTACGAGTCTTGATCACCAATTCGCCGAACGATATCACAAGCTCAGCGATAACAACACATCCACTATCGCACACGCCTTCACGCTCACGGTCTTCTCAGTATTACGATCGCGTACACAATGACGACCTTCAGCCTGCGCAAGGCAGCGCGTATCATTCTTATCGGCGCACCGGGCGTCGGCAAAGGCACACAAACTGAACGCTTGCTGAAGCGATTCCCTCAGTTATCAGCAATCAGCTCTGGAGATTTATTGCGCGACAATGTTCGGAATCGCACTCCTCTTGGTGCGCATGTCGATACACAATCTCCACTATATATACTGACATCGACCAGGTATTCAGGCTGAGGCTCTTATGAACCGAGGCGCATTGGTCCCCGACTCGATGATTCTGCGCCTCATTCGCAACGCTCTCACTACTAAAGGCTGGCTCATCCCAGCAGACGGCATCCAGCCCATCACTCTCAACTACAGCTCCGCCAGTGCAGACCTCAACCCTGCCGCCGCGAACGATGGGCTACCCCCGGACAATTGGATCAATCTGCCACTGGATCTTGACACTGGCTATCGATACAGCGACCATCCGGACGCATCGTTCGTCCTTGATGGTTTCCCTCGCAATGAAGCACAGGCAGCGCAGCTAGAAAAGATGGTGCCCGTCAATCTCGCGGTTCAATTACATACTCCAGCGGAAATTATTGCCGAGCGCATGAGCAACAGATGGGTGCACCCTGCAAGTGGGCGGGTCTACAACACGACGTTCAACGCCCCAAAGGTGAAGGGCAAGGACGACGTGACCGGAGAACCATTGATTCAACGAGAAGACGATAAACCAGAAACTTGGAGGAACCGACTGAAGACTTTCGAGGACAACAGCCGTGGACTACTCGACTATTATGACCGCAGAGGCGTCCTTTGGAAAGTCGAGGGCAACAGCAGTGACGAGATCTCTCCAAAGCTATTCCGAGAATTTGAGAAGCGATTCGCGAGGGATTTCGTGGCATTTTGAGCAAGCAGACCAGAATGCAAGATGAACATGCTGAGCGTGGCGTCTAGGCGCATGAGGGAGCTTGCTTTTTTGACGATACGAAGCTGCCACTGAGAATATAAGGATCAGAAGTGCGCGCGTATAAAGAGTTGTTGGAAATGAGATGTACAAAGAGAGGAAGACTGACTATCACTACTACCTTTCTTGTGGTAAACTTGGATGTTCATGGTGCAAGTTGGTGCGTCTTAGCAAAGCTCCAAAATATTTATTTCCTTGGACTTGTGCTCGACTTCCTTTTCAAGTTCAAACTGTCTGCATTTCGTCAAATCGACAAAGAGCTTGCTCATTTGTACTGCGAATGCAATGCCCATCGCTACAATGTTCATGGTTCTTGGCAGCCATTGTGGATCCAAAGTTCACAGAAACCTGCGCTAGCCTTTTTTCGTGGGCTCAAAGTCGACCACACCTCGCCTCCTCCTCCTCCTTCGACTTCCACGTCAACCTCATGCCAATCTTATTTTGACAAACGCAGTCATTACTAGGAAATGCTGCTACGTCTCGTTCGCATATCTTGTTTTTCGAACTTTTGTACATCTGCTGCTTGAGAAGGTAATTCCCAGCGATCCTCCGCAAGCTGATGACTGACCTCGGAAAATGCACTTTAAGCTCTTGCTAGGTGTTCAGCGCGTCTTTGGTATCTGAATGACACTGAAAAGTCTGAAGTTGAAAAGGCTAACGCTGTGATAGAGACCTGCTGGTCCAAACATGTCCACGACCCATTGGCGAAGACCAAGGCATGTCGGCCGATCGAGTGACCATTGTAGACAGAAGCTGAAATCTTGAGTTCACAAGCTGGGCTGAGATCGGTATTGTTCTCGGCTTCTAAAATCTGACTTGATAGACGGGGAGTCGTGGCCATCATGTGCTTTGAGCAATGTGATACGAGAAGAAAAGTGGGTCCATGGATGTGCGCACGCAAAAAGCAAAAAGATTTGATGGATTTCGAACCCACCGTGATTCGAACGCACAACCAGCAAAAGGAAGCGCCTGGGGGGCAAAAAAGTGTTCACGGGTTGGAATTACGTGGCACGCTCCCGCTACATCACTGGCCTCGAAGCTCCTGCTTAGGATAGGTGGAGTCCGTGGCACGGTCGCATCAGGCATTAATCATCTGACGCTCTACCACTAAGCTATCATCGCCTCCAGGTGCTGGAATAGAATTTCAGTCTGTTTATAACTACTAATTTGGCTTGGCAACGGGAGCGTTTCAAGCTTCTGCTTTCACGCTTGAAATCTGAGGTCAGCTTCATCCCATCAACTTCAAAACAAACACGACTTCGCACACAGACCATTTCGACACGAGACACACCAACACTCATGTAGATCTACAACAACCATTGTATCAGCCAATACCTTGTCGCATACTATGGCGCTTGAGAATGCGAAGCTTGCGCTCTTGACCAACTTCACTGCTCTGCGCGGTCGCGAAGACCTGTCCGACGTCACAATTCACTGCGGCTCATATTCGCACAGAGCGCATCACTTTGTGTGCTGTCTACACTCGCCCGTTCTTGACAAGCTTTGCGCAGAGGCAAAAGCAACGGCTGAAGCAGAGGCTAAAGCGAAGGCAGAGGCGAAGGCAGAAACGATTGCAGATGCGAATACAGCGGCAGAAGCAGAGCACTCAAGTCCTCCCGAGATCACGCTCGATGTCGACATGTATGGCGAGGACAGCGTGGAGCGTATGATCTCTTTCCTGTACACCTGCGATTACGAGGAGAAATTTGATTACGATGAATGGGAAGATCCAGAGCTGCGAATGTGTGTACACGCACGAATGTCCTTCCTTGCCCACCACATGGCGATGGATGCTCTGAAGGCGCTTGCTATGGAGAAGTTCGAGGTACACGGAATCATTGAAACTCATCGGAATGTAGGTGACTGACTTATTTTAGGCATATCTACAAACTCCGGCAACCATTTCGGGTCTGAAAGGAATCTTTGAGGTCGTCAACGCTCCCAAAGTCTTCGACGCCACCTGGAAGATTCGCGACCTCAAAGAACTACTACCCCCGCGTCGTCCATCCATCTTACCCGATCGTAGTCAAGATAAATAACCAGTGGCAAGCGATCTGCTGTGGCATCTGCGACGCAAATGCGGATGAGGGAGTATTCTTCGAAGGCGTACAAGGAGTCCGAGAGCATGTGCAGAGGATGCACGGAGGAGTGGCTATGATGTCTGATCAAGAGATTGGCTGCAGATGCATCCTCCATTTGCTTCGGAGGTTTCGAGGATGCATCGCGGGCGAGGTACGGTAAGACCTTTCAATGGATTGCCACCATCGGAGTGGAAGAAAGTCGCGCTGAGGAGGACAGGGTCTCAGAGATCTCGTAGTGTCTGAGTCAGGAATTGATGTTTGGTTAGAGGAAGCACAGCACTTGGCAGAGAATCGAAGGGCAACCATGACAGGAGGAATTGATGAGTTAATGCTTGTTTATAGGAATAGCTCTGCACACAATAGGTAGTACACGCAGGCGCCGGCCACCTAAGTAGTATCTTTGGTACTTCTTATTAAGTTAAGTTGTGTCTAGCGTAAGCTCGTAGCATATCACTCCTTCCTCGACTAGAATGCAACAGACCTGGGAATTGCTGCTTCGTTAGCATGAGTGTGGAATCTCCGCATGCTGGGTGGGCTCTTTCAGCCAGGAGATTGATATCTCAGTATCATCATATGGTATAGCTATGCAAATGTCATTGCTGCATGATTCTCATGTCTCCGTTACTCTTCTCCATGTAGAGCACAGCTCTAACCGTCATATCCGAGCTCATTCTTCAGCTTCTCCACCAGCTCAACGTAGTGCTTCTGTGCGTCTTCGGCGCTGAGGTTCTTCTCGTTGACCTCTTTCCATGCCTTGTACTTGGCCTTGCCCTACACAGATATCGGAAATCAGCTTCTGCCCAGTCACGGAAGTGAGATGGGAATGGGATTTCTCGAGTTACCTTCAGGTCAAACATGCCCGCCTCCTCCGCCTTTTCCTTTCGGCCCTCCTTGAAGTATGCATAGAGCTATTTCAGAGCATATGTCAGCCCTCACTTCTGCTAGCCATTCTTGATGCTCTTACCTCGAGCAGTTGGTCGTTGTTCGGCTTGGACTTGAGCTTGCGGCTGTCCTCCACCGCCTTCTTGAACTCTGGTGATTCTGCAACCATTTTGACTGTGTGTTATGGATCGGGATGTGAAATTTGACGTTGCGTTGGATGTCTGGCAATTTGGTGAGTGAAAGCTGATGTTTTCCAGCTTCCAAGTCGGGAAGCAGCGGGGCACCAACTTCGACGTCATCGCCGGTGCACAGACTCAGACTATCATGTCAGGAACATGCACGAGTGCCAGGAATGCTGGGATTGATGACTCAGCACTGTACTACGACGTCGCCCATGGCATTCATCAGTTCATGTCCACCGACCGGAATGACGACTAAGGAAAGATAGATCGATGGCGGGTGCCAAGCGAATGGGCCGTGCCTTTGAAAACATCTCGTGTGCATGCTATGCAATTGAGGCCGCGAACGTGGAATTTGTGCGCTGTGCGGCGAGTTGATCGTCTCGCCCATTCATGCTCTCACTCGTGGGACTCGACATTCTCGGCCATGGTCTCATCAACCACCTCCGTCGCACGCCCCGACGACTTCTTCTGAAGCAAAGAAGAACGACAATGCCAATGAGCGGCGCCGTGATTCCGAGATACGCCCCGAAAAGCTTCGCACCAGGCAAGAATTGGAATTGAGGGACATTGAAGATGGTCTGCCGCTGTGAGCATCAGGCATGTGACAAAGCAATACAAGAGGTGGCATACCGCGATGAGGCTTGCGGGCAGGAAGATGGAGCCGAGCACCGCAATGAACTTCATGTCTTCGCTATCCCGCTGAGCAGCCCTCGCGATGCTGGCCTGGAGCAAGGTCTCTCGCTGCTGGATGATGTTTCCAAGCTAATTCTGGTCAACACACGGGGTCCGGTGCTCCTCCAAATGGCATCTCACCTCGTCTGCTGCGTGGTTCACTCTTCGGATATGGTCCTCGTCCCTCGCATGCAGGCTCTGCAGCGTTTTCCACGTGATTTGCGACCAGCTCTTCAAATCGTAATGCATTCGGAATTGCTCGTCATTCGCAAAGTCTACCACAGCAGCTTCTGCGTACCCGAAGCCTTCCTCAATGGCTTCATGGAAAGCTCTCCAGAGCTCACGTCGACCTTCTTGGCTCTCTTGGTCTCTCCTACAACTGTTAAGCTGCCCGAATAACCCAGGAAAGTTGTCTTGAGGAACAGATAATCGCAAATTGGCCACGTCAAGCTCAGAGGCATGGAATGAACGTTTTCGACCCTGATTCCGCACGGCATACTCAAGATTGCGGAGCTTGTTTTTGATGTCTGAGCGCCGATCTTTGTTCATACGAAGCGTCTCGGCGAACATTATGCACGGGATAAGCATTGGATGGAAGGCGTACTCTTTGAATGCTTCCAAGTTATTCACCAACACATCCGAGTTGATGCGATCGTCTACGCTCCAGAAGACTGCAGTCTTTCCAGAATTGGCTTTGTGCGACAGTGCCATAGCCCAGTCTCCTCGCTTGGTCACGCAATGAGCCGTGAGCTCGTAGCGAGCAGGATGCCCCCTTTTGTCGCACAATGTCTGCGATTGACATGCTGCCGGAGAGCCGCTCGCGATGAGGAAGTACGATGAGGGCAGATCTAGTTCTGCGAAAACTTCGCGCAGAGTCGCTATGTTCTGGAAAGGCAAGACATCACTCTCGCCACTGATGTGCTGCGGTCTTGTGCGCTGGAAAGCACAATGCAGAACACCTTGGATCTGCGAGCCAGCTTGTCGATTCAGCGGACTGTCTCGTTTTGTCCCACTAGTGCACAGCTCGAATGGCAAAACGGAGTCAGGCGTGCTCGCTGTGCTTTGCAGCCTTTTGTAACAAACAGGCTGACTCTAGAACACGTCAGTCCCACAGTCGCAAGAGGCCAGAGAGAGGCCTACCGACGGATTCTCTATCACAAAGAATTCGGTCTTATGCCATTGAAACTTTCCCTCCTGCTGCGCGTTCCTCAAGAATTCCTCTTTCAGGATCTCAACCATGATGGTATGGAAAGCACTAGATCACGATGGCTTGACGACTCGCATACTATTCAATGCACAAAAGTCTTGCGTAGCAGCTGCCTCAGCGACTAAGTGTCTTTTACACCTTTCTGCTGTAAGCTCAGCAGCGAGGCTGTACTGCAGTTACAATCCGAGCATGTCATTGGCGGATGGGGTGCGCCTTGCTGGAGGTAGCAAAGCAGAGCCGCTGCTCTGCTGCTGTATCAAAGGAGGTGGATACTCAGCTCATAATACTATTCGTGGAATGAGAGCACGCTCAATGCATTGTGGGACCACCCAGCTGAAAGCAGCCGATTTCAGCTTCATTGCTGTACACTGAAATACACTCGATGTGCAGGATGATCCGGGCCGTCAACAGCCATCGTGAGCCGTGGTCACATCTTGCCGACCACCCCAACGAAATAGCTTACAAGTACAATGCAGCCTCCATCTGCACGTTCGGAAGCACGACAACCAGCCCCACCCGAAATGTATCAATACAGCGAGCTCAGCCGATACCCTGCGTCTGCCGGCCCTTCGTTGATATCTGAGAGTCACGGGAGTTACTTCTCGACCGGTTCGCGCCTTGCTCCCGACCGTCATCTAGCCACTGCTCATAATCGTCATAATCCATGATTTGGGGTGACTCCAGCTTGTGAAACCTCTCCAGGTGGTCCCGGAAGTCGATTTCCGTCTCAAAGACCGGCACATATTTCTGTCCGCAGCCGTCCCATCGACAAGCATATTTTCGATCGTCCCATTTGGCGCTATGTTTGGTTTCAATTTTCCAGACAATGCCATGGCGATAGAAAGCGTGCTCACGCAGCTCGTCTCTCGTCTTGAATAGAGACTCGGTTGAGCAGACTGAGTCCGGGCAGCCATAAAAAACGTGCATCGCGAATCTCTCCCAACGACCACAGTCCTCCACTGCTGCTCGCTTCCGCCGTTTTCGGACCAGCAAATCTGCTGTGCGGTCAAGCGCCTCGTTGACGTCTTTCTTCGCGAGATACTTTTCAACAGCTGTCTCCATCAAGAGCTTGGTGTCGGCGCCTCCAGATTTGCCCTCTCTGCTTCGCAAAGGCAGCCAAGTGTCTAATTTCACTGATGAGATGCCTTCTGGATTCAGCCGCTCATACTCAATTTTTTCTTCGCCCTTCAGAGCCTCGTTGACGCCATTGAGAATATCATGCCGAAAACGATAATCTGTCTCTTCGGCATTCGAAGACTTCCATTGCTTCTGCTTCGCAAGTTGAATCATCTCTTTGAAAGAGTTCCTGGACATGTCTTGACTTTTATCATCTCTTGGCCCAGTGCCCACGGAAAGTATGACGGCCGGGCGATCATAGCGGTGCATCTGCTTCGTTTCGTGATAAGCCAGTCTCACGGGATTATTACAACCTTCGCCAACTGCTCCATCCCAGAACTCTCCATCCCCGATCTTTATCCGCTTGAAGTACGTTGGAGCAGCACTCGTTGCTCGGGCGACTGCCCATATTGGTGCAGGTGATGCGCTGTACGGCTTGAGATGTCCATAACGCTCCTCATCCGGTAAATTTGGTGCCGGAGGTGGATGATCATAGCTTCGAAAGAGGCAACTATCTTGCAGTTGGCTTCCACCCCACGCGACAACAATGCTGCACATCGTTAGCAACAGTCTTCTGCAAAGGAGAATCACATACGTCTGTGCGGCATCTGGATTCTCATTCCGTAGTGGGACCTCCGATTTGCTGGAAACATTGGTCCTGCTGATCTCTGCCTTGAGTTGCTCATCGATCGCTTCACGTAGAGCATCTTCAAGCTCTTCTTCATCGAACCTGGTCCGAATCATTTTCGCAAACTTTTTTAGACATTTTGGAATAAGTCTATCTCGTGGGTGAGCGAAGACCTTAGTCCCGATTATATCGTACAAAGCGAGGGCATCGTCCACTGTCATCTGAAGGCGGCCGAGCATGATGGCACTTAAGCTACGCATCTTCGTCAGTGCTCGCTTGGAGGAACCATTCGAGTCAAGCTCACCCTCCTGTGCTCGTGCCCACGAAGTAATCGAAATAGTGGTGAGGCCTGTATTTGCCATCTCCCAGAAGATTTCTGCATCGGTCGTACATTGAGCTGTTTGCATGTGGTCGCAAACCATCACCGGGCTGACTCTCGAGTTTTGCGATCTTGTCCATCAGAGCTCGAATGATCAGTAGCGAAGCATATCCTCGGATTCCTCCGCCATCTGTGGCCCAGCGTGAGCACTCGTACTAGTTGCGATGGATGGGGTCGGTAGATACCCAAGCAAAGGACATTCTTGCGTGCCCACGGGTCTTCAAGTTTGGCTACTAAAGATTGTCCTCTGAGAGGATGGTGCGCACTGATTGCTTCTCCAGTGAAGCTTTCTACCAACGTGGAGTTCGATCCGATGCTTTCATCTTCCTTCTCGGTTTCTGGCTCCTCCACCGGATGACGATTGGGAAAGAACGGCCATAAGCCTATGGCATCTCTGAAAACGCCCATGGTGTATTACCTGCCATGGGGAAGGCAGTGGACTTTCAAATAATGCATGCTCCCATTCACAAGGCTCTGCGCTTTACAAGTGCGCACGCTCGGCGATCGTGAAAAGCCGCAGTTTTGGTCGCACGGCCTCTGGTGCCCTAGACCAACAGGAGGCATACGAGCTACTCTTGCGAAGGCCAATGGTAGACGGCTTGGTAATAGTGTGACTGGCGGCCGCTCCAGTTCTCTTCAGCACAGCCGCCGGTGAGCCGCCCTCTGCCGAAGAAGCTGTTCTAAGCAGTCCGAGCAACCACAGCCGGCTTATCATCATCATGGTGGCTCGAGTAGACCACCTTCATCGGCGCAGCTCTCCTGATCCTTGACACTCTCAAATGCATTTGGATGCATCTCCGCCCCGACTCCTCACGCAAGCTGCGCTGTCAGAGCTGACGATGACTTGCAAGGGAGATATTCTTCAGGTGAAGGGCGAGGATGTAAAGAATCATAATCGACTCTTGCTAAAAGTGGCCCACGCCTCCCCTGATGAATGAGTCTATTCCATGAGACTCTTGAAACAATGGGACAGACTCCAGACCGAGTCACAACCAAGACCTCCGCGTGCGACGAGTAGTCATTTGCCATCTGTAACCTCGCTTGCTGAGCAGCGTGTGAGGCCGTCGCTTAATTTGTTGTGTCAACTCGATTGGTCCGATGCTTTGCAGATATCCCTGCTTACTATTACCTACGGCCTGGGGCTGTGCTATTTGGTGTGATACACAACATATATTGCGATGGTCCTCGCAAGACGAAAGCTCAGCAGAGCGGGTCCGATGCGACAGCTCTGGCTATTCGAAGCCTGGCTGGCGTCCTGATCAGAGCGCTTCCAGGCATTCCTCTGCAGTAAGATGTGACCCCTAAAGCCCTAGAGATAAAGAGCAGGTTCTCCGTATGGTTGCGATTCTTTCTCCAATCTCTCAAGGTCCAGAAGCTCTTTTTACCACCAACCCAAACCCCATTGAAACTCTCTTTCAGATAACGAAATGAGCGTATCAAGAACAACTACCAGCAGTTCTCACAGCAGTAGCGGTAGCTGTAAATCTCCAAAAATTGTCTACACAAACGCACCAAACATCCTGGCCTATGTGAAATCCAACCGAAGCATATCTCTTCAGCCAAGTTCTGTACTCGACGGTCAGTAATAATGCAAAACCAAGAGGTCTTCGAACAAAAGCTGAGAGTTACTCAGGCAACGACTGCATCTGGAGCGGAGACATTTCCAGAAGTCCATTGAAGTCACAGCAACAGATTTCTGTCCCAAGGAGAGGGTCGTTTAGCTCCAGCTCATCCGAAGACTCGAAATCTTCTAGTGACGACTGCGATCATCCCGTCGTCGTTTTCAATCGCATAGCGCCGAACATGCGCTGGCGCCGACTTAGTGGCAACGTGGAGAAGATTGTTGTGTTCGAGAGGCCGATTCGATGAGTTTGACCGTCTATCGTGTATTATGTTGGACCATATAAGGCACGGCCGCGCGTCGGGCACTCAAACGCCATCAGAGAGCTGGCCAGAGTCAAAGCGAAAATCGTCAAAGATCACCGCAGGAGCATTAATGTCTCGTAGAGGCCGGCAGCTCGATCTAACAAGATCGCAAGTCCTCGGGACGTCCGGATCGCTGGTGTCGACCTCGATAATGACCACGGTAGCATTAGATGAGCGAATGCCGCCTGACGCGACATCCTCGAAAATAGATACTTCCCACAGAAGTCTTCCTACCAACCCGGTACCTCGTGAGGCGAATCGATGCATGTCTTCCACAGTGTGAGGCCAAGGAAGTTTCTTTCCTGGCCATGGTGTCAATTCGATCAGCTGTGCCCCTATAGATATCTGCAGCATCACTCGGAAACTTCGAGCTATCACAATGGTAGCAACGGGGCTGCTCTTGGTAGCTCGTACTTCGACATCAGATATCTACCAAATGAATATTGGAACCCATGTGACGCGTTTGTGTCCTTCGTTGTCGTTCGCGGTCATGATCTCGCTCTGCTCTCCAAAATTTCACAGACAGTCCACTAATGCGATACACCATTGACTTGAAGAGCGCCAACTTGCACCATCGCTTCAACGTCCTGCCAGTCACTCTTCACTGTCGTCAGGTTGTACCAGCCATCCTCAGTGACGACGATATCGTCCTCGATGCGCACACCTCCCACACGCCAATATCTCGCAAGCACGCTCTGATCAACCACGCCGTCCCACTTACCTTCCTGCAGCTCGGCCTCCAAAGGATACTTACGGAAGTAAATCCCGGGCTCATTCGTGATCACGTTTCCAGCTTGCAACGGCCCTCGCTTTCTGAGATATGCGAAGTATGGGTTCGGATCATCGTAGTTGGCTCCACCTCCACAGTCGTGAGTGTCCATACCCAGAAAGTGTCCGAGGCCATGCGGAAAGAAGCGAGTCATGATTTGAGAGTCCAAGATCTGCTGTATACTGAGATCCTTATTGAAGATGCCGAGTTTCTGCAGCCCTGTGGCGCCGACGGTGTGCGCTTTCATATGGCAGTCTTCCCACATCGTGCCAGCTTTGATCAGGCTCATGGCTTCGCTCTGCATAAGCAGAACCAGGTCGTAGATCTCCTTGCTCTCCTTCGTGAACTTTCCGTCTTTAGTGATTGGGAAGGTCCGTGTGATATCTGCGCAATAACAGTTCCATTCGCCACCTGCGTCGAGCAAAATATTGTCCTTGCCTTCGAGCGGTTGATCGTTGTGAACATAGTGCAGGGTACTTCCGGCAGTTCCAGAGGCACAGATACATCCATATGCTTGTTCTTTGCAGGCATTGGCATGACAGTGCATGACAAACACAGCATTGAGTTCGCGCTCATTGGATGCGCGAGTCACAGATGCCATGACCTGCTCATGAGCATATGAGGATACGATGTTGGCATGTCTGATCATGGCAATTTCGTGGTCGTCTTTGACAGTCCTGCATTCCTCAATGGCATTTCGCAGCCACTTCAAATTGATCTCAGGCTGGAAGTTCTTGACTGCATCAAGCTCGAAAATCGACAGATCAGCGCGATCCTCCATGGCAAGAATCAGTGGTGTCTGTTTTGACAGCATCGCAACCACTGACTTCCCCGACTTCAGATCATCAGTTGTGAGCGCATCGTCAATGTCATACTTTTCAAGCGCTTCTTTGGGAAGCAGAGGCAGGCCAGCCCACATGACATATTCCGGATCTACTGGCGGAATCCATAGAGTCGACTTATCCGAAGCAATGTCGTAAGCAAAGTAGCAATCTGGCAAGTCGCAGCCCGTCAAATAGTAGAAGTGCCGTCGTTGTCTGAAGTGGCTCGCTTGATCGTCATCTTCGGTCATCTTGGTGCTCTGGCCTTCGAGATAGATAACGCCGCTGGTCGGACCTCCATTCTCGGCGATCCATTTGGCGACTCGTCTCGCGTGGGCTTTTGCTGGGTATTTGCCGGATGGCGGCGGTGGCAGGTCCGGGTTTGCAATTGGCCTCAGAGGCATGGTGTTCTTGGTCATGCTATTTGGCAAACATTGGAGAAGAGAAGATGGTCTTGGCCGAAGCTGTGAAGTCCTTTCAGGTGTACAGTCAGCATTCGCCAAGCCACACAGCCAGGCCAGGGTAGGAGCGGCTTTACAAGGAAATCAAGGCAGGCAGTATGTACACAAGCCTATATGTCTTCTGCGCCGGCTATGCATATCAGAACTAAGTACCGTCCGCGCTACCTCTTCCCCGATACGCGATACAACAATTCTTTGATCTTGGCCGTGGCATCCTCCGCGCCCATGGGCCCCTGCTGAGGCGCTCTGCCCAACTCTGCATCAAATCCGCCCACCCTCGATCTAGGTTGTCGGATCTGCTGAGGTCTGGTGTCCGGAAGGCTGTACCCATAGTTCGCAGCCTCGCCAGGTCCTGGGCGAGGAACATATCCAGCTCCGGTAAAGCTGGCACTCCTAGCCGCATGAATTTGCTCGACTTCGTTCTTCTTCACAGCAATAGCCTCCTTGTCACCACGACTCACTTGAAGCTGGATGCGGCCATTCTCATCAATGCTGGCAGTCTCTGGCTGCACCCAGATCTTGTTTCCGCCAGACAGATTCTCATCCAGAACGTGCGTCATTCGATCAGCCTCAAGGTAGTGAAGCTCTTTCTCCTCCTCTGTATATCCTGGTAGATTGGCGCGTGCGACTGGATTATACGATGCGGCGATAGGATCACTGGCCACAACACCTGCAACACCAAGCTTGGCTTGCAATTCGGTGAAAGTAGCGCTCGTTCGCGGACGAATGACACGAGCCTTGACAGGTGTTCTATGTGCTTGCGGCCCCCAGTACGGGTGATTCTCCATGAATGCATTGCTTCGAATGTGCGAGAGACCAGCACCTGGGTGTGTCGATGGTGGGCCAGCGTCTGACACCACGTCTGCTACGATACTCCTGAGACCGGCCGTCTTCGCTGATGAAGTAGCACCAGTCATGCGAATGCCCGGCAGATCTAAGAAATCACAGATGGCCGCTGTCATCTCGGAGCCCAGATTCTGAACAACGTGATCATCGCGCATCTTCTTCACCTCGGTTTCGTAATTCGCTTTCACCTCTTTATGCAGCTCTGATATTCGCTTAGATTTGAGAGTTGGGCTCAGCCCCATCTCACGATTTCGCCTCTCCTCATCGTGTATCCGCCTTTCCAGAATGCGCGTCATCACAAATTTCGCGAATTCAGCTTTTCGTTTGCTCAGTCTGCGAGTAATGTAGTCTTCAAATTCTCCCTCGTCCATCCCTGGTATCCAAGGCCCATCGTACTTCCATCTTTGCTTTGCTTTGGACTGCAGTCCTAGAATGGGACGTCCTTTTCCATCTGTCGGAGTTGGTCCAGGTGCAGCGTCCAGAACATCCCGATCTGTGTTGTCGACATCCTCATCGTAAACACTTTGTGGTGCTCCTCGCTCGTTGGAATAAGTGCTTCTGGGCTCCTTGATCACGAGAGGAATGCCTAACTGCCTCCATTTCCGCTCAGTCTGGACATGATCGCCAGCGCTCTCGAAGTCTGTGATGTGTTCCCAAGTATCCTGAGCCCCGACTCTGATGACCGAAGTGTTCGAATGGGTGGTGGCAAGAAGTTTCTTCTTGGGTATCGATCGTTTCAACCCCCAATCGCCACGGAACTGAGCTGGCGCCGGAGTAGTTATGGCTTGATAGATTGGGTATGGCAGTGTTGCACTGTCAGAATTGCGGTATTGCCCAGCAGCGGATGCATTGTCGAGGGCTGGCGATGGAAGAGGTCGTGGAAGCGAGAATAGTCGCGAAGACTGCAATAGTCGCGCTGTGGGCGAATGCAGTGACTTTGACATCGCTGCGTGCGATCGGCAAGCAGATGCTCGCTGCGTGGAATGCGAATATTCGATGGCGGCATCGACGCTGCGCTGCCATCTGAGACATTGCTCGACGCCAAGACTCTCTTCCGCGGAGTCGCGGAGCAGTCGCTTTCTCCGAAACACCAACATGCAAGCAACATCAACACCGTCACCACGTCTTGGATGGGCATTCACCACTCATTGCTTGCAATCTACGCACATATAATAAGGCACGTCGACACCATCGCCAAATCTTGGACATGAAATCATTACTCATTGCTCATGATCTAGGTACATCGTAAGTCCTCCATTACGACCTGAACCGCATCAGAATGGATGGCATTCGTTCTAGAGTCACCGGATGCGTGAACAACCTCTCTGATCCAGGCCTCGGAGTACCTTTCTGTTCATCCTCAAACTCGAAAGGACCATGATACGATCCCGTCTTTCCACTAGACTTTGTCCAGAACGAATCAGCAACACCTGAAAACCTGCTGTCGGACTCCGTCTGTGGTCGCGAATCGACGGGCACTGATTCCTGCATCTGAGGTTGCCTTTGACCAAACTCCTTCTCGCGATGCACGGGAAGGAAATTTGGCTCCTGCTTGCTAAACCTACGCTTCCGCCGCCGCAGCAACAATAAGGCCATCACGAGTAGCGCGATCAGAAGCGCAGCTCCAAGTCCGACTCCAAGGCCAATGCCCAGCTTGGTGCCAATGGAAAGGCCGTCATGACTTTGGCCTGTTTGAGCGGCGATGTAAGACGAGGCAGCGGCGGCCACATCTACCGTTGTGGTCGCGGCGGTCGGTGCTGTAGATGTCGGAGCGGCCTCCATGGTCGAAGTTGAAGCAGCCGCTGTAGTTGTCACTGGATTTGTTTCTGCGACTGAGAAACTGGGGCTGTTTGCGGAACAAGTATCGCAGTCGTTTGGCAGATCGCTTTTCTGCAGTCTGAAGTAGAATGGGGCCGATAGGTCGCTTCCGAGCAGAGATGAGGCGTTCCACAGGTATGTTGTTTCACTTTGAGGTAGGCTTGCTGTTTGTGCTGTGAGCATTCGTCTTGCTTCGGATGCCAGTCATGATACCGCTCACCTCCCAGCACGTCTACTGCAAAAGTCCCATCCTCACCCGGACCTTGGAAAACCTCCAAATTTGTGAAAGCCCAAGGCGTATTCCAGCTCACATTAACTTGCTGTCCCGCGGTATATTGTAACGCACCACCAGCGACCGGTGAAACGAATTCCAATTGCGCGGCCTGCAGCTCTTCCAGTGCGGCCATCCTCACCACCACGTCTCCCAGGTCGTTATGTACTGTATACCAGCTACCTAGCTCGCAAGACACCCGAGGCTCCCAAAGACCAGTCCGAAGCACAAAACAGAGGGAACTGCGGAGTTTGACAGCATCTTGACCTATCTATCTAAGCCTACCGCGGCATTCCGTTTTTATAGGTGGGCTGTAGTATGTATATGCAGCCCATGCATTCGTGCACGAGCGAGCCGCGTGTTGGAGCTTTAAGCTTTGCGTTCTTTCTATTTTTTACCATCCCGGCCTCCCACCATGTCAAGTCCGAGGGCCTTGCCGTCATACACCTGACGAGAGTTTTGATAAATACCCGTGGTGCAGCGATTCAATAATCATGCCACTTGAGTACAGTACTTTGAGACCACTTTGGTTGGTCTGCTAAGAAAGCCTCGGCGAGCTCTTCGATCAAACTTTCTGCAGCTGTTCTCCGCAGGCCGTGATAGCTCCATTATGACCGCGGACTACCTATTGCGTGGCAGGTCGAGGAGTCAGGACAGTTAGCTGTACGAGCTAAGCCTTTTCATCTATACACGGATCAGGCTCGTAACATTAATGCTTAGTTGCTGGTCCGGATGCTCAGCCTCTCAGGCGACTGAGGCTGGTAAGGGCCGTATCTGTCATCCACGAGCCTGTGATCCACGAACTCAATATCCTTGCCGCCGCTGCGAACTGCTCACAGTGCTTTGCACACTTTATTGTTGCTGGGGGTGGTAACTTAATCAGCAGAGCTGCACTGCTTGGTGGCCATGTATGATAAATCGAGGTGCCGCTGCTGAAGAGAGAAAGAATGGGAGGAATGTTGGCAAGAAACACCTCTGAGAAAACTGCCAAGCCCTCAACCTGAGTTGCTCCGTAGCCCTCCATTCTTCATTATAGCATAGGTGAGATACCGGGAGCAAAGAGGCATCGCTGAAGTGTCACAAGTGTCATCATGACCTAGCATTTCAAGCAAGGTTACTCTATGACTGTTGTAAGCCGCAATAGGGCCAAAATCGCAGGGAAAAAAATGGACTTGTCTCGCCAGGTCCATCATCAACAGGCTACAAGCCCACTGACTTCTTCTGGGCAGGAACAACACTCACTACCAGGAACCATCATCTTCGTAACACTCCGTATACTCGATTTACCTCTACAATGGTACCTTCTCAAATCTGGACTAGGCATTGAGGTCTTGCGCAAACTTGGCGGGACTCCGGTGGCCACGCCATTGTCAACGCCGATGACATTTCTTGGCTTGAGCCTATACCATACTCTCATCTTCGGCTTGGCAGTGGGTAGCTCTTTGAAGCAAATATATTGGAAACTCTTCGTCGGAGAAAGAAGAAATTTTCGGGCCAGGATTCGCGAGCTTCTTCTCCGTCTATCAAACGCAGTGGAACAGTTACAACGCCTTTCTCGCGTTATGGGACTATACCTCTCAGCAGCAGCTGGAACAGAGGAACTGCGGAGGACTGCTGGTCTTTCCACCAGATAGCGTAGAGGTTGGTAAGGTCTTGTTCGGGATCAGTGTATACTTGGAATGGTATTCCGAGATTCAGAGCAGGGAGTTTAAGAAGGACGAGAGGAGTAAAAGGAGGCCGTACTCCGGGGGCGTGTAGAGTCTGGCGAGAAATATCAATTATGGCGGTAAGTTCTCGACTTTAGGCGGATTTTTCCTCGTTTTGTGGCCGGAAGTCTAGTGGAAGAATCCTAGGCGTGGAAATGCTTACTGACCTTGCGTCGTGTCAAGCTACGCCCTTTGGCGCAGAGATTGGATGTGGGCGGCTTGGAATGCTGCCTGGCTTTCTGGCGATATCATCAACCGAGCAATCCCGTCAATGGAGGCGTATTGTGAGGGTAAGTCAATTTCACGTGTCAGACTGGCATTGGGCCACGGTGTACCTGCATAACTGGATGCCTGTCTGGTTGCAGGGCTGGCAAGAGAAATTGTTCTGGATCGTTCGCTGACATGGATCTTCTTCCAGTATAGCCAGAAGTGGGAGCAAGTCCGGATGAAAGTGCGGTATAGGCAGGCTATTGCCGTGGATATAGTCGTCGCCTTCCTCACGGCCTTTGGCGAAGACTCGAACACCTGCAGCAGGCTGAGCTGTTGTGCGCACGGCCAGGTGTTCCCCGCGATCTGTGTCTCGCTGACGTGCATGAGGAGTATTGGCGATTGACGCGAACCAAGAAGGCGTGCAGCACTACTTCAGTACTAGTGGTGCAGGCGTGTATTGTATCTTGGTGACATGATGTATATGTGAGACAAAATGCCGTCGCTGCTCCTTGGTCTCGCTCGTACAAATGTACATGAGATGTAGCCAAAGATGCCGATCGCGGTTCACTTCGGTTCAAGTGGTAGGCATGTGATTTACATATGTGTATCCGGCGTAGGCGTCGGCGTAGGCGTTGGCGTAGGCGTAGGCTAGCTCTCAGAGGCCGGCCACGCTACATACGCTATTGATCGCCTCAAGAAGGCTTTCCTGCCCGCGTGCCAAATGCACGCGGTCTTTCTGCCTCGACAATCTTCACTAGCACCATCTCCCCGCCTGCTGATGTTCACCCTGTGCAGCGGACCGAGTCCAGAGCGGATCCATATTCACATGCCTCATGCGAGCTTGACGACGGAACCTCGTCGACCCGGCCTGATTCGCACGCATTTCCCACAGCCTCCACGCGAAGAGCGCGCTTCCTCCAGCTGGAATGGAAAATGGAAGCTCCACCACCACCGCTGTCGTCGTAGACGATACGGCACCGATATCCTCTCCTCCGCCGCCGCCCGACCCTAATGTTCACGATGAGGCTGCCGCCCAGCCGATAGACCCCTCTTTGAAAGAGAAATCCGACATACCACTGCGTCTGGAGAGCGAGATATGGGACATAACAAGTGTGTCCGCTCTCGGGGCGCTCAAGATGCTCATTGATGCTCTTGATCAGCTGGCGAGCACGACCGGCGATGTCCCTCCTACCCCACCCGTATCACGACCTACCACACCACGATTAGGCGTAGCGAAACACCAGAGGAAGGCAAGCAGTACGCCCAGCAGAACAAGCAGTTCTCAGGACTTGCCCAAGCTGGAGATCGGTAGTCCCGAGGCACACCCGCACGAACCCATCACCGTCACCATTGGTGCACATGCGGAGGACATTACACTGCAGCATGCGGCAATAGCAAGACGATTCTTCTCGAAGGTTGCACCGCCGTTCACGCTGCATGATTACTTGACTCGCTTCCACCATTGGTGTCCGCATTCTTCCGGCGTGTATCTGGGAGCTGTTGCATACATTCACCAGCTGTGCGTATCGGATCTCATGGTTCCTGCAACCAGTCGAACCATACACCGGTTGGCGCTGGCAGCAATTCGAGTCTCTGCGAAGGCACTAGAGGACAACAAATGGGCTCAAGAGAGAATCGCTAAAGTCGGGGGCTTGAGCAATAATCAGCTCATGAATTTGGAGGTCACTCTCTGCTTTCTGCTCGACTTTGAGTTGTTCGTGGATGATAAGATGATGGCAAAAAGAATGTATCTGCTGCAACAAGCCGCGAGGCAAGGAGTGGGCGCACAAGGCCGATTGAGCGAGCAGTTCAAGCTCAAATTGCCCTTGAGGACGAAGGGACCGAAATGAGGCGTAATGTGGGAGAAATGATCTTTCCTCGATGTTTTTTGCTAGCGCCAGGACCCTGCTGAGTCTGCGGCGGGTAGCGCACAAGCGACAAGGAGTTATGAGCGTTTGGTGTGTGTGGATGACAGTGCACAAACAGGATACCCAAGGGGCGTGGTTTGATTTGAACGTCTCGCTCGACTGTTTGTCCTCAGATGAGAATACGGCAGATTGAAGAAGGTATGACAGATTTGTAGTTGATCCAGTTTAGCATCAAGACGATTGCTGGAGAGGCAATAGGTCACAGGAGCTCGCGATATGGCCGAGCAGTGAGGAAGAATGTACACCTCTTCGGATGGAGGATTGTGCCTCCCAAAATTCCGGTCGCGTGCGCTGCAAATTCTTGCTTGCATATCAGATCGTCCATATACGGAGCATGCATTTCCGTGCCCAAAGCTGAAGCTGAAGTCTTGTGCAGAACAGATACTGTAGAAGAATGACCACTCGGCTTTGACTCGACCGGGCATGGGTCAAATGGACGAATAGCTTCCGCACCTCCACACAGAAGCGATGAGCGACTGTTAGACAAGACATGGGCTTTTACCGAAGACGTATCTATATAGTCCTTGTCCTCTCGCTCCCACACTGAGTACCCAGCGTACTTCTCGAGCACTCTATTCCCATGGCGATGGTCCTGGCCCATCTCCTCGCTGTGTTTGCAGGCACAGCTTATGCTCAATCCAGCCTTTCGTTTCCAGTGCCAACGAAGACCAATGCCACATTCACATCGACGTCGTTCGACCCTTCACTGGCAAGCACGCAGCTAGTGCAGACTGACTTCTCAAACGAACGCCTAGCTTTCCTTTGGAATCAAGTAGGCCCGATCGCTACGGGAGTCTATAACACGACAGTGTCTCCAACTCCAGAGCCATCGATATTTCCCCAGCCTGGAGCCTTACATCCACATATTCCCACGTATATCAATGAGATAGTCAACGAAAAGCTGCCTGAAAATTTCCTCTGGGGCGTGTCGTCATCGTCGTATCAAATCGAAGGTGCGGCTAAGGATGAAGGCAAAGGCCCTTCGTTGTGGGACCTGCTATCTCATCGTGTCCCCAACCAGGTGGCCGATAATACCACAGCCGACACCGCGGCTGAGCATTACTACTTGTATAAGCAGGACTTTGCAAGGTTAAAGGCTTTGGGCATTCCTGCCTTCGCGACGAGCATCTCTTGGCCGAGGATCTTTCCATTCGGCAAAGGACCTGTCAACGAGGCTGGAGTCAAACACTACGATGATGTGATTGCCTCTTTGCTGGAGAATGGCATCACTCCTGCCATCACGCTTTTCCACTGGGAAACTCCATTAGCACTTTTCAATGAGTGAGTTCCCTCGTGTACGATGTGACAGCGAATCAATGGCTGATGTAGCTCAGATATGGCGCTTGGACCGATCGACAGATCATTGACGACTTCTTCAACTATGCGACATTCATCATCCAACGATACGATCAATATGTCGAACACTGGTTCACGATTAACGAACCACAATACTGCAATTGGCAGTACTCGTACTACCCGGCCGGCAAATATTATCCTGCATACCACAATATCACCGGAGGCAACGAAGCTCGCTTCGTATGCGGCCACTACACTCTGCTCGCACATGCTAAGATTGCAAAGTGGTACCATGAAGACTTCAAAGGCCGTGGCAGAATCACCTTCAAGAACAGCGCGAATTACTTCCAGCCCAACAGCACTTCAGACGCCGATGCTATCGCCACTCAGCGGAACTATGACTTCGTACTCGGATGGTTCAATCATGGCCCCTGGAATGATGGTGACTACCCACAAACCCTGAAAGACACCCTCGGCCCTCTCCTCCCTAATCTCACAGACTCCGAGAAGGAAATGATCAAAGGCAGCTGCGACTTCTTCGCCCTGGACGGTTACACATCCTTCTACTCCTACGCCCTTCCCGGTCATCTCACAGACTGCACCTCAAACTCCTCCCACCCATCTTTCCCCGAATGTGCCGGTTCCGGGGCTCTAGCATCAGATGGCTTCCCAATCGGTCCATCAGCCGATCCCGGCGCAAACTGGCTCCAATCCACTCCAACAGGAATCCGCAAATTTCTGAAGACCATCACAGAAGACTTATTCCCTTCCGTCCCAGACATTCAAGTCACAGAATTCGGATTTTCGGAACCTTTTGAAGGACAGCTTGACAGTTTGACTACCATTCTCTGGGATCTGAGACGTGCGGATTATATTCAGGGTTATTTGGATAATATTTTGGCGAGTATTGTGCTGGATAAGGTCAATGTGACTGGGGCTTGGGCTTGGGCGATTTTTGATAGTAAGTACTGGAAGGCAGATCTGAAATGTGAGTATGTGTGTACTGACAATCTTGTTCTTTAGATTTCGAATGGGGTTCTGGTCTGAGGACTAAGTTCGGCTTGCAGTATGTCAACTATACGGACTTGACGAGGACGCCGAAAGCGAGTATGTTTACTTTGACGAAGTGGTTTGAACAGCATACTGCTGGTGGAAAGGGCAATGCGACCATGTCCATCTAAGCATCGTGACCAGGACGTTTACAATGAAAACTAATGTCTCCACACATCTTCATTTCCGCATGTGAGCGACTTCCAAAATATCGTCGACGCCAAAAAATGCCAACATACATGCATGGATCGTATCACCGCACTCATCCAACGTCTTATCGCAAGCCTCGACGACTGGGACGATTGTCAGCCTCAGCTTGATCAACACATGCTTGCTGCTCAAGTCGATGAGGAGAACGTCGAGGGGTGCGCAAACATGACATACGGGAGTGCGTTAAGAGGAGGCAAGGCAGTTCAAATCTCGCCTGCTGAGAATCGAGACCGGGAAGGAGACGAGTCCGATACAAAATGCAGAGTTGACAATGGACCACGAAGACCGAAAACTCATGACTTTCAACGTCAACCCGATGCCACCAAACATGCAAACGTACCATTCTCAAAGATTCCCCCTCGCCTCCTGCTCCCTCTCAATCGCCTCAAACAAGCTCCTAAAATTCCCCGCTCCAAACCCATCAAAATGATTCCTCTGAATAATCTCAATAAACACCGTCGGCCGATCCATCAACGGCTTCGTGAAAAGCTGCAACAAATACCCCCCCTCATCGAAATCCATCAAAATATTCAATTTCTGAATCGTCTCGAAACTCTCATTCAACTTCGTCCCACTCTGCTTCAACCGCATCCTCAAATTCTCATAATACGTATCCGGCACGCCGATGAACTCGACACCTCGAGCCCGCAAATTGCTCACGGCGGATATGATATCTCGAGTTCGTAGAGCGATGTGTTGGACTCCTGGCCCATTGTAGAAGTCCACGTACTCTTCGATCTGAGATTTTTTCTTTCCGTGTGCGGGCTCGTTGATGGGCATTTTCACGACGTCGTTGCCGGAAGACATGACGACGGATTTCAAAGCGCTGAAGTCTGTGCAGATGTCTTTGTCGTCGACGCTCCAGAAACGGTGGAAACCTAGACATCGTTCGTAGAATTCGCAGGCTGAGTCCATTTCGTCCCAGTCTTGGTTTCCGACGCAGTGGTCTATGGCTTCGAGGTCGATAGGGGGGAGGAATTGGTTGCTTGGGTCGGGAGTTGTGATGGCGCGGTAGCCGGGGAGGAAAGGACCTGTGTAAGTTGTGCGTTGGATGAAGGTGTGAGTTGTGTCGCCGTATGTCTTGATTGACGCTGAGAGGACTTCGCCTTCGTCTGAGGAGTCGATATGAGGTGGTGTGATGGAGCATGCGCCGTTGGCGATGGCGTTTTGGTATATTAGGTGGACGTTGTCGACTTCGAATGCGACGTCTTTGACGCCATCACCATGCTTGTCGAGGTGGTCGTAGATCTCGTCTAGGAGTCTTTGGTCGTGTTCAGGAGCTTCTCGTAACGTCTGCCGGCTTGAGGAGCGGACTGGTGATGTGAAGACAAATCGGACTTTGTTGCTTTGTACCACATGGCTGGCTATGAAACGGGATCCAGTGTCGAGGCCCTTGTATGCTACCGGTTGGAAGCCCATGCGGGTGATGTAGTATTGAGCGACCTGTTTGGCATTGCCCACCCACCAGGCAACATGGTCGTATCCTCGGTACTCAGCGTTCATTTGCGGTGCTTGTACCGAAGGAGCCGATGAATCTGAGTCGTAGAGAGGAGCGGTGCGTCCATTCTCGCCCGTCACTAGTAGCGCTCCTGGTGCCATGTTGTTATAAGACGCCAAAGCAGTCGACAATAGATGGAAGAGCGCTTGGAACAACAAAGGCGGATGATGAGAGATGTGGAAAGTCCGACGGTGAAAGATTCTCAACGCTTATGACCTACCACTTTGTGTTACATATCGTACCTGCACCGTTCGGTCGACGTGAAACCCTTTCGACGTTCCTGCCATTCGCCTGCAATCTCGAGCGGCTCATCGTGGTCCAGACAACGTGACGTTCGCTTCAAGGCGGAAAGTTGAACAAAGCCGAGCGCACCCAGCCCACGTGCTTCGGCATAACGAGTTAAGCCGCGCTGCAACGGACGATTCCTCCGCTGGCCACCACTTCCACAGATGACATGGGTGTCACGCTTGATCTGACTTAGAAGCCATTCATTCGATACCACCTCTACCCTCTGATTTCCAGCACAATGTCCCAAGCTCAGCTCTCCAAGGCGGACGCCCAAGTCCTCGCTCAAGTCTTTGATCCGGAAAGCGCTCCGACAAAGGTCGAAGTGATCATAGACCCAGAGCTGCCAACCGATCGCCATGTACAAGATCAAGAGAAACTAAGTCAACTCAAGGCTCGAGAGAAAGAGGCCATCTCCCTGATAGACGAAGCCGAGAAGCAAAAGTCTACCAAGGAAACGGCCTATCGAGACGCTTTATCAATTTTGGATGACTTGATTGAGGCGAACCCCGACTACGCATCTGCTCGGAACAATCGTGCTCAACTTCGCCGATGGATGTACGGTGATCGCAACACACTTTGCCAGACCAGGTCAAGAAGAGACCTCGAGCGACAATCAGCAGGTGAAGCGGCGGTAACGGACCTTCAATCGTGTATCGAATTTGCATCCCCGGCAAGGCAGCAAGATGCAGTCTCACCAAGTCAAGGTCGTCTGCTTGCGCAAGCATTCACACAGCTTGGCGCGTTGTATTATGCCGCATCGAAAGATTTGGATCGTGATCCTGCCGCAGAGTCTGTGGATTTTGGTGGCGAGGTCTGGAGCCAGAGCAGGTTTGAGGAGGAAGCATCACGGCTCTTCTATCTTGGTGGGTTGTATGGAAATGAAGTTGCCAAGGCCCTCGCTGTGCACACGAACCCCCATGCAAAGCTTTGCGGAAGCATCGTGAAGGAAGCTATGCGCAAAGAGTTGGCAGCAGCGCCGTGATATGGAGGGTCAGATGACCAGCCGCAAGAGTATGAAAGCATACGTCCAGATCGAGCAAGGTGCAGACAGCTTGTGATATGGCTTCAACGATTCCAATTCACGCCAAACATCTTTCCGACCTTTCTCTGCGGGCTGCTGGCGTTCTCCAGGTAGTATCGCTGCTGGCCAGGCACATCGAGAGCCAGCATCTGATATTCGAAGTCTTCTCCAGGTCGTTTCGTCATGTGCAGATTCACGGTACCCTTTGCTGCTTTTCCCTCCACGTAGAAATGCATATGTAGATGTTCGACGCCAGCTCTATCCGTCTCCAATCGGCTCGCGATGATTCTGTTCCTTGCCCATCTGCTCCAGCTTGGCTCGCCGTAAGCCTGCACATCTCTTTTGCGGCTCATGCTCTCTCCAGTGAGGATCTCGCGACATTTCGGGTCAGCTCGAACCCTGTCGGCCGCTCGATTGAAGTATGCCGTCTTGCTGTCTGTAGAGAAGACCTCGAGCCATAGTACAACAGCCACGCCTCCAGTCAGTCCAAAGCCGAGGAGCACGAGACCGAAGTTGAACGACTGTTGTGTCGTACGGGCGGCCTTCTCGCCAAGGGTCAGATCTTTCCACGGCACAGCTCCAGTATCGTTGACCACCGTGACAGCCCTCCGTCGACGCGATGCTGCATCGTTGGGCAGAGATGACGACGTCGCATTTCGTGTCTGCTGTCGGGCGGTGGCGGGGAGGGACAGCGGAGCTCCACCCTGGAGCAGTGACAGCTGCGGAAGCTGCTTCGCGATCGAGGCCCGCGCTATTCGCTCCAACATTTCTGCGATAGACGGTGATGGTTGGTGTGGTGCGGTGAAAGTGTGAAAGTGCACTCGAGCGTTGAGCTCTGGCCTGCTCGGCACAAGCTTTTGAGCCGCGGAGTCTGCTTTGTGCCCCTGCATGGCCATGGCCGCCAATTTGGCCATTGCCATTGCAATCGCATCGCCGAAGCAACAACAGCATATGTCTGCTGGAAGGGGGCTCGGGCAGTCATGGCGTCCGCAGAGATGCGCGACTTGATACACGCCCTCAACGAGCGCAACATCGACCTTGGTGAAGACGATGTCGCGTGGGCGTTTGAAGGCCCGAAAACGAGAAACAAGGCCGTCCAATGGGTCCAGGAGTATCTGCAACCCGCGACCCTTTTGACCAAGGAGGAACTATCTTTCTACGAGAGACATGGAATCGATACGAATACGAAGCCGGCAGGACATGGACGGCCGCTCTCTGAGGTGGAGCTCGAGACTGCAATGGAGTGCCTCGAGGAGAGTACTGCCGCTCTGGAAAGGCAGGGCGAGATGCTCGGAAAGCAAAAAATCGCTCTGAGAAAGCTGCAGAGTCAGAGCTCCAAAGCTCGTGCTGGAAGTCATGGGTCAGATACGCAACACACCAAATTTGCTCATGAGAAAGCACAATTGGACTTCAACATCGACGATCTCTCCTCAGCGACCACGGATTTGCTGCGTGCGTCTATGAAACAGATTGAATCCAGTACGGGTGGCATTCCATCCAATGTTGACCGCCTCTTGGAGAAAGATGACAGGCTTCTTGATGGCCTGCAAAAGTTGCTCCCGAAGTTGTCCGATTCTGCCAGCGATATCGACGAAGCGGACGAGGTTGAGCAGCTCTGTTCAACTTTATCGCTTCTTTCCATCCAAGAGATCCAAACCCGCCTGGACCGAGTCTACAAAGACAGCATGGTAGACTTCTCCCGAAAACGTGCGCCACCAAAAGACTTCACCGATCAACAAGCTAAACAGCGCGAAACTCTTCGGGCGGAGCTCCACGAACTGGCGGGTGAAATTGATGGCTTGGTCGGGATTGTCGTTGACCATCAATATAGGAAGTCACTGAAACGCGGCTTGATGTCCGCCCGCGCAGACAGGAATATGCAAAAGGCGAAATGGAGTGAATACACAGTCGCAGCACTGTTGTATCTAATATCGAGACTGGACGCCATCGGTGAACACATACTGCGATTGAATGCTCATGAGTCAACTCTCAGGGCCATTTCGAGCACTCTGGACGAGGCACTTGCAAGCGAACAAGCCAAAGCAGGTGCTCGGGCACCTACATCTCCAATGCCTAACAAGGTTGAATTGAAAGGGCTCAAGCCTTTGCGATTAGTGCAAGCGAATATCTCTGAGACGCAAGATCCTGCTGTGACTTTTCTCAAAGAGCACGACATTCGTGCACCTGGGACGGTTGGCGTCGAAAAGCTCACTCCGCTTCTTGCTATCCATTCTCGTGAGCAAAAAGAAAAGCTCGCAAGGCTGGCCAGCAGCACCGAGACGGGCATTGCTGATGCGATAGCTCAGTCTATTGCCAAATCACACGCCGACCTGCAGGAGCTCCAAAGCGCCGTCATGGCACATACGACGCATGGAACTGTGAAGTTGGTGGACAGCAATGTCCAGGCGCACATGGGCGAGCTAGAGCGCGATATTCAGCGCCTAGGCGATGAAATGAGAGTGCTTGACATCGACGCTATTGCAAAGATGACCAGGGAAAAGCAGGACGCGGTCCGGAAAAGGTCGGTGGAGTGATTATGTATACTTGAACAAGCATTTCTCGAACCCTGCGGCAGCGTGGAGGGCATGCCCATGTACATAGCAGCAAGATCACGATAGCGTCCGCCGCCCGATTGGTAGATTCCAACTCAATACAGGCATAATCCTGCTTCTCCCATTGGGTCCAAACCTGCAGTCGCAGGGCTCGGAGGTTCTTCTACAGGATATACAGTAATGATACATACCACCGAAACTTTGGAAGACGGTGTGTGTATGCTGGACCATGTACTGCATATTCGTCGTATTCTTATTAGCGAGTCCTCCAACAAGGCAGCATTGTCAAGGCCACTGCCGTACCGCAGGGGTTGAAGGAATATTTAACAATGAACTGCGACCCGTTTCTCGCTGTAGGTTGTAGTTGCAGGTCGAGTTACCCAACATGAAGTCCTACTACTTTTCTTTCGTGTTGATGGGACTCATGTGTTCTTTCGTTCTCGGATGGGTACGTCTACCTAACCAAATCTAGAGAGTTTTATACAGGCCTGGATATTGACGGAATTCTAGGACTGCGGTCTAACGAACGGCGGCGATGGTGTATGTCGACCAAGCCCTGCGGAAGTCGCGAAAGGAGGTGTATCACAATTGTGTTCTCAGGTATGTATAAGTCTCGATTCTGTTGATTTTAGTGATAGAGCTGATGATGATGCTGGTAGGACCATCCGTGCAAGGTGCAGGGGGATGGGTGCATTCCGAACGCTTCGAATGGAGGTTCTAGAGCCAACTGCAGCTAGAGTTGTGAATTGCTGGATAGGCGTTGAAATGGGGTATCGAGCGGAGCGGCTAGGAGAGAAGAAGCAGGCATGTTGGTGTACGCCTCCGATAGCTGATTTAACACTACTCGAAATGACGCCGTGTATCACATGGTCGTGTTGATGAGTAGTCGTTTGTGAGTCTGTATTCGAGAAGATATCAAGCGTTGCTCGTTGAATCAAACAGCTGCTGGTTGGACTGAGCTTGTTGACCAATTCCTGGTTGCAAGAGTACCTTGACTTAAGAAAGAATACAATGCTGGTTCTTTCTGCAGTGCCGCTGGCGCCAGTGCTATCCATGAGCTTGGCTCATGAAAAGGGGAGCGGCAAATGTACCTCCGTACCTTGATGAGTGACCTACAACCTTCACACCAGAATGCAGTCAGTCTTCACGGCTGCAGCTTTGTTCCAGCCTTCTCCATCCCTGGCGGTGAGCCGACGTATGAGAGCCTGGCATGACAGCCTTTCATCTCTTTGGGCCGGCCGCGTCCGAGATCGAGAACGGGTCGATTCCAAATTGCTTGACGACGAAGCCACCTGGCGACCAGCCGGCACTTCGGAGGAGATCATCAGAGTGTTCTTTCGAGGCAAGCATGTGACAATCGTCCTCGGGGGAAGTTGTGCCAGGCAAGCACTTGCCTGTCTCCGGCGAAGTTAGCCCATGTCACGATGTCTGCTGCCGAGAAATTGCGCAAAGTATGGCAACTCGATTGGCATTTTGCTTTGCTGGGGCCCCTACAAGGAAGTAAGCGTCATTGGAAAGGCTGGGCTGGCGTCTGGCGTCTGGCGTCTGGCGTCTGGCGTCTGGGCTGGGGGCGGAGGCGGCTGAACGGCGTGGTAGGTATGTGAACGACGAACAATTCCCTCCCGTGACCGTGACGATCGAGTCAGAGGTCGGGATGTGCATACTGCAGGAAACAAGCACGCACTTTCTTCTCCAGAGCTCCCCCGCAAAGAGCTAAGGCCCTTCTGGAGTGGTGGCGTCGATCTCTACTTTGGCACCGCTCCCAACTCATGCCGCCACCGCCACCGCCACCGCCACCGCGACGCCTCCATCTCGTCCGTCCTTCCGCTTGTCCGCGGTCATCTTCAGCACCACAGAGCGATGCGCACGCACGCACGCCAGCGAACTGCACACCACCAACAATCCAATGCCACTGCCAATGAATTGACGGCCTCACAGGACCAGTCTTGGCACATCGGGATGGCGGTCCTGTATAGGCTTTCGCAGATGATTCGAACCCGGGGCCATTGTCAATATCGACCCTCTCATCCGTGACTCGTCTCCCAGCCATCCGGATCGCCGCGTGGGCGAGTCAAATGGGAAAGGTACGAAGAAAGGAACGGCAGGCTGCGTCCAACCGCAGCAGCGGGTGCGGAGAGCATTAGCACCCTTTTGGATAGCTCCCAACGTCTTATGCACGCGCCGCGCCGACAGCATATGATGGCGCCAGGCAAAAAACGCGTGGTGAGAGAGCTTCGCTTGCTGCTCGACCACAAGATGCCGTTCTCTCTGCTCCACGGGGTCAAAGCGTGATGCATCGAAATACTGGCCTAGCTTCCGGCACCTTAGTGCGGAGCCATGGCCTTCCGTCCAGGAAGCAATCATAAAGAAGATAGCTCTCCCTGCTCCTCTCCACCCGTTTGGCCCTGTGTGCCATCTCCAGCGTGCCTTCCCCATTGTTGCTTTGGAATAGCAATCCTAGCGATTCTGTGCTACACACCATCGGCAACAGCACTGGCGACACAGCATACCAATCATGTCGAACCAAGTCGCTAGCAACTACAACGCGACGCAGGAGAATGCCAACCTGACTGCTGCCAACCACGCGAATGCTCCAATGGAGAAGGACTTCGAGAATGGTGAGCTTGAACGAGCTGATCGTGTGACCTGAATTTCGATCCTGATAGCTTGCGCCTGTAGGTTACCATCTCGACAGCAACACCGACCCAGGCACCGCATTGAGGAAGATCCAGACTTCCGGCAGCATTTCCATCTCGCCCGAGCTTTTCGAGAAGATCTATCTTTCGCCGCAGAACAAAGTCTCTGGTGATCTCCGAAAGACATTTGGTAACCCAACTCCATTGTAAGTGGATTCGCGCGAGAACTGCCTCTGCCTCTGCCTCGAACTAGACCAAATCTGACTCACTCTTCAGGGCACTGTGTGGCTTCTTGCTCTCCCTCACACCGCTTTCGTGCGATCTGATGGGCTGGAGAGGAGCCGGTGGCAATGGTGCAGCTTCGACTGGTGTCTACTTCTTCTTCGGTGGTCTTCTCATGATTCTCGGATCTCTTGGAGAAGTGAGCCCGACCACACCAATCACGAAAGTAAGAGCGAGAACGCTTGATGCTAACACTCTCACCCCCAGTTCATCCTTGGCAACACCTTCCCATTCGTCGTCTTCGGTAGCTTCGGTGCATTCTGGCTCGCCTTCGCCGCAACCCTGCAACCATTCTACAACGCATATGGTGCTTATTCTCCAGACCCACAAGCGCCAGCAAAAGGCCTCGATACGGTCGGCTTCAACGCGTCATTCGGTAAGCCATCATCATCAAACGTCGTCTCCTCCCTATCCAAGAAGCTTTACTGACATCCTCTCCCCAGCCTTCTTCCTCCTCTTCATGGGCCTCCTCTGCTTCCTCTACATGATCCTCGCCCTCCGCACCAACCTCGTCTTCTTCCTCATCTTCATGACCCTCGTCCCAGCCTTCGGTCTCCTCGCCGCTGCATACTGGAACTTGGCAAAGGGCACCCCAGCCGCAGCCGCCAGCGCAAACACCTACATCATCGCAGCAGGAGCTCTGACATTTGTCACCGATATGCTTGGATGGTGGATCTTCTTTGCCATCCTGCTCGCTTCTCTCGACTTCCCCTTCCAGCTTCCTGTCGTGGATCTTAGCAGATTCGTCAAGGGTGCTAGTGATAAGAAGAAGGCGAAGGAGTATGAGGCTTAGATGAGAATGCTGTATTTATGTACTTACAGTCCTTTGAGGGACTGTGTGAGATGTTTGAATGATTATCATGCATGTGCGAGACCCCGATGTATCTACCCAGTTAATGTGTGAAAAGAGTAAACTTTCGTGAAGTTGTTCTGTGCAGACCTTCTCTTCCAAGTCTTTGGACTGAGGTACTTGTGAGCACGTATGTATCATCATGTGCTTCGTTGTTCCGACGGGAAGGAATATCAACTCCCTGCGCCGCTTTGCTTCCCAAGAGAAGGCTTGTGATCATCCAGATTACGCCGTTTGCTCTTATACATGATGATCCGAAGTGGTTGTACTGCGGTTCAGTAATTTGAAGTTGGTCTAAGGTTGAGACTGCCACGTGCCTTTGCCCCAGTATTTCCCAGGATCCATACGGGATTCCCAAATGCCATAGGAGCCTCATACACAACCGATTTCCATCTGAAAAAGCCGAGAAGATCTACATCGAATGGGTTCGCGCTGCAATAATGTCCGCAAGTCCGCGTAGTAAGAGCTGGAACACCTCGACAGAGCTCGCAAGGTATTAGCATTGTGCCTTGGGGATCTAGGCGCTCCATGGTGCTCAACCAGAGCGGGGCATTTAAGCGTACACAACGCAACTCTGCCGGATCTTGGGACGTCATGGTACACGCTGGAGACACGAATTTGGAAGAGACGGCGACATGGGCGGGCTGGCATCGCGGTAGGTTTGTTTGGCAAGTTCTTCAATCCTTCGGTTTTCCCACATATTTCTCTAGAGTACAAGTTCCTTACTCCCTAGGATCCATCCTTCACATCATGTCCAGTATCAAGCTGTTCTTCCTCCAAGCCTCACGCTCGATCCGTACTGCCTGGCAACTTGAAGAGCTGGGTCTCAACTATGAACTCAAGTTCGCACCTCGAGAAAATGGCGTTGCTCCTCCGGCGTTCAAGAAAGAGGCGGGCGGTCTTGGAAAGTTTCCTTCACTCGAAGATGAAGGCATAATGTACTACGAAAGTGGTAATATCTGCGAGTATGTGACAATGTCAATCAGAATTCTTTGGGCGACATCATAACTAAACTGTGAACCCAGATATCTGTGCGACAAGTACGACAAGCAGCACAAATTACTAGCTCCTGCAGGCGATCCGCAACGCTACAAAGCACTTCAATGGGTGCACGCTTCCGAGGGCATGTTCTTGCTCCACGGTCTGGCTTGTCTGTACGCGAAATGGTTTCAGCAGGATGGCGATGTTCAGAAGACTCAAGAAGGCATGAGCAAGAATTTGATCAAGGATATGGACTACTTGCAATCTGAGCTGGAGAAGAGTAGTGGGAAGTTTTTGCTTGGGGATAAGCTCACAGTGGCGGATGTCATGATGCACTTCTCCGCCCGATTCATCATTGTGAGAGAGCTGGGCACAATGGGAAATAGGTGGCCTAAGATCGAAGAGTGGCTGGACCTTTGTGAGGCTCAGCCAGCATATCAGGCTGCTGTCAAGAAGACTGGACATCAGCTGTGAGAGACCCAGTGTGGTCTTGAGGCCTACATAATGCGAGAATGATACGATTCTGGATGCCCTGCTAATTTCAGATCAGAACCTGGCCTCCCTCGTCCCACGTGGCAAAGTTGTAGCATTGAGCGATGATAATGGCGACAGACAACCGCTCATGTGCTTCTGAATGGTCTCCATACGCAATCACTATCTCTGCTTCATGACGACGGCTTCGAACCTCGTGCTCATGAATAAAGCCCCTACACACAGTCTACCCTGGTGGCCGCCACCCAGGTATCGCTTGATCGAAATTCAAAATATTCTACAAGAAGTCAGCACTATCCGCGACACGTTTCAGAACTCAACACGAACGCCATCGAGGTCTGGTCATCACATTAGCAATGATCCTAACACATTTCCAACCTTTCTCAACTCACCAGTAACCTCAAAATCTTTCAACCCCCAAGGCTGAAATTCAACACCCCTCAGAACCTTCGCCCCAGCCGCCTCAAACTTCTTCAAAAGCCTCTCCAACTCATCATCGTCTCCGGAAATCCTAATATGTACCTTCCCAAATTGCACATCGTTGGGGATCGATGGGAATGTTCGTCCTTGAAATTTACATATGTCGATTAGCTTGAGATTGAGATAAGCATATGCATGAGAATTTTTCTATTCACTTACTTCGGAGGTAGAGGTTCACGGCGGCTTTTTGTGCATCTTCGTTTTTCTCGTCTGTGGGGAGGTAGAGCCATGTGTGGTCATCTCTGTCTCTGCCTGCTATGCTGAAGCCTAGGGTTTTGGTGTAGTAGGCTATGGATTCGGGTATTGAGGTTACGGGGAGGGAGGGTTGGATCTTTTGGAAGGTTGGTGACATGGTCGTGTTGGGTGTTGGATGGTTTAGAGGTAGCTGGACACTGTGTAATAGACGTTCTTGCCACCTGCCACCTCGTCGTCCTACGCGAAGTCGGAGCTTTCGGAGCGATCGTACAGGGACCTCTTTGTGCATCCATTACAGCTTCTTGCTTGGCCGCAGTAGTACTATATTGAACCACTTCTTATCCCAGCCTGTATCACGCGTTGGAAAGCTTTATGTTCGCCATCTTTATTATATAGAAAACGCTTGGCAATTCCCCAAGTCTGCGACCTCACTCCAAAGCTCTTTCTTTCTCCTCTGCTCTTTCTCAACCTGTGTCAATTCGACACCGACCTCCTCAGCACCAGTCTCCATCGAACATGATTCTTAGAAAGAATTGCTGGTTCCAATTCCGTCTCGAGTGGACTACCTTATCCCTCTCGGTCATGGCAGTCTGGCTCAAAACGTTTCTATCTAACCTCGCCCGTACCAGACTTTGGACGACTTCGAGATCCATCGAACACGTTTCTGGCACGTTTTTGTGCAGACCCAATGGTTCTGCACAGGCAAAACACCAATTATGTTGAAGCATCTGAGACCAATACGCCTCGCGGACTTTCGAGAACGACTTCACAGCGCTGACTTTTATAGATGTCTCAAAAGAACTTCGCACGAAATGTTTACAAAAGGCAAGGAACAATGCTCGTCTACGCTTCTACGCCAACACTCTCAGATCGTCTGACAGTCGGACTCCGTTCAAAATGCAATTGTGTTCGAACAGCGTCTTGACACGGAGTGTTCTTGCTGCTACAAATCTTGTGAATGGTCAGACACCATGCCTGAAGGGATTCGCCACAGCCCTCGCACCTTTATCGACATCTCAGGGAGGAATCGTCGAGAACCAGGTTGAGGTAGTCATGGGACCTTGCCTGTAATCTAGGATGAGGTTCAAATTTTCGAGCCTGTTGAGCAATATTCTAGTAGCCATTGGAAACGAATCAGACGAGTATTGTACTTGAGAATCTTGCTCATTTTGGTTGTCAATCCGCCATGGTCTTGGTGGACGAATGGCGGCGGGGCACTGAGGCGGGATGTAGAAAGGGAGAAATCGAAGGCAAGGAAACAAGAGATACACGAAGCTTCGCGATAGATAGATGGCGCATGCGGTCTCCCCTACTGCTGAGTGGTTGCAGAAGGCTGGTCTCGGCTGGGCAGTGCAGTCGGTAGTACAGCCAAGCATCTTGTGAGCCTACGCGAGGCGGCCTTCGGAGGCAGATAATGAGTACGAGGCGTCGGTCATTATTATGTAGAGATGAACAGCTGCAGATACTCGGAGCAATCATTCGCGTAAGAAGTTAAGAAGTGCTTGCAGTGTGCGGCTGAGGGACGGCATATTCTAGACCATTTGCTCACTTCAACAACACCGGAAGTCGCCAAAGCTCATCTCTTCCACGCGACACCAGTGCTCTACGCACGCACGCACGCACGCCAATCGACTGTGAGTATTCTCTTGCCACCTCCCACCTTCCGAGCGGCCTCATCAAAATGGCTAGCGAGCATAGCGCCAAGCGACGACGAATCGACTACGACGACCATCGCGACTCGGAGCATTTCGCAGCACAGCCAGCCCGCCGCCAGCACCATCGCAATCGAAATCATCCCTCCAAAAATGGCGACTCCGCAAGGCCTAAGCAACACGAGTTCGATGGCCCGGAAGCGGGCGTCGACAGCGAAAACGCAGCCGCCCTAGATCGCGACTGGTATACATACGGGGAAGATGGAGCAGTGTTAGGTGACGACGCACATAACCCTTTCGGCGGCGAGGATACCACATGGGCAGATCGGGAAAGAGAACGAGAGCTTCTGGAGAGGAAGATGGCTGTGCGCTCCAGGCAAAATCCAAAGTTCATTCAACGCCAGAAGGACAACGATGCGTGGGAAGCGAATCGCATGCTCGCCTCGAGCGTTGCCCAGACTCGAGCCGACTATGCCTTGGATGACGAAAATGAGGATATCCGGATCCATCTATTGGTACACGATATCAAGCCGCCATTTCTCGACGGCAAGACCGTATTTACGAAGCAATTAGAGCCTGTCAGTGCTGTCAAAGACCCGCAAAGCGACATGGCCGTATTTGCCAAGAAAGGAAGCAAAGTGGTCAGAGAAAGACGGCAACAGAAGGAGCGACAGAAGCAAGCACAGGAAGCTACGAGTCTGGCCAATACCGCCCTCGGCAATGTGATGGGCGTCAAAGAGGAAGACACTGACTCTGCTGCCCCAGCTGGTGCTGAGGAAGCGGAAGCGACGTCCAAGGGCTCAAAATTCGCTGATCATATGAAGAAGCAGGAGAAGGATTCTGGACAGTCGGAGTTCTCACGGTCCAAGTCGCTACGGGAGCAACGAGAGTACCTCCCGGCCTTTGCAGTTCGAGAAGAGCTATTGAGGGTGATCAGGGATAATCAGGTCATCATTGTGGTCGGTCAGACCGGAAGCGGCAAGACCACTCAGCTCACTCAGTTCCTGTATGAAGATGGCTATGCGAAGAGCGGCATGATTGGCTGCACGCAACCAAGACGTGTGGCAGCCATGTCCGTGGCCAAGCGTGTCGCGGAAGAGATGGAGGTACCTCTGGGAGGCACCGTTGGCTATGCTATTCGATTTGAGGATTGCACGAGCAAAGACACCTCAATCAAGTACATGACGGATGGTGTGCTTCTGCGAGAATCGCTCAACGAACCCGACCTGGACCGCTACAGCTGCATAATTATGGATGAGGCGCATGAAAGAGCCCTCAACACCGATGTTCTCATGGGCCTCATCAAGAAAGTGCTCACTCGCCGGCGAGATCTGAAGCTCATCGTGACCTCGGCGACAATGAACGCCGAACGATTCTCTCGCTTTTATGGCGGTGCGCCAGAATTCTTCATTCCAGGCCGCACCTTTCCAGTCGACATACAATATTCGAGATCACCATGCGAAGACTACGTGGACAGTGCAGTGCGTCAAGTCCTGGCAATTCATGTCAGCCAGGGACAAGGCGATATCCTCGTTTTCATGACCGGACAAGAAGACATCGAGGTCACCTGTGAGCTGGTCGCGGAACGACTTGCGCAGCTCAATGATCCTCCGCCACTCAGCATTCTGCCCATCTACTCGCAAATGCCGGCCGACCTTCAAGCAAAGATCTTCGACCGGGCAGCCCCGGGCGTGCGCAAGGTCATTGTCGCCACCAATATTGCGGAAACGTCGCTCACAGTCGATGGAATCATGTATGTGGTAGACTGCGGCTTCAGCAAACTCAAGGTCTACAACCCGCGCATAGGCATGGACACGCTCCAAATCACACCTGTCAGCCAAGCGAACGCATCGCAGCGCGCAGGTCGAGCGGGCCGTACCGGGCCTGGAAGGGCATTCCATCTCTACACCGAACGAGCTTTCAAAGAAGAATTCTATGTTGCTACGATTCCTGAAATCCAACGCACCAACCTGGCCAATACTGTACTTCTACTCAAGTCGCTTGGTGTCAAAGACCTTCTGGACTTCGACTTCATGGATCCACCTCCACAAGACACTATCACGACGTCTCTCTTCGATCTGTGGGCTCTCGGGGCGCTCACAAATCTAGGGGAGCTCACAGAACTCGGTCGACTGATGACTTCCTTTCCTATGGACCCGTCCCTTGCCAAGCTGGTGATCACCTCGAGTACAACTTACTCCTGTGCTGAGGAGATGATTACGATCGTTAGCATGCTATCGGTGCCCTCAGTCTTCTATCGACCTAAAGAGCGACTCGAAGAAGCCGATGCTGCGCGTGAGAAGTTCTTCGTTCACGACTCAGATCACCTCACCCTGCTCACAGTATATCAGCAATGGGTCGCTAATGGCTGCCGTGATCGATGGTGTGTCCAACACTTTCTTCACCCCAAGGCACTCCGCCGAGCCCAGGAGATTCGTCAGCAAATCGCCGACATCATGACTTCCCACAAAATGGAGATAACCTCTTGTGGCTACGATCTCGATGTCGTGAGGGAATGCATCTGCTCTGGATATTATCACCAAGCGGCAAAGAGAAAAGGTCTGGGTGAATATGTGAACCTGCGCACAAGTGTTACCATGTCACTTCACCCGACCTCAGCTCTATATAACTCAGGTGATCCACCAGACTATGTAGTCTACCACGAGCTGATTCTCACCTCGAAGGAATATATGAGTGTCGCGACTGCGGTAGACGCTCATTGGCTGGCGGACTTGGGCGGAGTTTTCTATAGTGTGAAGGAGAAGGGTTATTCCGCTATTCAAGGGAAGAGAGAAATTGAATACTCGAAGAAAGCGGACTTGGAGCTGCAAATCGAGAGGGATAGGGCCGCACAGAAGCAGGCAGCTGAGGCGGAGCTGAATGGTGGGCGAGGTGAGGTGAAGAAGGGTGGTGCCGCGAAACCTCACTCGGCGCCGGCTAAGAAGGGCAGTGCTGTTGTGAAGCCGACGATAGGTAGGAGACGATAGAAGTTTGAGAATGGAAAGTTCTGGCTGTGGGCCTGTCTGGGTCTCGTATCTCCTCGAATGATTGACTGGCTTTGCCTGTTGTGGAAGGGCCAGCATCCTGATGCGAATCGCGAATACTTAATCCGGCAAGTTGCTACCGAGACGTCCATGTCAACACGGGCGAGATTGATTGCTTTATATAGGTAGCATTAAAGCGTTGAATACCAACTTCTTCGGTTGCAAAATCTTGCCGCGTCATTACGATTTACTCTTCATCGCCGGCTCCTCCGTATAGGCGCAAGGAAGAGATGTGCTCTCAACGTAAGCAAGATCAGCTTTCGACTTCGACGATAGTCTTCCCGATGATCTCATAAAAAGCCGCATCCAGATCGGAAGCGACGGAGACAAGAAAAATGAATCACGACGAATATCTTGGTTGGGTCAAGAAAATTATCATGCCGAGGACGATATGTCTATCTTCTTGACACAAATTTTACGTCTCAAGCATGCTCGAGACTGTTCAACAGCGTCAAGATTGGCCTTTGAGTTTGCGCAGGGCCTGAAATGGCTTGAACAGATAGTCATGTCAAGGCACAGTGGCGTTGAAGTGCGGTATCATTTCCCATGTATCTGGATGGCGAGGGAAAGTGTAAGCAAGCACTGATCGTGGTCTTGATTTCTCATTCGTCGCCTGTTCAAAGCCGATGTACATTTGCTTCCCTCAGAGCATCTCAGCATCATGCAGCGACGCCGTGAAGCCGCCTTTTGGCCCAATCCCTCCTCCAGAGGACTGTATCTTAGCGTTTTACCTCTGCGACATCGAACGCTGTCGCGAGCCATGTTTCGGAAGTTCGTGCAGAAATTCTGTAGCAGGATATCTGTAAGTGACTGAAAGCCCACGTCAGACCGCTGAGGTAGAGAGATGAAAAGAAATGCAAGACATGTTTCAAAATGGAAGAAATCGGGAGTCATTTGTTGTCAGCCGTCAAGCCATATCCTCAGTTGAGGCAAGAAAGCTGTAAGCTGTGACAAGAGATCGAGAAAAAGAAAATCGCGCGAAAAGTCCAAAAGGGGGATAAAGATATTGGAGACCGTCAGAATCGAACTGACATCCAGGACATGCCTATTAATCAAGGAATGAAACATGGGCTAATGAATTGCCCACCTCTAACGAATTGAGGTGCCTGTGCCCTACCACTAGACCAGATCTCCTTGCTTTTGGTTGATTGGAATATGCAATACTTGGGATGTCTATATTGGCTGACTTGGTTGGGATTTGCAATACTCGGAGCGTATATATTGGTTGAATCGCTGGGTGAACGTATCAGGCTGCGGGGATTGACTTGGTAGCTTTGAAGCTTTGGAGTGGAACCTTAGGTAAGCAGGATGAGCAAAGGAGTCTTCGGTAGATGCCAGAGCAGGTCCGAGGCGTGTGAACTGTCAGACTTTGTCGATTTGTATAATTTCATGTTTGGAGGGCGGATTTGGGCATGCATGCTACGAGGAGTCTCAACTGGCCTTCATATTCAAAATCTTTCTCTCACCTCCTTAGCCTTTGCATGGCATAACTCCACTCGCACGCCTGCACCCGACAGCACATCGATCCACATTCGTTGTGTATCGCTGAGACGGTCGTTCTCGCTCTTCACCTCTGAGAACATGACTTCGCCTCCTTCCTTTCCATCTTCTCTGTCCGGGCGCCATAGAAACAAATCCGGGACACCACCTCCACGTTGCGCGTATTCTTGGACCATGACCTTCATCACAGTCGAAAGCGCAGCAGGTGGAAAGCATGCAGCGATTTCAACCAAGTCCTCGATAGCGTACGTCCAGTCAAGTCCTACAACGCAGGTCTCGCGTTCATGATGCTCATCCCATATGCGCTCAATGAGAGTGGCAGCTTGGCCGTTACTGATCTCGTTTAAGCGCGCATTGACTTCGCTGATCCGGCTAGGGTAAAATGCGTCAGAGTGCAGGTCCAGTGGACACGTCTGGTATGCCGTCTGGAAGACATTCGGAATGTAGACAAACAGTACATCGTAGAAAAGGTAGCCGACCAGAGTGCGCAGGAGCCTGCCTTCGCAGTGGTAGCCTTTCCAGCCCAAAGCCCGATATGATGAGAGGCACATCTCCTCCACACTGCATTCACCCTCAACAAGTTTGTTGTCCTTGTTGTCGGCATCTGCTTCGTTCTTGATGTCCAGAGCTGGATCGAGCCAGATTGTCTTTGCGCCACGGTTGCCTGTATTAGGCTTCGACATCTGCTCGCTGTTGCGACGACTTCCATTGGCAGACCGATCGCGCTCAATACGTATGCCTTCAAAGGTTCGCTCTTGAGCTTTGGTCAAGCGGACATGTTCGAAGTTGTGTTGTTGGCGTTTGGGTACTTTCAACTGCTTCTCCAACTTCGTAGTCCGCTTCTGCAGGTCGCGATGAAAGACCAAATGCGTCAATTGATCTTGCAAGCCTTCTTCGCAAGTGCTGAGAGCAACACGTTTCCAGTGCTTCTTCTTGGCCTCGATATCCTTGCATTCTGCTGGAGAAGGCAGATGCAGGTGCATGTAGTGCTCCTCGAGCAATGCCTTTCGCTGATACCAGTCACCGCGCCTGGACGTGTGGAACAGCCGCTGGTTCAGCAGCTCGCAGAGGATCTCATGCTCTCGCTTGTGATCCTTGAACTTACCTGTTCCAAGAACATACGCAGCCTTGTGGACTATGCGAGTATACACCCATGCCGGTGAAAGTCGTCGCAGGTATGCTCCTTCTCCGGTGCTGTATATGCTGTCTTCCTTTCGCTGCTCTTCTGCCAGCAAAATTCGCCAACGGGAATGGATCTCCTTGAATATTTCAAGAACGACTTCGAGGCCTTCTTTGGTAGGTGTTCCATTGAACTCAAGGATGTTATCCACTCGAAATTGCGTCCTTACAGATGCTTCGAACTCCAGGAGTATCGATCGAGAGGGAAATATGCTGGCGGAGCGAGACACAATGTACTCTGGAAAGTTCCGCCTTGCGATCCGAGCCAGTATGATGGTGGTCAGTGACTTCTCAGTCCATTCAGTAGAACGATAGAACACCAGGTGTACACGTTCGAAGAGCTTTAGGGTGGCCAGTGATAGGCGAATGCATGGACCAGTCTCTGCCATGATCTTTTCGAGAAAGTGCGCATCGCGATTCTCAAGCTTGCCAGGAGTGGCCTCTCTGCTGGACTCATCCTCATGCTTCGATCCGACCGATGCTGTAGTGTCGTTTGTATCGGATCGTCTTAAACTGCCGAAGCGGGAAAGTGCGGACTGTTGACCGCTTGTCCTTCTGAGATTTTCCAAAAGCTCTGTCTTGTTCTTGCCTCGCACCTTCGCGTCTTTTGCAAGAGCTTTCAGCTCGTCTAACAGCAGCAGCGACGAAGCCTCCTCTAACGTAGATATAGAGTCCTGTGACCTGTCTGCAAATGTGAAGCCCTCGCCAAGAGTAATACCCTGTGGCGGGTGTAGTTCACCAGGATTGGGCTGACTCTGCGACGAGTGACTTGGGAGATGTCGTGCAAGTTGTAATTCGTCCACAGCTGCCTGAAGATGTGCAATGTCACTGTGGTAGCCAAGACGATTGATCCTGTGCCAACTCGAAGTCTTGCGCAAGAACAGTCTGACGTACAAATACTGGCCCTCGTAGCTCAGCTCCCGCCATTGCTTAAACACGGAATGCTCGGCGTCGTTGAAGAGATGACTCTCTTGCTCGAGCACGGTCTCCAGTGCCAGATTGAAGGCATCTACGTAGATGGAGGTCTTGCCTCGGATCCATTTGCGTCCATCGAGACGTTCTTGTAGTCCGAGTCCTGCTTGTTCCGCAGCTCTTGACGCTTCATACGCCTCTATGGCCTCCTTGTCCGTTTCGATTGCAGGCAAAGCCGTCTCAAGATCGGTCTGGCGAGTGTGCGGTTGTTCCACGAGATCTTCATGGTCGCTGTCGTCTTCTGAGTCGGGTATTATGTCCCTCCGAGTCTTCGCTGTGCTGCTCGGACTTTCTTTCTTGACAAAGTCTGTGATGTCGCGCTTTACGCGCTTCGCTGGAGGTGTCGCGAAGTCGTCGCCGCCATCATCGTCATCGAAGTTGGTGGACTTGGGATGCGGTATCTTCTTTCCTAGCATGGCATTATGTTGAGAGGTATTGCTGTCCCGCAGCATTGTCATACTATAGACATTATTGGCCCACAAGTGTTGCGGCGATGATGTCGCTGGACAGACCCCGGAAACGCGATGGCGACGCGAAAGCACTTGACGCGAAGTCACCTGCAATGACGTCCACTTGTGCCAACCCGACATCAGCCGTCGCAGGAGCAAGAACCAGCGCCACCACAGTACAGTAACAACAACAATACTCTGAACTTCTATGTAATGAGACGACATGCGTACAGTCGTAGTAGCATCCTCACTCCTTGCCTGTAGCCTCGTCGCACAGGCTCAGCTCATGCCACGCAAACCCTTCAGTCCCGACCACGCCGCGCGCTCAGGCGTACAATTTAGATACCAGCAGAAACCCATCATGGACTCATCTCCCGCTATTCAGCTTCCGCCCTCTTCAGACGGTAATGCGCCCCCACCGCCTCCTACGGGCGACGTGATTCTGTCCGACGTAATCGGCAATGAGCGCCGCATCAACATCTTCGCAGGCTTCACACGAGACATCTCCACCGTTTCCGATCGCCTCGACAACTCATCCGAGAACACCACAGTCCTTGCACCTATAAACTCCGCTATTACGTCCCTGCCTAGAAAACCCTGGGAAGACCCGAGAGAATATGCTGCACTGGGCGCAAATGCCTACGAAGGAGCGGACGGAGAAGACAGAGCGCATAGAAATCTGAGGAGATTTACTGAGGCGCATGTTGTGCCGCAATCGCCTTGGAAGGAAGGCGACAAAGTAGCGACCGTTGGCGGCGCGAAGATCTGGTGGGAAGTGGAAGATGGCAAGGCATATGTCCAACCTGGCGATGTGGAGGTGGAGCGAGTGGTCAGCAGAGTCAAGAATGGAGAAGTTTGGATTTTGAAAGGTGTGCTGAACTATGCTCCTTGAGAATAAGGCTACGTGTTACGAAATCATGAGATGATGAGAATTACAAGCGCGGCTCGCAGTCCCCCGTACCGTGGAACTAAAGGCCTGGGGCTGACTACAAATGGTCTTCAAATGTCACAGGCTTCTGTGCCAGTGGGTACTAGAAGGATATTCAGGCCTGAGTGAGAAGATCAAGTCGCTGTCCCAGAGCAAACTCTGGGTCGAACGCCATCACAGTAACCTCAGTGGGCCAGAAGGCTTTTGCCTCCACACCAACACCTGCTAAAACTCGTCGCGCGAGACCAATTGGACATAACATCGATGCCTCGATTCGGAACCTATTGCTGCAACGGATGGAACTGGCACAAGATGATGTGGGACGGCCTTATACGCACAGCTATAAATTCAGTTCATTGTCTACATCTCTCCTTTTCATCTCTCCGACATCAGTATCTTCCTCTCACTCGCATTAACCAGCCTCAAGCGAAGCAACTATCAAGATGAAGTCCATCACCTGTACAGTAGCTACCTTGGCCCTCTGCACCGGAGTTGTCCTGGCCGCACCACAAAAAGACTTTCCAATTCCTGGCAACACCAACTTCGAGTACTGCGACTCACAATCCGCCAATGGACCCATCCAAATCACCAACCTCTCCCTCGAACCCGAGCACCCAAGAGAGTAAGCCACATCTTCCCCCGAATCTCCCAGACCACATACTAACCTACATTTCCCAGAGGCGATGACCTCAAAATCATCTACGAAATGACAACCTCCAACGATCAATACTTCCCTCCCGGTTCCCAAGTCCACTACAGCGTGAAATGGCACGGGTCACAAGGTCCTCGCGGTGCTTTTGATCCTTGTAAAGCGTTCGATTGTCCTTTGGATGTTCCCTTCAAACACGAGAAGATGATCAAGTTGCCGAAGAAGCTTCCAGGACACCACTATTCGGGAAAACTTGAGTTGAAGAGTCCCAACGGGGAGGTTTTGGGGTGTATCAAGGGGAAGTTGACCATTAAGAATGATTAGAGTCATGGAGGAAAAAGGAGGCCATATTTTGGGTGGCCGGTCGGAGGGTGTGTTATCGCTGGGCATCAAAGGACTCTGGTAACCAGATTCGATAGGCACGTGTACCTGTGATTTGGACCTTATCCTAAACTGTCAACTTGATGATCTCGCAATGATGATCCTCACAAGCGTCATCCCACCCCTCCTGATTCTACTGCCCTCAGCCCACCACCACCTCCGAGAGCTCAAAGTCACCACACCTGACACACACCGCCCGAAAGAGTATGGAATCCAGAGATTAATAGGATGATTAAGTAAGTACAACAAGTCCTTACCTCTTTTCTCTGCACATCAACTAACCCGGTTCTCGCAAGAAGAAAGCGATTCTACATGTTCAACTTCAAACTCACGCGAGCATCTATCTACCCGATCACTGAAGGATCGTAATTCGGTTTCGATGAAATGAGACATCGGATCGATCTACCGGATCAAAAAGTGGTATTGATGTACATACGAAGGATAGGGATTGGTAGTAGTATTACTGAAGTGTCATGAGTATTTATCTGTTCCGGTGCAGAATACAGGGATCTCCTTTCGTTGTGTCCAATTCCCAGCTCTTGGTCTTGAACGCATGTCCATTCAAGTCTCAATTGCTCGCTTTTTTGTAGGGTACCAAACGCCTTGCTCTTGATCTTACAAGTCATCATTGACCTCGTCGTCCACTTAGATGGCCAATGTTGATGCATTCTCCGAGACCGAGCCAGGTCCTCGCTCGCGAGCAATATCTGGCGGCATGTCAAGTTGCGCTTGCTCCGCTGAGCGTTTGATGCCTGCAGCAGTGATGGCAAGTTTCCTCCTCTCCTCGCTCTCATTGCCCTGCTCGTCTAAGTTCGTGTTTTCTTTTTCTGCTTCTTTCGCCTTTGCCGCGGCTTTGTTGAGAGCCTTGCGCTCCGCTTTTGTCAACTTCGGCTTCTCATACGCGCCAATCTCCAAACGCTTGTCAACATCCTTGGCCAAGTCTTCAAGATCCGAGTAGCCAAGCACCTTCACAATATCGCTGAAGCTCTTGGTGGTCATCATTTGCTTGTAAACTTTTTGCTTGCCGGGAATCATCTGCCCGAGAAGATACTTGGTGTTGCCCCATCGATTCTCAACTTCGAGTGATGTTTTAACGTATTCCTTCACAACTTCTTCCCAATCAGCTTTGCCACCGTCTGCTTCTGCACGGAATACCGAAGGATTGGTCTCCGCAGCAGTCGCAATCATTGCGCCGTCTACGCCATACTCTTCTATCAGCTTTAGCGCCTCGTCGCGACTGGTCACATCACCATTCATTAAGCAAGCGACTCCCGCCTGGTGGCAAGTCTCGGCGACCATTTTCAACTGATCTCGAATGGCCCTTTCGCGTGGTCTCATTGGTGTTGTCCGGCAATGCACAGTAAGCCCGATAATTCCAGTCTGGCAAAGCTTCGCCACGAGTGCTCTTGTGTCTTCTGGTTCGTCCAATATTCGGATCTTGACGCTGATACCGATCTCATTTGGCTCGCCAACCTCTTTTACCAGCGCACGAAGAATTGAGCACAATTTTTCAGGTGTCTTCAAAAGTGCAGCTCCCATGCCACCGCTAGTGCTGAAGGGCTTTGGACAGCCAGCGTTGACGTCTATCCCAGCCACATCTTTGGCTATAAGTTTCGCTGCTTCGACAGCAGTCTCTGGATTCGCGGTGCCGATCTGGTAGATCAATTGTTTTCCTTCACGTCCTGGATGCAGTCTATATATGACGCTCTCCCGCTGCTCAGGACTAAGTGTCGGATTCTTGGCGCCATTTGATGACACTCTTGTGAATTCGACTGTACTTGTGTTTGGGTTCTCGTGTCTTGTCGTGCCGATAAGAGCTTTGTCAATGGTTTCCGGGCCCCAGACCAGGTCCGCGCCATACTTCAGCGCCAGCAATCGCGATGGACACTCGCCGCTGCGGACCATTGGGGCCAAGACGATCTTGCCTCTATAGTCGACCCCATTTCTGGGGATAGGAAGCCTCTTCGCCGCGGATGTCATGATACGCAGCATCTAGCATCAATATTATCCATGGAGTGGCTGTGCGGAAAAATTGGTTCAAAAAATTCGGTGCAGTTGCGTTCGCCACGATAGCCTCAGGCGACACAAGTGGTGTTGCAATTGAGAATAAAACGGGAACTGCCGTCTGTCTCGCGCGCGATCAAGACGGCAATACCAATGCCAATGATGACCGAGATCTGGTGACGCGGTCTTTCCCGCCTAATGTGTGAAGTGATGCGCTCCAGTCTCAGAGCACAGATTGCCAAGGCAGCGCTACACTATTCCGGAGCTACTACCCGGACAGGTACTGTGTGGATGGCTTTAGATATGATTTAGATTTGAAACTAAAGTTTGGGCAACATGGTTTTATATATATTATAAAGCAATGAATTGTATAAAAAAATACTAGTAGAAAAACTTTCAAAAATCCAATTTATTACCTAGTAGTATAGAACGAAAGTATATTTTATTTTAGTAAATAGGAAAAAAGTTATTTTTAGTCTATTAACTAGGGTAATTAAGATAGTTTTATTAATTTCTAAATATTTTTATAGTTTATATAGCTTAGGTAGTGTAATATCGTTCTAGTTATAGTTCGGTTAGTTTATTTGCTTTATTGCTAAGAAAAACTTTAATTCCTAGATCTATTTAGGCTAGTATAGTGTTTTAATCTTTCTATAGTATAGCCTATAGCCTAGCAAAGTAATTTCTATAGTTTTAGATATATCTATTCTATATATAGTCTATAGCTACTCGATGTCTAATTCTTAGTTATTCGTAACAGTTATAAAGATATTAATTTAAAAGTTTTTTTAAAAGAATTTAGATTTCTAAAATGTTAGATAGAGTTCACTCATAGATTTAGTTTCAAGCTCTACAGTGTACAGTAATATTAGCTATAGTGACTATTCTTAGATAGCTAGACTGCCTCTAGCTTGGGCAGTGTCAAGAACGAGCTATTGGCTGGCTGGGCGTGTGGTCTGTGTCTGAGACGAGACGAGGTGCGCTCGAGCCGAGATCCTGGTTCTAAAGATGGATTAGCGTGATTTCTTCCGGCGCCGCTTTTATCGGGTCACTTCACGCAGAAAGGAAGACAAACGTGTCAAATAGGGATGGCCATCTCCTCTAATGCCGCTCTCAAACACTGATGCACCTGCTGATATGGCTTGGAACAAGACATATGTAGAGTTTCAGACCCCTCGAGAGGCAGGTCTGCACAAAATGCGATTTTTTGCCGCTGACACGGCGTATATTTGAGGCAGCGACTCATCTTTCGAGTACGTGTCCATTGTCATGTTTCGCAGTAGTTGTGCATGTATTTTGGGTGGCAACAGCATCCGGGTTGGTGCATGAGTGAGGGCGAGCAATGCCGTAAGGGAGATAGATGACTTGCAGAAGAAGTGCGCGGAGTGTGCCAGCGGCGCTTCAACTCATCGATGGCATAGCGTCATCTGCTCGGCACGGTGGCAATCAGGCGTGATCAGACGATGATGATGGAGATGCGCGTGGGTGCGCGATGATGAATCAAGCGTTCTGGGTGATGGAAGGAGTGTTGGCCTGATAAGTTATGGGCGTGAGGCGTGAGGCGTGAGGCACACCTGCCACTGCCAGCGTGCCGAGAGGCTTGGGGCCCATGCGCATGCATCTCATGTTCTGTATTCCTAGCGCAGTGCGTGGCTCTCTGCTCCGGTCTGTTGCTTTCATCCTCCCTCATCAAACCTAGGCCGCCGCGCGCCAATTTCTACCCTTCTACGTCTCGACCCCCATCACCTTTGATATCTGCCGGTGGTCATCGACGCCGAATCACGCGCGGCCGCTCATCCCCGGTCGTGTCAGGCTCCCGTACTTCACGTCCCGATCGAGGCGTTGTGAGCCTGGCAAGCACCGAATCCATCCATCGCCACGCCTGCGCCTTCCCTTGCCAAGGCGTGGTCGCATCGCCCGCCGGGAGTCTGCACTTTCGACACGACACTTATGCTTTTCGACTAATGTGTCACTTGGGCGACAGCGTGTCAGTTCACGACACTCCTGCTTTCCGTCATGGCACAGCCTGCCGCGGCCGCAGATGAGCTCCAACCTGCGTCACGAAGCGGCACTCCGGCGGCCAGAGCGTCGAGTCTGCGCAACAACAACTCCTTCCAGGCCATCAACCACAGCGCAGTCCCCCAAGATGCGCAGATCGAGAGTCCCGCAGCCACGGACAATCAAAGTGGCAGTGGCAGTGGCAGCGGCAGTGGCAGTGGCAGCTCGTCCGACCTGACACCGCCGAGAAGCGATGCCGTGATGCCACACGACGCTCCACGAACAGCACAAACGTCCACGTCTGCCTCTCAGCCTGCAAAGTCGTCTGCGCCCGCCGACAATAATCATCTGGACGCTGCCATGGCCGCCGAAAGCACGTATGGCACGCGCTCCCGCAATCGGACCAATGCGCGACCCAATTACGCCGAAGACCAGGACATGGACTTTGAATTCTCCTCTGCCGCCACCACAACGACCAAGAAGAAGACAAACGACTCACCTGCTGCATCGGCCTCCAGCGCCAGCGCCAGTGACGCGAAACGCGCGCAGGACTCGGCCTCTTTTCTCGCCGTCAACAGCAATGGCAATGGCACCGGCACGGGTACCAACGAGTCGACGCCTGCACCGTCTTCTGCTGCACCAACTTCCAAGAAGCGGAAAGCTGCCGGCGCCGCTGCGACTTCGTTGCAGTCCCAAGCAGCCTCTGCCACGCCGCCCCCAGCAGCGTCGCGAAAGTCGGCTGCACCTGCAACTTCATCATCGTTGTTGGCACGTGAGACCAACGTGATGACCTTTTCCAAGCATCGCAATTGTCTCAACAAAAAAGGCGAGCTCATTGCCGACGACGGGACGAAGCTGAGTGTCAACGGTAAGCCCCATCCATTCCCCTGATCTGGCAAAGGCGTCTGCAGGGCGAGGTGCAGCCTTACCCCGCTCCCGATACATTTCTGAGTTGAGATGAGCCTAACTAACAACCAATCCCAGATCACGTGTATCTCGTGTGCGAGCCGCCAGGCGATCCGTACTATGTCTGTCGTGTCATGGAATTTCTCCATGTCGACGGAGACGGTCCGAACTCGCCCGTAGACTCCCTGCGTGTCAATTGGTATTATCGACCTCGAGATGTGCAACGATTCAGCAGCGATACCCGCCTGGTCTACGGCACCATGCACTCAGACCTATGCCCTCTTACGTCGTTAAGAGGCAAGTGCACAATCAAGCATCGCTCGGAGATTGACGATCTGGACGCATATCGCAAGGAGCGTGATTGCTTCTACTTCGTGCAGGTCTTTGATCGTTTCATCCGCCGCTCGTACGAGTGTATACCTGTGTCGCAGATCGTCAACGTGCCGGAGAAGGTCAAGAAAGCGCTTGATGAACGATGGAAGTTTGTTGTCGTCGAGATTGGTCGCGTCAAGGAATTGACCAGCGCAGCGAAGTCGTGCAAGCGATGCGCACGATATTGCGCATCGAGTGACTCTGTCGACTGCGCGATATGCAAGAACTCGTATCACATGAACTGTGTACAGCCGCCGCTACCCAAGAAGCCATCTCGTGGATTCGCCTGGGCTTGCGGGCCTTGCAGCAGAGCCTCCGAGAAGAAGCAGGATGCGCGAAACACTCCAGCAAGCGGCCATGTGACTGAAGCTGAAGAAGAAGAGCCTGTCGAGCAGGAAGAGCTACCCGGGGCATCGAATGTCACCACCCGCGCACCCAGTCCCAGTGGCGATGACATGGTTATTGATGAGCATCCAGCGACTCAAGCGGAAATTGCTCTCGCGAAGATGTGGCCAATGCGATACCTAGGTATTCATGCGAGAGTCGAGGACGCGCTGCAGTACGACGACCGAGCAATCTATCCACGAGCAAGTTCGCGTTTGGGGCCACGTCACCAGGCAAATGTCAACATGTGGCATGGCCGGCCTGTGGAACTTGTGAAGCCAGCTGAGATCAAGAAGCGCTACCAGAAGGGTGGTGCACAGAAGAAAGAAGGCAAGCTCACCAAAGAATCATTAGCAGCGATCGAAGCCGACAAAGAAGACAAGGCAAAGCGTCCAAAATGGGTGCAGGACGAACCTCCAGGCTACGTAGCACGTGGCGAGGACTACGACGCCAAAGATCCCCGGTGCACAGCGACTTTACTGTTCAAGATGCCAGGTCCGGACGACGAGATAAAAGTATCTCCATCAACAGTAATGGACATGAGTTGGCAGCATGAGGAGGACCTGGAAACACGAAATGACATGTTCGTGAAGTCGTATACCGACAAGGCGAAGACTCATGCTCGCGGGGTGGGAGTTCCTCCCTTCGGCACCAATTTCCTGGACAAGGCTGTCGAACTTCTCACCAAGAACCGTTACAACGTAGATGCAGCGCTGAAGCAACTCTCGAAAGTGGATCGCGTGAGAGACCTCCACGAACCAGTCTTGAGCAAATCAGACCTGATCAAGTTTGAGGAGGGAGTGGCGAAATATGGATCCGAGCATCGATCGATTCGCTTGCACATGAAAACGGCATTACCACATTCAGACATTGTCCGGTTCTACTATCTCTGGAAGAAGACGCCAAAAGGCCGAGAGATCTGGGGCAACTATGGAGGGCGCAAGAAGCGAAAGGTTGAAAGTGATGCCGGTGCTAAACTGCAGGCTGAGCTGGCAAACGATGGGGACGATTCAGCATTCGACAGCAACAAGGCGGCCAGGAAGGGACGAGGATTCCAGTGCAAATTTTGCAACACTATGCACTCGCGGCAATGGCGGCGCGCGCCAGGAGTCTCGCCGGGGCAGGTTGCAGCACCTGAGAAAGGCCTCAAGGTGGACAAGAGAGACAGGCCACTGCTTGCCTTGTGCCTTCGATGCGCAGGTCTCTGGCGGAAGTATGCCATTCAGTGGGAAGAAATCGACGAGGTGGCTAAGAAAGTTGCTGCTGGAGGTGGCAAGGCACTCAAACGCAAGATTGACGAGGAGCTCATGCGCGAGCTGATCGCCGCGAACGAAGCAGCCAATAACCCTCCGGAACTGTCATTGCCCTCTGTTCCATCAATCGAGGGCGCAGAGCCTCCTAGGAAGAAGTCGAAGACTGACAAGAATGGCACACTCGCGGCAGCCGAGACAGCCAAGAAAGTCGAAAAACCACCGCCTCCTCCAAAAGAGCCAACTCCACCACCGCCACCCATAATACCAGCGCAGCCGACGTGGAAAGTGTTGCCATGCGCTGTATGCAAAGGCGTCGACGACACAATTGCTTGTGCGCACTGCAAGCTCACTGTACATCGAAGGTGCTTTGGCGTCAACAAGAACGAGGGTGTGCGATCCAATGGCGAAGTCTACTGGGTATGCGATCAGTGCCAGAATGACCGCAATCCTTCCGTGTCTACAGACTACTCATGCTGCTTGTGCTTGACCGAAGAAACACTCGTTGATTTGGTCGAACCAACAAAGGTTTCCCACAAGAAGAAAACAGACCGAGAAAAGGAAAAGGAGCGACTGGAAAAAGAGCTTGCCGACGGGATGAGAGCGGAGTACCGCAGCAAGCAGCTGTCACATCACCGACCTGTCATCCCTCGCGAGCCTCTGAAGCGGACTGCTGGAAACTGTTGGGTTCACGTCAACTGTGCTGTTTGGGCACCTGAGACCCGCTTCAGTAATGCCGAAGCTCTCGAAGTCGTGGAGGGCATTCAGCTTATCCCAGCGGCCCGATTTGAAGCCGTCTGCAAGCTGTGCAAGAACAGAGACCACCACAACAAATTCCGCGAGAATTCCGGCGCCTGCGTCAACTGCTTCACCTGTCAAGCACCTTTCCACGTCTCCTGCGCATTCGAGTCAGGATACACATTTGGGTTCGATGTGACGCCTGTCAAAGGATCACGCAAGGATCAAGTCATCACCGCGACTCTGGGCCAGGAAACTGGCGCCGTGACACCAGTCATAATTTGCAAGGAGCATCCCATCGGCGCCAAAACTGTGCTACACCCTATCGATGAAATAAACGAGGAGACTGGCAAGAACGCTCTGCAGACATATGTGGCGGCATACAAGCAGGCCGATCTGACACTTACAGGCACCGTGCGTAAGGCTCATCAGGCTCAAATCACTAAGGATAAGGGTCAACAACCCGCTTCTGCTCTGGCTGCGAGCAGGAGAGAATCAGGTGCGCACAGCATTGCTGCTGCCGTCAGGCGTGGAGCGAGGACCTCTTCTGTGGCCGAGACGAAAGTCGAAGCTGACGATAGCTCCAACGACACCTCGAACGTGCTAGCCGCTAATGGTCGCAAGTGCATGAAGTGTAATGTCGATGTGACGCCTCGCTGGCATCCAGTGTTCCGGCAGGCCAAGGAAGAGGATGCCAAGTCTCCAGAGCAGCGACGCGTGTCCATTAGTTTGGGAGAAATCACGGATGCCAACCGAAGCGCAGCCGGCCCCGAGACGCCTAACAGGCCTTCTGAGCCGCCGCGGCAGCACATTCGCTTTATGGCTCCTGGTGCCAATGGACGGGCCTGGGAAGGTATGCCAGATCGGCTTGCACCAAGCAGGCCTGTCAATGGCGACAGTCGTCCCAGCGAGGGCTCTCCAAGCGCACCCGCCGGTGCTCCAGTAGCCGATCCTGCTGTGCCTGCCCAAGCCAACGGCGATTCTCGTGGTGGTATTGGCGACCCTATCAGAGTCGACCAAAACGACGACGTGTTTCATGCCCATGGCTTGCCTCAATTCCGGAATCCAGCGGCCAATTTGGAGCCGTCGCAGGCCGAAACAGAGAAGAAAGAAGAACAGCCTTCAGAGTGGTTGTGCCACAAGTGCTTCGTCAAGAGAAAGACGGATCCTACACCACCGCCGGAAGATCGCGCAGACCGACCAGCGCTGTCGCCACCGAAACAGTTCCCACTTCAGCTCGAGTTCAATCGTGGATCACAGCCACCCGCTCCTACGCCGTCCATTGAAGAGCAATTCTTGGTGTGGGATCGACCTGTCCGCCCGACTCCTGCTCCTCCGCCACCTGTCAACGGCATGCCCGGAGGTGGATTCCATCCTCCACCGCCGCCGCACCACATGGGCCATCCTCCGCCTACGCACCCTTACGCGCCACCCTTTGGTCAACAGCCAAACGGATATCATGGCGTGCCTCCACCGCATCCAATGCATGAACGGCATGGCAGCCATGGGAACAGCTATGGTTATCCTCCTCCACAGCACTCGCCAGGACCTCCAGCACCTTATTACGGACCTCCAGGAGGACCCAGACCGCCTCACTTGAACGGCTATCATACGCCTGTGCAGTCGTCGCCACACGGTTCACAGCAGCCACCTTTGCACTCTCCGACTTACCAACATCCTCCGCAGCATTCGCAGATGGGCGGGCCTCGATCAGATGGTCAATATCCGGCGCAGTTGCATCCGCTTGGACCTCCAGTGCATTCTAGTCCCCATGCGCCCTTTGGCAGACCTGGTTCACAACCAGCCTCAGCTACGCCGCAGCATCCTCCTTTGCCTGGGCCTCCCAATCCTATGAACGCTCAACAGCAGAGTATTGCACAGACGCAGCAGCAGCAGCAGCAGCAGCAAGGTTCGGCTCCGATAGCGCCGTCGATTGGGCAACAGCCACCAAGCCAGGCGCCCAGTCAGGCGCCTGCAGCTGGCAGTCCTCAGTCTGGCAACGCGCGGCCGATCGGGAGCGAGCAGCCAAGACCAACAACTCCAAGAGACGGTCAGGCAAATGGGTTCACAGGCGCCAGTGCCAGCCCGAATTTAATGAATTTGATACATTAGGCATTCTATTACTCGTGAATTGTGGTAGAGCAGAAACAGGATGCCGGGCGAAAGTGTGAATCTTAGCATTTGAAGGAAGGGGATGAATGGGAGCACGCTGGACATGGTCACTTTTCGGATACCCTGTGGCGAGTAGGCTACTTGTACGTCTTGGCGGAAATGACGGGCTATCTATGTACTTTGAGATAGCTGCAAAGACCCGAAGATTGTCTAAATACTATACCTGACACTGTACTGCAGTCGCAGGCGCCAAAGTCTCGTCACGTGCCATGTTCCCCGCGAAGGGAAGTGACGGGAGCTAGGACGAGGCGGGAAGAAGCTGGGAGCTGAATTTGCGCCTTAAGTCGTGATGTGCCGCCGGACGTTTTGTCACGACGACTTGACTATCCACCGACCTGTCCCATATAGCGAATTACTCGCGTCGTTCTAACATGGGACGAGCATATAGCGAGGAGCAGCGGAACACAGTGCGCGCGCTTCTCGAGTCCGGTCGCGATGAGGAGTCGATCGAGAAGGAAACGGGCGTCAGCGACCGCACGATCAGGTATGCTCGCTCTCGCGCTGTTTTGGCCGTGGCCGCGTTTCTGCCAGCCAAAATAGTGCCAGTGTGTATGCCGGCTGCCAGCAGCGTGTCTGACGGATGACAACAGGCGATGGAAGCTGGAGCTCGAGCGAACCGGGCGCATTGGCAAACCTCCAGAGGCGCGAACCGGCAGACACAGAGTGCTTTCCGCCGAGATTGAGCAGGTAAGCCAGCTGCCCATATGCCCATATGCCCCATACGCACCCTGCCCCAAGCGTCCGGCGAGCTGATCGCGTGTATGCCAGGCACTGTTCGACCATGTCAAGCAGAACCAGAATATGTCGGTCGACGACATGTTGTGGTGGCTGTACGACACGCACAAGATCGTAGTCGGCACGCGGACCATACGTCGAGTTTTCGAACGCAAGGGCGACAAGTTCCAGATCAAGGGCAAGAGCAACGCGAAACGGAAAGGCAATGCCAAAGACGACGACGACGACGATGATGACGATGATGATCAGCATGCTTCGCCCGTGCAGACCAACGGGCAATACCAGTCGCCATATGCGCCCATGGCCCAGCAGGCTGTGACTACCGAGCAACAGCTGGCGCAAGCACTCCAGGCACAACACACTCCGCAACAGAATCATCAGAATCATTTCAGCACCAATACTGGCATCACCATCGACGATGACCTGCCAGAGGACGAGGAGACAATCGAGCTGCAGCTCCAGCAAATTGCACTGCAGAAGCGGGAGGTTGAGCTCAAGCTGAAGATGCGACGACTGCAGAACGGCAAGAACACTCCGGCCTCGAGTCGCAAGACCTCCACACCGTCAACGCAGGGCACGAGTGTCCTCTACCAGCCCGGCTTGGCTGTTCCCACGCCGCCGAAGCGAGATTCTCGCAGCAAGAAAAAAATCGAAGAGTCCAAGCGTCGGACAGCAGAGCGTCAGGAGCGAATGCTCCGTGATTTGGAGCGTCGTAGTCGTCGACGAGATCACCTCACTGCTGAATGGGTGCAGAGCAAGGACATATGGCCACTGCGCGCTCAAGGCTTGCTTGCCGATCTTATGCACCAGTATGGGTACTACGCGTTCTCTCAGAACCAAGTCGACACATTCGAGACCATGTACCGCGACCTGTATCAACTGGTGGATCTCACAAAAGGCGATTGGGTTCCGCAGATACACGATGAAATGCTTCGCGAACGCATGAAGCGTAAGATGGGTCAATTACGCACGAAGATGCAGAAGACTGGTGAGATCGTTGCTCGAACGGACGGCTATGGCGGCTTCCAGAAAGCAGATGACTACACTGGAGCCATCGCTGGAGCTGATGAAGGTGACGAAAGCGAGATGGTCTCCGAAATGCAGGTCCAGCCAGGCGCGCCGCCCGAGCCACAGGTCCAAGACCAGATCCAATACGATCCGATGCAAGACCATTCACAAATGCAGGCGCATCATCAAATGCCGTATGCCATGATGCAGCAACATCAAGGCCCGGCGCAGTATCCTGGAATGATGGACCATACGCAGATGTTGCCTTACGGCCAGATGAATGGCATGAATGCAGCTGGCCCGATGATGTAGGAATATGATGATGGAGCTGATACGCCTTTTCGACACCACAGGAGTTCCATGACGATGGCGCACAAATTGGGGAGTAATTGAGTTTCATGATACCACTACAGCAGTTTCTTGTTCGCGCGTCGGGAGAGACGGCGTTTGTTTTGTAGCAGAGCGTGAGGGCCATTAGAATGGACAGGCAATGCATACTTTCTCATCCTTCGATCCGCTCTCGCAATGAGTCCTTCGATGGTCGCCGACGCCCCGTTACACTCGGTTTGAGAACGGTCAGCTCTGACCAGGGATCAAAAGCCTTGAATTTACAATGATCAGAATGGTTATTATCTAACATACCTCCCCAAAGAAGACCGTGAGCTCGTGAAACTTCACAAACAATGAGCCCGTACATCGAAGAGGCCATACACGAAATTGGATGCAGCAATTCAACGATCGGTAGCAACCATAGCGTGTGTGGCTCGTGGTGATGAAGATGAACCCTATTACCCTCAGGCTATATGATGAACGCAAAGTCCTGGATCATCGCCTCGTCCTTCCTCGACTTCTGCGTCCTGCGTACAAACAAGCATTTCTCCAGCCACGTCGGTCGCCAAATGTTACGCGGGCGTTCCTTGCGAAACAGGTTTAATCCTTGTCTACAGCCGTAGCTTTCTGCTCACTCGCCACAGAGTAGTGACGTGTGAGGGGCTTTGGACGTGGACCAGGGGACCTTCTAATGCTTTATCATAAAGCCAGGCTGTATTTTTTGATTTGTAATGGTTGGTATATTACAGAAGGCGACCAAGGCGCTCTTGTCTACTCCACTCGAAACTTCTTACCACTTATTTAGAACACCGCTGCTTTTATTTGTATTTTTTAGTCTTATATTATAATACTTTAGATTTGTTATCTAGAAATAATAGTAACAAATTCTTTTATATACTTTTCTCTCTAGAAATAGTAGTAATAAAAAGATCTGCTTTTATTTGTATTTTTTAGTATTATACTATAATACTCTAGATACGCTATCTAGAAACAATAGTAATAAATTCTTTTATATACTTTTCTCTCTAGAAATAGTAGTAATAAAAAAATTATATAAATAATATCTATAAATTAAAGAACTATTAGATTTCAAACAACCATTCTTAGCTAAAAGCTCTATTCTAAAATCTCTATTTAAAGTTTATTAAAATAGTTAACAATGCTTTAAGAACAGATCTATAGAGTTTTTTTTAAAAAAAACAAATTTACTTTTATAAGAGCTTTTAATAGTGATAGCTAATAGTCTAACAAGTCTTCTAGTAATGTAGACCCAGTAAAAATAAACTAGAGATCTTCTGGAAACACTAATAACTTATGACTTGGCGCGTGCCACAAGTCGGCACATCTCCATAATTGCCGAAGTATGGTAGTACTATCATCAATGAATCATTCTCCGATATGGAGGCAGAATCAAAGGCGACGGAGGCTCGACACCCTCTAGATCTCCCTCCGCCCGAGCAGCTGAGGGAAATTGAGCGCAAGCAGAATGAGCGTGCTGCTGAGATACGTGCCAGAAGACGGCGCGAATCGGTGGTCGATGAGAGGACGAAGGCTGCTGAGGTAATTCAGAGAACATATAAAGGCCATCGAGATCGCAGAGCGTTGAAGGGGTATGGACTTGATTCCAGCACCAGATGGCTAGAGGTAGGTAATGACATTGAACTGACGTTCAAGCGCATGCACGGCGCTGATATGTCGTAGGGGCTCAAAGATGGTAAGGCGGATGGTGAGCTCGAATTGCGATCGCACGAACTGACACAGCTGGACAAAAGCCGAGTATAACAAGCTCACGCGGGTGATGTCGAGATCAGCACGTTTCAACGAATCCCAGACTCGGACGGAGCGAGCACGAAGTCGTTGGGCGCAAGCCGGCAAGATCGCGCTCCACGCTGGCGACGATAACACGAGCGACAGCGACGATCGATCTAGCCATGCCGAGTCCATGGCCAAGAAGCGCGCGAAGAAGGCGGAGCGAGAGAAGTATGCTAAAATGATGGGACTGGATTACTTTCTGGAGATGGTTTGGTTTACTCGAGCTTATACTTTACCTCGAAACCTAGCTAAGGATTTATAGGTGGATCAGAAGCACAGATATGGCAGTTCTCTGAGACGATACCACCAGGAGTGGATGAGGAGCGATACCAAGGAAAACTTCTTCTACTGGCTAGATTATGGCGAGGGCAAAGATCTGGATCTGCCCGATCGGCCACGCGAGAGACTGGAGCGCGAACAGGTCAGGTATCTCAGTGTTGAAGAGAGGAGAAAGTATCTTGTCCGAATCGATGAGCAGGGTCTATTGGTGTGGGATAAGGATGGCAAGGCGATCACGACAAGCCCAGACTTCAAAGACAGTATTGATGGAATCGTGCATTCATCCGAAGATAAGCCGACATGGAGAGAAGTGACTACGGGCGAGAAGGCTGAGCCGCGGGACACATCAAGCGATTCATCGTCGATAGGCAGCAAGATCAGTACTGGTAGTCACGAGGACGCGTCGAAATATGCGAACGAAGAGTTCCACGACGCGAAAGGCCTGTCCAAACTCAACCATGTCAGCGTCGATGCGCTCATGAATCACCTCCTGCGGAAGACGACCAAAAGGAACACGTGGATCTTCGTCGCCGACACCTCGTTCCGCCTGTACATCGGCATCAAACAATCGGGCGCCTTTCAACACTCGTCGTTCCTGAAAGGCGCGCGCGTCGCCGCGGCAGGTCTCATCAAAATCAAACGCGGGCAGATCCGCAAACTATCTCCATTGTCCGGACACTATGCGCCGCCGGTGCGCAATTTCCGCGAATTCCTCAAGAGCCTGAAGGAAGCTGGAGCAGACCTGAGCCGCCTGAACGTCAGCCGGTCATATGCTGTTATTCTGGGGTTGGAAGGGTACGTGAAGGTCAAGAAGAAGGCGAAAGATGCTAAGCAAAGTATACATGATGTGTTGGATCCTGAGGAGAAGAGGAAGCGGATTGAGATGGAGAAGGACAAGAGTCAGAGTGCGGAGATTGAGAGACAGGTTCTTGCCCAGGAGGCGCAGGAGAGAAGAAGTCAGAGCAAGAGTTTTCGGATGATGAAGAGGTTGGGGTCGGCAAAGACGATCACAACCCGCTCGCCCTAACTTTGGCCCGATGTGTGCTCGGCAAAGCGGTTCGTTGTCGCGTGCGGTGCGGTGCCAACGAAAAGGAGATTTCCTTCTTTGCGAGCGAAGTAAGACGTGGAAATGGCATTTGGTTGTGAGTGCGAATGGCCCCGATGTTGCACGAACATTCATACTCGAAGAGTGTCGGAGATGACGTCTTCTGTCACTACCATGACAGCAACACCGAAGACCAGGAGCATACGAATGATGCACTTAACGACTGTGTCGGGTTTCAGGGCCAACGGAGCAAGAGGATATGAATGATCCGTCTTTCAGAGGCATCAGACCTGACGAATCACGGCGCGGCGGCGATTCGGGGCTACCTCTTCCCAATCAATCTCTGCTGCTGGAGGCCGTATGTGCATGTCGCCCGAGGTGAGATATATATCGGCATCAAACAATGCGACGCCTTTCAACACTCGTCGTTCCTCAAAGACGCGCGCGTCGCCGCCGCAGGTGTCAATTGAAGTGGCGAAGGAGGAGAAGGAAGAGGCGGATGTTGGTGGCACAGAAGATAGCGGGGGTCTTTGCGGGTTGAGTACATGATGATTGATGCAGATATTGTCCTCGATAGATTGATCTCTCTCTCGTGCCACAAGCCACAGATGACGATCTTGGCAGGAACAGGGTGGGGATCCTTGTCTCGCATGGTTGGAAGTTGGAACAGTAGTGTCATGCAGACGTCAACGGCAGCTGCAAGGCTGCAGTGCTCGTGCGGTGGAGACTACTGGAAGTTCTACATATGTATGTGCTGGGAAGGGACGAGTCGCGTATCATGATGTTGACACTGACACTACGGCAGGCGAGGACGATGCGCAGTGCTGAGCTCGGAGTGCATTGATGGAGACGGACGGTTCGATGGGAGGCGCCATCGAGAGCGACAGGAAGCTGCGAGTGTCACTGTCACGTCGGACGGTATGATGTATGATGCAACACTTGCACTACCGTGGCAGAAGTTGGCACAAGAACTGATATTGGATGTTTAATGCAGTGCGTCGGCGTCGGCGTCGGCGTCCGCATCGGCGAGAGCGCTGATTGGCGCTGATGCTGGTTATTGCGACAGCAGTCGTCAACTTTGTTTCCGCCGCGCCGTCTAAACCTTCTCGCACTTCACGCACTTCACGCACTTCACATTCCATCTTCATCCAGCATTTCTTCTTGTTACACAATCCTGCTGTGGCCCGAGCCCCGCTTCCGTGCAGGCAGTCGCACTGCACTCTCCATCGACCATTGGCCGGCCATCTCCAGTATACACACAGCATCGGCATCGAGCCCGCATCCGCCTGCACATCTCGACCGAGCGAGCCTCAGACTGACTGCCAGAAGGGAAACACACATCTCGAGCTCTGCGACTATGGACATGTGGCGCGCATCCCCATCGGCATCGGCATCGGCCCAGAAAGCTGGCACTGTGGGCAGACTCTCGACCATTTCTTGCGTCGCGCGCCTCTCACCACGCCTCCACGCGCCACCTATCCCTATCCCTGCTGCACATCCAATGTCGGCAAGCGCTTCTGACATCATTTGATGCCATCCTGACGCTTGCTGGTGTCGCGCTCATGAACCTCCACACGCCCTGATAGCTCGCATAGCTATAACTACCGTAGCACTTTCCCCTTTCCCTTGGGCCATAGCTTGCGCACGTTGCTTGCATGTCAAGCAATTCTCACAAATACGCCTACTACTCTTTTCCACCCACCCCAACCAGAACCTCTCCGTCTCCTCGACTTTGCGCTTCCCCGAACCCTACACCAGCAACCACTGGCGACTCAGACATCATGGCACCATCTCCGGCAGCAGGAAAGCAGACTGGCACTCCCAAAACTCCGACAAAGCTCTCACGAAAGCCTGCCCAAACCCCGCAGAGACCCGCACAGACATCAGAAAGCAAGCCAGTGCCATCTACGCCAAAAGCCGCTCAGCCTGAGAAGCCCGAGACCGACTCACCGAAGCTTCCACCCCGACCAGATGTCGCGGGCAAAACTGAAGAGGTCACAGGAGAGGCTGAGAGCATGGCTGATGATGTTCAAAGCAAAGCGGGACAGGCCCAGAGCTCTGCCGGAGACGACGACGAAGATGATGGACCGCTGAGTAAAGTCACTCAAGCCGGCCAAAAGGGCCAGGAGGGCCTTCAGCAGCAAGCACCGGAACCAGTCCAGGACGACGATGACGACGATGACGAAGAAGAAGCCGACACGATTTCTGGAGCGCAGCAACAAACGAAGGACTTCTCATCAGATGCAGGCGACGAGGCCGAGGACGTTGCCGATGACGCCACGGAAAAGGCCGGCGACACTGTTCAATCAGCCGACGACGACGAGAGCTCACAGCAAGGTCAGGAGCAGCCGCAACAGCAACCGCAAGGTAAGAAGGGCAACGGTCTGCTGTCTGGTGCTAAAGGCCTAGCTGGCAAGGCTCAGGGCCTAGCAGGCAAGGCCTCTCAGGATCCGAAAGCTGCCGCTCAACAAGCAGGCGACGATGCCAAGGAAGGTGTTGAGGATACCGCTCAAGGTGTTCGGGGCACGGCAGAAGAGGGCATTGAAGAAGGCCAGAAGGTCGCAGGCGAAACCACTGATGAAGCTGGCGACGGCGAAGATGAAGGTGTTGCAGACAATGTCAAGGGAGCTGCAGGAAGCGCTCAGGCGACAGCTGACGGCGTCAAAGATCAGGCTGGCGAAGCGGTCGATGGCGCAAAGGAGACAGCTGAGGACGCCCAGGATCAGGCTGGCGAAGCGGTCGGTGGCGCAAAGGCGACAGCTGACGGCGTCAAGGACCAGGCTGGCGAAGCGGTCGGTGGCGCAAAGGCGACAGCTGACGGCGTCAAGGACCAGGCTGGCGAAGCGGTCGATGGCGCAAAGGAGACAGCTGAGGACGCCCAAGACCAGGCCGAAGACACTGTCAATGGTGTCAAGGACGATTTACCAGTTCCTGAAGGCCTGCCGGTCGATCTTTCAGTTCTCAGAGGCCTCGAAGTCGACGAAGAGGGCCTTGCGTACGACAAAGAAGGAAATCCAATTGGTCGTCTTGCTGAAGGTGACGCTGAAGATCTGGCCGGATACCCAATCGGTGATGACGGCGAGATCCTGGATGACGATGGCGATCTTGTTGGTCGCGTAGAGCTCCTACCAGACGAGATCAAGCGTCAACTTCAACGAGCCCAAGAAGATGGCGAAGAACTTCCAGAAGATGCGCAGACATACCTTGGCCAACTTGAAGATCAAGCTGATGATGCCGTGGATGGAGTTGAGGAGGAAGTTGACGAAGCCGCCGCCAATCTTCCTTCCACTTCAATTCTCAAAGGACTCACCTGCCAAATTGATGGCCTCATCTACGACGCCGATGGTAACACTGTTGGTCGTGTCATCGATGGCGACCCTCAAGAGCTGCAAAATGCCACACTCAACGATCAAGGCGAGTTCATCGACAAAGACGGAAACGTCGTTGGTCACGCAGAGATCCACGAGGACGCAGAAGAGCTTGTTCAGCAAGGCATCTATAAACCAGCGGAACAAGCACAGCAGGTCGCCGAGGATGCCCAAGAGCAAGTCCATGGTGTCAAAGAGGGTGCTGAAGATGTAGCTGGCCAAGTCGAGGAATCGCCCCCCGAGATTGAAGACCAGCTTCCTGGCATCGAGGCACTACAAGGCAAGGAGCTCAACGAAGCTGGCGAAATTGTTGACGAGGAGGGCATTGTCCTCGGTAATGTCGCCGACGAAGACCTCAAGAAGAAGATCGAAGAGGGCGAGATTCAGCCAGAGACACTCAAGGTTGACGAAGAAGGCAATCTCGTTGATGGAGAGGGCAATATTCTTGGCAAGACCGAACTTGCCGAGGGTGCCGCTGAGAAGCTCGCCGGCCTTACTAAGCTGCTGGATATGCGCATCCTCGATGGCAAGCGAATCAACAAGAAGGGCACAATCCTTGACGATGATGGAGAGGAGATCGGTGAGCTCACCGATGGCGAGCTCAGTGATTGTGCCGGCGCTCGTGCCAACGACAAAGGCGAAGTCTTCAACAAGAAGGGTGAGCTTGTCGGCCACGTCCGCGTCGTGCCTGGCGAAGCCGCAGAGAACGCCACTCGCGAGCTTCTCGAGGAGCTTGGCGAGCTTGAAGACCAGGCAGAAGAACAGATCGAAGACGCGCAAGACCAAGCGGTGGAAGTCGCAGAACCACTCATGGAGGAGCCTGAGCTTAATATTCTGGATGGCCTGAAGGTCAACAAGAAGGGCAAGGTGCTCAACGAAGATGGCGAAGAGATTGGCGAGCTGACGGCTGGTGATCTCTCCAAGTGTGCTGGGAAGAAGATCAACGCTGTCGGCGAAGTAATCGACAAGGATGGCAATGTCGTCGGCCACGTTCGCACCCTCCCTCAAGAGGTTCAACAGGAGGTCGAAGCTCCCGCTGTGTCAATCCTCGAAGGCCTCAAAGTCAACAAGAAGGGACAAGTCCTCAACGAGGACGGCGAGCCGATTGGCGAACTCACGAGCGGAGACCTCGCACAAGTTGCAGGCAAGAAGATCGATGCCAAGGGTCAAGTTCTCGATGACCAAGGCAACGTTCTTGGGACCGTTCGAACTCTGCCCATCGGCGACCAAGAGGAACAGCAAGAGGAGCCGCAAGAGGAAGAGTCGGCACAAGAGGAGGAGGAAGGCGACCAGCTCCCTCCTCTGTCCATACTGGAAGGCCTCAAGGTCAACAAGTCAGGCAAGCTCATCGATGGCAATGGTGCTGTCGTTGGTGAACTTGTTGAGGGCGATCCCAAGAAGCTCTCCAAGTCTGGTGCGACTTGTGATGCTGAAGGCCAATTCTGGGACAACAAGGGCCATGTCATTGGCCGTGCTCAGACTCTACCTCAAGAGGAGCCGGAAGAGGAGGCTCCCTTCGCTGGCTTAGAAGGTCTGCGGGTCGTCGAAGAGGGCTGGGTCCAAGACGAGAACGGCAACACTGTCGGCTACGTGACTGAAGGCGAAGCTAGCAAGCTCATCGGTCGCGTTGTTGACGAGGACGGCGACATCATCGACAAGAAGGGCTCTGTCGTCGGACATGCCGAACGTTACGTGCCAGAAGAGCAAGAAGAGGTTCTAGAAGAGGCACCCGATCTCTCCTTCCTCGAAGGCAAGACGGTCACCAAAGCTGGACTTGTCATTGGCGACGAAGGTATTCCTGTTGCACGCCTGGTTGAGGGCAGTGCCAAAGAACTCACCGGCAAGCCACTCGACAAGGTAGGCCAATTCTGGAACGATAAGGGAGCTGTCATCGGAAAGGTGGAGCTGATCCCGGAGTCGGAACGTGAGGCCAAACCAGAGGGCCCATTTGCCGGCTTGGACGACCTGCGCGTTATTGAAGGCGGCAAAATCGCTGATGAAGACGGAAACGTCGTTGGCGAAATCGTCGAAGGCAACCCGAAGCGTCTCGTGGGCTTGTCCGTGGACGAGGACGGAGACATTGTCGACAAGTACGGCAATGTCAAAGGTCATGCCGAGCCTTTGCCTGAAGAAGAGCCACTGGATTACACGATTCTCGATGGGTTGACCTTGAACAAGTCTGGCTTCGTGGTGGATGAAAATGGCATTCCATTTGGAAAGATTGTAGAAGGTTCTCCATCCGACTTGGCTGGCAAGCAGTGTGATGAGAACGGCTACATCTACAGCGACAAAGGAAAGGTCATTGGCCGCTGCGAACCACTCCCAGAAGAGGAACGCCAGAAGCGAGCCGAGGGCCCGTTCGCTGGTCTCGAGGGCTTGCATGTCGTCGAGGGCGGCTATGTTCAAGACGAAGAGGACAATACAGTCGGCCAAATCACCGAAGGTGATGCCAAGAAGCTCGTCGGCATGAAGGTTGATGAGGATGGAGACATTCTGGACAAGTACGGCAACGTCAAAGGTCACGCTGAGCGCCTTCCAGAAGAGGGCGAGATCGACTACTCTATTCTCGACGGCCTTACACTGAACAAGCAAGGTTTTGCTGTCGACAGTAATGGAACACCATTCGGCCGTCTCGTCGAAGGTAACGCTTCTGAGCTTGCGGGACGTCAATGCGATGAGCAGGGCTACCTCCACAATGATCGCGGCAAGCCAGTTGGTCGCTGCGAGCCGATCCCAGAGAACGAGCGTGTCGCACGTGCGGAGGGACCTTTTGCTGGTCTCGAAGGCCTTCACGTCGTCAAAGATGGCAAGGTAGAGGACGGGAATGGCAATGTCGTAGGAGAGATTACCGAAGGAGATGCCAAGCGCCTGGTTGGCATGAAGGTTGACGAAGATGGCGACATCATCGACAAATTCGGAAACACCAAAGGCCACGCTGAGCCGTTGGTGGAAGAGGAAGAGCAACCACTCGACAACAGTGCGCTCGAAGGCAAATATCTCAACAAGCAAGGGTATGTCGTTGACGACAAGGGCATTCCTTTCGGTCGCCTTGTCGAGGGCAATGTCTCTGAGCTTGCCGGCCGCAAGTGTGACGAGAACGGCTTCATCTATGGCGATACTGGCAAGGTGGTCGGCAAGTGCGAGATCCTACCTGAGAACGAGAGAGTTGCTCGTCCCGAAGGTCCATTCGCCGGACTTGAGGGCCTTAGAGTGGTAAAAGACGGCTTCGTCGAAGACCAAGATGGCAACCGTGTTGGACAGATTGTGGAGGGAGAGCCCAAGAGATTGGTCGGACTCCATGTCGATGAAGATGGTGATATCATCGACAAGTACGGCAACGTGAAGGGACACGCCGAGCCTTGGACCGAGGAAGAGGTTGAAGAAAAAGATCTTTCGATCCTTGCCAACACCACTATCAACAAATCTGGCTACGCTGTTGATGGCTCTGGCCAGATCATTGGACAGGTCGTCGAAGGTGACGTTGGCACCTTGGTCGGTAAGAAGGTCGATGGCAAAGGCCAGATCTGGGATAACTCAGGCAATGTCATCGGCAAAGCAGATACGATCACTGGTGTCAACGCAGAAGAAGGTCCATTTGCTGGTTTCGACGGTCTTCAAATCAACAAGGATGGAACAGTCACTACCCCTGCCGGCGATATCATCGGTCGTGTTATCGAGGGAGACATCAAGAAACTGCTGGGCCACACTGTCGACGAGGATGGAGACATCCTCGACAAGAACGGAAACAAGATCGGAAAAGCCGAGCGATGGGAGCCCGAAGAGAAGGAACGTCGCGTCAACCCAATGTCTGGCAAGCGTGTGAACAAGGACGGCGAGGTCCGTGACGAGAATGGAGATCTGATGGGCAAGCTTACCATGGGTGATCTCGGTCATTGCGTCGGACAAGAGATTGATGATGCTGGAAACGTCGTCGACGTAGAAGGCAACAAGATTGGTGAAGTCACACTGATTGAGAACATCGCCGAAGATGAGTATGAGGGCCCAACCGAAGACGAACTCGAGGAAGCTCGCAAACGTGAAGAGGAGCGACAGATTGCTGAGAAGATGTGCGGCATCACCCAGCAAACTCTCGAGCGCATGCAGCCCATCTGCAAGCAAATCAAAGAGCACATGGAGAAAGCCGACAACACTCCCAAGGACGAACTTGATGAGGAGGAACTGGTCAATAACGTAAAGCCTCTCATTGAAGAAGGTGGCCGCATACTGCAAGAATGCAATGGGTCCCTGCGTGGTCTGGATCCTGACGGCAAGATCGCAGCTCAAGCCAAAGGTCGTGCGGGAACCGGTGAGGCTACTCCTGAGGAATTCCGACTTGCAGAGACTCTCAAGGAATTGACAACTACTGTCGTGACAACCATCGACGATGCGAAGAAGAAGTTGAACAACATGCCTCACGCCAAGAAGAAGCTCAATCCACTCTGGAGTCTGATGACCCAACCTCTATTCCAAATTCTGGCTGCTGTCGGACTTCTCCTCGCAGGTGTCCTGGGTCTCGTCGGTCAACTCCTCAATGGTCTTGGTCTGGGAGGTCTCGTCAACGGACTTCTCGGCGGTCTGGGTATCAACAAGCTTCTCGCATCTTTCGGTCTGATTGACGAGGACAAGAGCAAGAAGAAGAAGAAGGGAGGTGGAAACAAACTTTCCTCTCTACCCATCGTTGGTGGACTTCTTGGCAGTAAGTAAGAAATCCTGCACCAGCACTCTTCCTCTAATGCCACTGCGACCTGTAATCCGCATCTGAGGGAGAAGGTATGTAAGAACGAGGATGCGTCAGGGTTTCTTACTTACGTGCTTCACCCATGCTGCCCTTTGGGTGATGTTTGTGTCTGGAACACTCTGACTGCTTACCTCTGCAGAGAAGACAGAAGAGCAGGAAAAAGTTGAAGAGCTGGCCGAGGAGAAAGAAGCCGAGCAGGCCAAAGATCAGATGGAGACTGCTGCTGCGATGGACAGTCTCAATCGTCTTGGAGCTCCGCCTGCTGTCGTGGTGGTTGAGTCGTAATGTTTGATAATGATGCGTTCTTGAGCGAAGTGGATTTGGCGTTTCTCGTAATGGACGACGAGCAGCATATGTTTGTTGATGGGGGTCCCGGAATTTCTTTCGTGAGATGTCTGTGTATGAGCTTGTGAGATGGATGGAATGTACATTGGCACCTAACTGATAAATACCTAGCCGAATCAGGACAAAGGAGAGGGTATCATTGGTTACAAACCCAGCCAACCCGACCAACACGCACCCATTGCCTTCTCCGGATCAGCCCCCGTTCGTTTCCCCACTGACCTTGCCATCGCCATACATAGTCCTCCACCTCTCAACACTCGGTCTCCCCACACTCGCCAGAGCCGCGCCCTTCTCACTCCACGTCCCCGCCCTACGATTCCTCTTCTCAATTTCTTCCCGCACCCGATCCGTCGCAGGCCGCAAATAAATCCTCAAAATATGTTTCTGTTGCGACAAGAACCTGCTCACCAATTCCCGCACCGTGCTCGGCGCACCCAGCAGTAACCCACTGTGCACAATGCTCGCATGTTCTTTATCGCCCGGCGACTCCGTCGTGAGCGTCGTCGATACCGGCAGATGTTTTCCCTGAGACGTTCTGCCCGTCGGTTGCACATCTGCGTATATGGCTTCGAGGAAGGATTTGATGTTGGACGCCAGTTCTTCCATGTCGTTGATGTCGCTGGATTCCGTGAGGACGGCGAGCCATTCGTCGTCGTATGTGGTGCCTCGCATTGACGATGTGGGGCCCGGCATGGTCGTGGTGAGGAATTCTTCGGGCATCAACGGTTCGTGGTCTTCGGCGTAAACGGGCCATTCGGTTCGCACGTGGTCTTTGATTACGAGGGAATAAGACCAGGGGAGGAGCATGTCGACGATTTTTACGCGAGACGAGGTTAGGGTGTGCGTCACTGTTACTGTGCACTGCTTTGGCGAGAGCGAGAGAGTCAGTTTCTTGTGGCGTGGATGGGTTTCTTTTGGGCCTTTTTTTTCCGCTTCGAGACTCACATCAACCGACGTAGTCGGAGGGACGATGGTTTTGATCGCTTTGACCAGTTCATGTTCGATCTCGAAACAGCTGCGAGCTTGAGCATCGAGCACGGCGACGCTCCAGCTGACGAGCTCCAATCCGGTCCCTCCTGTCTGCGGTGGTCTGGCCCTTCGCTCTCGATGCTGATTGAAGGGGAGAAGCGCGTCCGAGGTGTGTGCTGGTTTCTGAAAGATTTGATGTGGTAAATGTCCTGCTCGTGCAGACCCACGGAATTGCAGCGTCTCGCCCAATGATGACGGTGTTCCAATGAGTGTGGACAGTCTCGACATCGGTCTCTGCCTGTTCTTGTCCTTCCCTCCCTGCAGTCCACAGAGCCATGCCATCAGCGGGATTGCGCACAGTCAGTAGTGGTGATGTGGAAGACGATTTGGTGAGATTCAGGCCTCATTCGATGGTGTGCCGGAAGAACAACTGTCGGAAAGCGCATCATCACTGCTTCATGTTGATCCCTGTAGACGGCCAGACTCCAGCGTGTGACGCAGTGCTACGATGTTGCTCTGTCGTGGGTGCTCATGCTATGTCTTGGCAAGAACCAGGCAAGTCTCACGGGGAAGAGGATTTTGTCAAGCTTATGTATCGGGGATGGAGGAAAGAGGTGAGAGGCGAGTGCAGATCCATGCGCGTGCCGCTGTTGGAAAATAGAGGTCTTGGCTCTCGCTTGGGCAATGTTCACAGGCATTGCTGGGATGAGCTTGAAGTGTATTCGCAATAGTCAGCAGTAGTAGTCACAACCGCACAATCAGCTGCAAATTCGGCGACCGGATCGATTAATTGCGTAGCATGCAATAAGAGAGGCAAACGACGTTTTTGACAGAACCCCGGAGCTGGAACCGCGCGGCTGGAAATAAGTCTAATCTTCCAACACCAACGTGGTTACCACGGTGGTCTTGAGGAGGAGGAACTCCCAAGAGATCCTTGGCATTCAGGTCTTCGCTAATATCTCGATCCATGCTGTTGTTGTTGTTGTTGTTATTGTCTAGAGAGGCCTGTGTTGCTCTTCGAGCTGTACTAACTGGAAGCGTACGATGTCTGCGAGAAGCGACCCGTCCAGTATGTACATACATGTATTATCCTCCGACAAAGCCATGTAGCTAGGCCCGAGCCTTAAGTCGGACGACAACCTTCCTTGAACAAAACAAGGGGATGCACCCGAACTAGCGCAATTTTTATCAGAGACTCTGTTCACGCGTTCGGGTGTGCGACATGTCTCATATCAGAAGCCAGGGAACAGTCCGATACGACATTGACCTAATGTGTGAGAGCGTGGACACGCCTCCCGCGCTCATTCCTGCTCTAGATGCCATTCTCAAGAAGAGAGCACTGCACACTCTTTAAATGGCTTTCTCCAATCGACAGTTCCTGGCAGTCAACTGTCTCCCGGCCCGAGCGTCAATTTAGCCTGTCGTCAACCTTGCCCAATGCAAGGACTCCAAGGAGATGCTCCAGCACTTAAAGGCTAAAGCAGGTGCAAACTTTCCGCTGCATTTATTGGTTGGGCACATTCCCAGAGGTCCTATGTATACATCTCGGACTCTCGGAATCGTTTCATCCCATCAATTCCGAGATTGGTAGTTGTGTGCTCACTGCGGCTCTGGCGCTGTGGTGGACTGAGACTGCTCATCGTCTTATTATACAAGCCTGCCTAGACGAGCGAGATTTGCGTTTCGGTTGAGATGCAGACGAGTTGAAGCGCGCGGGACGCCATCTAATAAGCACACACTCAAACGTGAAGTAGATCATCGTCCTATAGCTGCGAACAGGCTCGTATAAATTAGTCACGAGAACCCACGCCGTTCACTGTCTCCTAGAAAGCTGTCTGACGAGGACACGTGTCTAGAAACGTGGACGAAGTAGGCACTGCGACAGGACTATTCAGCAACTTTGAGACTGAAGTAGATCATCCGAAGACAGGAGCAAGCGATTCTCGGGCCAACGTGGTGCTCACACGCGTCATATGTGATTCGAAATCGCAAGCAGATCATGCGGCAAGAAGTACCTGCTCGTGGCATATCTTGACGGTCGCTGTGTTGCGTTGGACGATGTGTTCAGAGCTCCTCGTCTCCACCGCCATCACTGTCCTCGTCCTCAAATTCCAGCGCCGGTCTTCTTGCTACCTCGATCAAGGGCTCTTCGTTTCTCTCCGGAATGAATTTCCGCATGACCTGTTCCACATAGTCTTTCGGCACTCCTTCGTACAGCGCGTCGTGAATACCCATGTTCATCCTGTAGATGTACTCTTCCTTCGGCTCGGAGGGCTCAGTCCGCATGCGGTCTATGTAGACAAGCATGTCGACTTTGTGTGGATCTTTCGAGGTATCCGGTCGACCAGACCGCTCGTAGATGAGGCGATCATGCCAGCTACGATTCTCGACAACGCGGTTCTTTGCAGATGCCCAATATTCACATTCGATCAGCTCTTTTTGATAAGCGACAGGAACGCCTTCGTTCCTGTCAAGGCGACGCTCGTCCTCTTCTTCCAAGCTGTACACCAAGCCCCACACCTCTTCACTGTCGTCGTGTTCGGAGCTCGATTGCTTGTCGCCTGCGATCTCGACAATATTTGCGTAGCCTCGACCATAGATGATCCATCTATAGCCCTTCAGTCTGGCGATGCCAAGATACCTGGACGTAGGGCAGCGTTGGCGCATTTGGTAGAGCCAAAGATTGGAGCCGTAGCCAAAGTAGATGGTCTGCTTATTCATGATAGTTTCCTTGTTGGTGAGGCGAATGCGAAGCGAGGAATCTGCGGCGATATCCATGGGGAATGAGTGCTTGTCTACTGATCAGCTACACGCGATGGAGGTCAGGAAAGAGACATGTTTCAATGCCGTCTGGCAGCACAAAGACGTGCTTGGTGGAAGGTGCAAGGCAAGGATAGCTGTTGCATCTCAGGTCAGGGCCTCAGGCTTAGGCGTGGAATGTGGGCACCGCACCGCACCGGACCCCTGGCACCGGGCACTGGGCACCGCGGGCGGGGTTCACGTCGGGCCGATGGCACCGATGGCGCATGTCTCGTGCAAGGCCAGACATTCATCTCCCTCGTCATTGTTTCCAAGTACCGTCTCTTCTTCGAGAATGGCAAGAGAGACGTCGGAGAGCTCCATGCCATTGACGAACATCTTCTGCAGAATACTAACAGCTTTCGACCTCTCTTGACCGGCCATCACCTGATGCTGACTCTTCGAGACGTGAGGTTCTGCAGCATCCTCATGATCCGATGTGCTATTGAAGCTTTCATTATCGAAATTGGCCAAAGCTTTATGTAGGTCTGACATCCACAGGCTGAGCGCTGCTCTGACTTCCAGGAGTTCTGCCATAGAATCGTATGGTGGTGCGTCGATCAGTGAATCCAGTCGATGTGAGATGGGCAAAGCGTCAGCTAGCTCTCTGGCCTTGAGCTGATGAAGAGCCTTTCGTTGCTCGGAGGTGTCGCTTTTGAGACTTTGCATTTCGTCGAGCTCTGATGCATCGGGAGCTGTGGCATTATTGGCTTTTCGAGCACGCCTCGAGCGGTGCTGGACTTCGTAGATCCACACATTGAAGAGCGCTGGATACACCACTTTGGCGCTGAAGGCAGAAGGTGGGGTGTTGTGTCTGTGCGGGTACTGCAGGATGAGACGCTCGTAGTAGTCTCGTGCCAGTCTGAAGCCTTCATCGGAGAACACAGGCGCAGAGGCCGAGGACAGCTGTTCCTGGTCGTCAGCACTAGGCTGTCGCATCAAGAGTTCAGCGGCAATCAACCAGCGTCCATGCAGCCTGATGTCGGGCGCATTGCCATCGAGAGAGGTGCGTAGAATGAGGGCCCAGGTCCTCGAGGCGCGCTGCCAATCATGATTGAGCATGCACTTGTGAAGAATTGCTGCCAGGTTATCGAGATGCTTGCGTCTCAGGGAGGTGGAAGGGTGGTCGGAGGTCTGCTTCGGAGCATAAAGGGGGGGATTAGAGCGCGCAAGTTCCGCTTCCACGGAGAGTGAAGGCTGGGGCGAGACTTTCGCAGCGGCATGGGGAAAATTGGATGCAAGCAAGGGCTCGTCTCGAGACCATCCGGCAACATAATATTGATCTCTTTTGTTCACTGGATGGAGGACTCGTGGCTCGGTGTGGTCTTGCTCGACCTTGACCGCTGGGCCTTGGTGATCTTGCTCATGCTCATGCTCATGCTCATGCTCATGCTCATCGCTATCGCCAGCATGGCGTTTGCGTTTGCGCTTGCGCTCGGCTTTCTGCTCGCGCGTGAGAAACGAGTGATGTGAAGCGGGTGTGAGGTAGATCGGGGCGAAGGAAGGCATCAAGTCTGATGTACGGAGGACCTCGTCGAACTATAGGTAGGCTATGGGCCATGGGCCATGGGCCTCTAGAAATTGGAGTGGCGGTGGCTGTCACCAACACATTCCGGCAAGCGATGTCACGCCGTCGTCGCCGTGGGCCGTGGAGCGACGGCGATACGATACTGCTGGGTTGTCGCAGACCTGAGATGGGGAAGAGAAAGGGCTGGTTTGGCCTGGCTCCGTTCGCTGCAGGACGCAGAGTCCCCAGGCGACGCGGACTCCGCTGAGTGGTTTATTAAGCCTTTCAGACAGTGCTCGTGGGCGTAGCTGTTATTATTATTATCATAGGCGTCGGCGTGGGCGGGCCTGTGCTGCCGTTTCATGCAAGACGGCGCACCACGCTAAAAATGTAGATCCCTGCTCCACGCCGCTCAGCGCATGACCTGCCTACACCTACACCTACCTGCTGCAGGCTGGATGCTGGATGCTAAACCGTAAACGCCGCATGCTGAACGCGCAATTCTGACTCCACCGCCATCTCACATCCGCTCTCCCAACACCGCTCATCGCATCGCATCGCCTCGCATCGCCTCCGCCCACCCCGTTTCTCGCTCTGTCGGCGGCAACATCAGCCGCACCCCACGGCGGAAGGAGGCATGCAGTGACCGAAGCTGGCACAGCTGACGCGCAGTTGGCACTCTCTCTCATCAAAGTCCCAGGCGGAGCGCACCTCTGGACCATGGGCCAGTCCCAGTCCTCGTCGTCGTCGCCCCAGCGCCAAGCGCCAATACAGCAGATTGAGCAGCGCTCGAGCAACGCCCGACGCCCCACCAGGAGGGCATCGGTGGCGGTGCGGCGCATACTGCAGTCGACCTCGGAGCGAGCGCATAGCAGTAGCAGCAGACAGCGAGACGATGCCCACGACCTGCTCCCAATCCGCATGCGACGCGCTGCAAACATGTCCCACAACCGCCTCTCCTCACTCTGGACCCGCCCTGCCGATGACGACGACGACGAGCCGGAGAGATCCATCGTCGACACGGAGCCATCGCGCAGTGCCACTTTGGTCCGGAGAACGCGTTCACGATTTCATGAAATGCTTCACCGGAATAGCAGTCACGCCAGCAGCAGACCAAGCCTCCTCTCTCATCTACCGCGCAACTCGTACATGCGAAGCGCCGTCGACAGCACCCACGACGACCACGGCCTATTTCCCCCCCCGCGCTTGCCATCTATCGGCCACTCGTCCAGCTTCGAGAACGACATGTTCAGCCATCAGCCACCCGACTCGGACTCTGCACCCCGCTCCGAGAGCTCACATCGCACTCAGAGCAGACGACTAAATGTCCTGCGACCCGACCGCCCTTTCCGACATCTTGCCTCACTTCGCCGCCGACGCTCTCCCGACGACGCATCGCCCTCCATATCATCTGTACGCCCAAGCCGAAATGAGGATCAGGCGGCCATGCTCAGCAGGCTGCTGAGCGTGGCTGCAGCCGCCACCGCAGCCACTTTGATGGGAGATGACCACAATGCATTGAGGGAGGCGAGGAGCCTGACTGGCAGCACTGGCTTGGGAGATCTCAGTGGCAGTGGCGAAGATGGAAGCTTTGACGGATTTCTTCGAGCACTGCAGAATGGTAGGATAGCATCTGCTCTCCGACAGGGCAGCACCGACTCGGAAGGCGATGCTGCCGGCTCGAATGGACAACCTCTGAACTTCTTCCGAATGTTTCGCTTCGGCCCTTCGCCCGTCTCCGAAGGACATGATGCAGCCAGTGACTCGGCGAGCGCGAATGGCGACGAAGGACGTCTGGTTCCCATAATCATAGTAGGTATACGTTCCATCTCTCCAAACTCCAGCTCTGGCTCTGGCACTGGCTCTCCAGGTGACGACCTGCCACCCTTCATTGACGCTCTTGGCAACTTCCCAACCCCCTTGCCGGCACATGCCCTCGGGACACACGGTCACGATAGCATCGACTCTATCCTGCGACCGCCGCAGAACGGCACGTCCTTTAGACACAGGAGGCGAGCCAGTATGGGAGGCTTTGGCATGGGCAGGAGCAGATTGAGCGATCGCATGGACGACCAGCGAGATCACCGGTCTCCGGACCGACGTAGACAACGTCCTTGGAGTGTTGCGAGCTCCAGCTCTAACCTTGAGCCTCGTCCACCGCCTGCGACGCCTGCGAGCCCAAGTCCAGAATTCAGCCGCATTCCGAGCAGGAACAGCACGCCCAACCATTCGCGGCCGACCTCACTTGTCGCCAACAGCATGCGAGATTTCGAAAGCTCCACTTCTCGACGTAATAGTATTCTGCACCGCGCTTCGGCAACCAGTCCGCTCAGCGCTCACACTGAAGAGACGGCTTCAATACGCTCTATGCACTCCGCTACCGGTCTGCTCGGGGATTCAGAACCATATCGTCTGCACCGCCGCTCAGATACAGCCCCAAACATTCACTACCCTCGATTTGCTTCTGGTCACCCACGGCGGAATGGCATGGTCGAGCCCGATCACCTTCCATCACTGTCGCGCTCATCTACAAGCAACGACACCGATTCGACTAGTCACGACAACCGGAACAGCAGCAATGACTCGCGTAGCTGGATCATCTACGTGCTTGGCGGCTCTTATCCCGAAAACCATCCCATTCTGACGACGCCCAGTCTGTTCACCGAAAACCCTACTTACGAAGACATGATGCTGCTATCAGCGCTGCTCGGGCCGGCCAAAGCACCTGTCGCTACCGACGAGGACGTGCAAAGCGCAGGCGGCATTTACACCATTGAGAGCGATGGCGGCATGACGCAAGATGCCGCCAAAACCGCTGCTCTTGTCGCTGTAGCGACGGAAGGCGAGGAGCGCGTCGTGCTGGACGACGACCAACGTTGCCTTGTTTGCTTGTGCGATTTCGAAACGAAGGAGGTTGCACGCAAACTTGTCAAGTGCAACCATCTGTTTCACAAGGAGTGCATCGATCAATGGTTGACCACTGGTCGCAACTCATGTCCTCTCTGCCGCGAGCAAGGTGTGGATGAGAAGAAGCCAGTGGAGAGCGAGAGCGAGAACGAGAGCGAGAACGAGAGCGATGCAGCGGCTGCCAACGACAGCAGCTCCAGGTCGAGCGAAGTTGTCGCTGGTGCAGACGTGCCTGAAGTGGCGGAACTGGAAGGCTCGTAGCGCGAGTCTATACCAAGGAGGGAGTTGATGGCTCATTTGCTACTGACATGTGGCTGCATTTTCATGATACCCGTTCGCTTCAGGGACAAGTTGCCAGACCTGGAAATGGTTGGTGGTGGATATACAGTTTCGGATACCTGCGTGGCGTTTCACGGGCTAAGCTTTTGTTGGCGACAGCGGCAAACGCGTGGTGGACATATGTCTATACGGACGGGAAGCAAGGACGAGGCAGTGAACTGCTTGATTGGCGATGATTTGGGTGTGGCGCATGGCATGGCATAGGACTCAGGGATGGGATGGAAGATATGAGATGCACCACAGAGGAGGCCTTTGCTATACATCTCCTGGCGGCTTCGAGGAAGTGTGCATTCATCCTGCTCTGCTCCTACTTTATTAACGACATGACGACTTTGAGTTTTCCTCCTGGTAGTGGGTGAGCGACAGACAGACATCTCTGTTGATGCATAGCGAATTGGTCAAGGCATTGTTTTCTTTTCATATACACTGTCTCTGCCATCGACCTGTTCGAAGCTGAAGCTTAAACCTGAAGAGTGAACGCCATCACTAAAAATAGGAACATTCCTTCCGGCCAGCATCGGCCGTGACTTCCTCACTCACTTCATCGTACACCTCGTATAGGGTGTTTAGACGATATAGAGGCGACGACGAGCTCGCCGATAGCGCGAACGAGGACAGCGAGGCCGGAGAGGGTAATCGACACGATATACGTACTATCGGACTAATAACTATACGCTTGACTGTTGCGAGTTATCGTGAGTGCGACCTACCTGAATCCTCATACTAATAACCCACAATAAGTCGCTCGCGCATGCTAGTTATCACGGCTTCTCTCATCACAAACTTCTCGACAATTGCTTCTTCAACCCCCCGACACGGTTCTCAGCCCAAGAACGAGCCTGGCATACACCTCTTCTTCGCATTCTTCAACAATCCTCTCCAATATCCCTTACTCTTCTTATCGATTCCCTTCTCTGATTGAGGCGCCTCAATCAGCTTCGCTCCTGTCATTTCAGTCACGTCAAACGCAGGGAAAGGTTCCAAAGGACTGCTGGTCCGGTATCCCATACCAGAGACGACTCGAGTCGCAGATGGCGGTGTGAAAGTCCGACATTCTTTGCTGGCGGCAGGGGTAGTCGGTTCGTCTGGAGCTTCCAGACTGGCCCAGATATCGCCGAGAGGATTGTTGGTAAAAAGAGGTTGCAGCAGGGAATCATGTCTTTCTACGCCGGTGATATCCTCAGACCCAGACCTAGACCTAGACCTAGACCCAGGCTCAGATTCAGGCTCATAGTCGGAAGCCGACGTTGGCTCAAAAGACTGTGAAGCTCGATAATGTTCTTCTCTCGAGAACGACGCAGGATGTTGCCTTTGGAAAACGTGATAGGCTTTTCGATCCCGTTCCGAGCACTCGGCGAGTGAAGGATAGCCTGGCATGGAACTCATATCGATCGGAGTGTCATTTTTCCAGTGGAAACCCCGTACGCTTGGAGTGGAGGATTGGCTGGTGAAAGATGAGGAGGGTGGAGACAGGTTTCGTGAGTCTCCGGAAATAAAAGGCCATGTTGACGCTTTCGTCGACGTGCGAGTGCTGTCGATAGAGATGGCAGAGTCGGGTGGCGATGATGATGATTGGGCTTCTTTGAGGATTATGCCGGCTCTCTCGAGGGCTTTGATACCGAACGGATCGTCGAAATCGTTGCCATCTTTGGCACTTGAGCTGTTTGCTGAGATCATGCTGCTGGCGAGGATTTTGGCGTCTGGACCTGATGGATCGGCAGCAGCCCTCCATCTAGCCATTTGACAGAAGGCAGGTGGATTTGCGGGAAGCATTTTGGAGATTTGATTGATCTGGTTGTACGTTCCGTGCATCATGGCAGTCTTTCTGTGAAAGTCGCTTCGTGTTGTATGACTCTAAAAACAGATATTGCAGGGAGAAGATGTGACCTTTATATGGAGTGACCATCTTGTCCTCCGTCGCGATGTGGAGCTAGCTGTACATGCGAGTGATCAAAAATGTCCTCTTGTCCTCAGTCAAATTCGGAGGTCACAGAATCGCCTCCTCCACAACCACCCTTCTGGGCCGCGAGGGGGGCTCCTCGGTCGCTATAAGTGCCGGCTTTGTTTAGAGAGAGAGAGAGGGAGGGAGGGAGGGAGGGAGTGTGTGTGTGTGCAGGCTTGGCATGTGAAAGCGCCATTTAGAATTTCCGTGACCGCGATTTAGAAAAACCGGAATCAATGTCGCCAGTCGAAATATAAGCTTTATCACAGAAGTTTTCAAGGTCGGATAAGGCTGAATATGGGAAATGATGATTGGTCGCAAGCAGGGGGTATTTTGAAGCACGTATACAAAGCGAAATGATTAGTAGCTGTCCTGGCGCCACTGGCCTCGCACCTTTTTGTATGTGTCGGCATCCTGCTTTCCACCGAGCGCCTCCAGACCAAGACCTCGCTCGATCCACTCTTGACTGCCCATCTCAGTCAAGCGAGACAAGGCGCGAGCAAAGGCAAAGGCCTCCTCATCACCGGTAAAATAGCTGCTCTTCTTCAAGGAGTCCATGTTCATGCCGAGATCATCCATCATCATGCGCATCGCGTCGTCCACGTCGCTGCCTTGCTTTGTCTTTTTCGCCGCCTTGGCAGCGTCGGTAGATGTAGATGCCTCCTCGATCACGTCGTCAATCTCGTTTCGCGACATGAACAATTGGGTGAGGGGGACGGCAGTGGTCAAGACCAACTTCGCACGCGATTCGTAGACGGCATCGAGGAAGGTGATGAAGCGGCGGGCGAGATCTCGAGATCGATAGTTCATGCCAGGCACATCCGTCACCACAAAGGCATCGTAATGCCGCACCAGCTCGAGATAGTCGGCAGCACCGGTGGCAGAGCCGATGAGCTCGTTGAATGTGAAGCAGCAAGCTTTGCCCGAGGCCTTTGGCACGGTGATGTCTCGACCCCACACGTGCTGCACATCAGGATGGGGCGGATCGTGGGCGAAATCACCGAGGAACTTGAACCAATTTTCGGCGTGTCGCTTCGCAGCCGGGTCCAGGGGATGGTGGTAGACGCCGGACGGCGGACGCGGGATTTTGCGATAGTCGGTGGTGGAATCCAGATTCAGCACGCGCAGCTGCTCCTGGAGCAGGGCGATGCACGGGAGGAAGGATTCGCGCTGGATGCCATTCTTGTACAGCTCTTTCGGATGGCGGTTCGACGTGGTGACCAGCACGGTGCCATGCGCCATCAGGCTCTCGATCAGGCGGCGCAGGATCATGGCATCGGCCACATCTGTACACTGGAATTCATCGAAGCACAACACGCACGCCTGCGCCGCTATGTCGGCCGCCACGAAGGGGATGCAGTCCATGTCGTTGCCGTGCTGCATCTTCATGTGATGCAGCTGCTTGTGCACGTCCTGCATGAAGTTGTGGAAGTGGATGCGTGTCTTGTGCGTGATGTTGCTGGGGAGGGTGTCGTAGAAGAGATCCATCATCATCGTCTTGCCGCTGCCCACGTCTCCATACATGTACACGCCTTTCGGCAACTCACGCCGTGGCTTCATGTCTCGCACGCCTCCATCGCTCTCGCTCCTGCTCCTGCTCCTGCTCCTGCTCTTGCCCAGCAGTGATCCGAGGAACGATTTCTTCGTCGGCGTCAACGAAGCGATGGTCGGCTTGACGACTTTCGGACGACGGTAGGTGCTCAAGGCATCGTGGAGATCTTGCAGAGCCTGGATGATAGTCCTCTGGTGCTCGTCGTCCCGGAGCCGCCCCGATTCCACTCTGCGATCGTATTCTGCAATCGGCCCATGCGAACTCTGCTTGACCTCGGACACACTGGCCATATACCGTCTTGAAATGCTCACGCCCATGCTCTTTCTCCCTCCCGCCGCCCGACTCGCACGCCCGAACGAAGTAGCCGTCGCTGTCTTGGGAGCCATTCCGCTCTCGCCATCATGTCTGCTTCGCCTCGCTAGGCATTCGGAACATACTGCCCTTCGCTGTGCTCGCACTCGCACTGCACCCGACCGGGAGGCAGCTCTGACAAGACTCTGCAGTGCTTTGACTGCCTCGGCCGACGCCATACTCGCTCCGAAGAATCATGTACGCAATACAGCACAGCTCTCCCTGTTCCTAGCTGTGTTGAACGCAAAGCAAAGCTTCCGAGAGAAGGGGCCCCCCGCAGTCGGAAAGTGGTACGTGTTGGTCGGTATTATGATACTATTATCCCATGGCAGGAAGCGTGACGAATAAGACGGCCCGTTACTCTCTGTAATTGACTCCCTACTCGATATCGATATACACTCGAGCCCGCCGTTGCGCACGCCTTCGACTGATAGATACAGCTCTCTACTCGAGCCTACTGCCGAACATATACCTGTTCCTAGCCATCGTAAACGTATGCCTGTTTCTGGGCATCGTAAACGTATTCCATGCATGGTCCTAGGCATGGCAAACGTACACCTGCCCCTCGGTATCGCAAACTTATCTTATGCCCATTTCTAGGCATCGCAAGCGTACCATCGTCGCATCTTTAGAGATACGGCCTGCGACTACAGACTGCCGAGCTCCTCTACCTGGAGAAAGAATGATAGTATTCGCCAAATGTCTTATAAAGGTACTTAGGTCCTCTATAGCAACGAAGCAGTATCATCTCTACTACTATAGCGACTCGAACCAAGCATTAGCTAATAGTCTACGATGCATACACGTTGGTCTATTATTCTATTCTTTTTAAGTTCGAATGTATTCGCAGCACCAAAGGCGCCGACTGTTAAAGCCGACGCTCTTAGCGACCAACCGACTTGCGGTTATCCAGGCTTTGGTGGAGGCTCCGGTGTATGCTACACGTTCTAACCCTGGTTGAGTCTTCTGTCTAATTGCTCTAGGCGAGCAACTGCGCTAAAGCAGATGCAGACCAGTGCCATGACCTAATCAATGACACTGAATATAATGACGTACGCCACCCTACTCTATTAAGACTCCTCGATCTAATCTAACATCTGGGTAGTGCATCATTCTCACTGGTTATACACATTCTTGGCAGGCATGGGTGTGAGCCTCAGCAGTACTTACAATCCGTTGTTAGGACACTGATAAGCAGTAGTGAAGACAACGGGATAGTCTGTGACTGTTACTACTGGTAAATCGGGGAAGATAGCGAGCCTTAGCGAAGCGTCTGAGGGCAATTGGGGATGCGGTTGGCTGGGTGGAATTTGGCTTCACCAATTTACAAACATACATATGACAACCCCAATCTCGTCTGTAATGTCCCGCGGGATTCATCCTTCACCCATGCCAATATATGCATTTCCAATGCCTGCCATCCTGGCCACTTTCCTTTTCATCGCACTGTCATCTGCTTTGATCTTTCGGTCATCGCTGACGCGAGCGAGCTGCCAAAGCAACGCCTCGCGACCGACTGGCGAGTGGCAGAATGACGATACTCCACCGGAGTCTCGACATGCTCATTGCCTGTCTTCGCGCGAGAATTCTCCCTCACTTGCGTGCCTGAACGTGCCAGATTCCACTATATCGGATTCGGCATGCAGTGGCCAGCAATCAACGGTCAGCCGGTAACTGCAGAGGTTCTGCAGCCAAGCTACTCGACCATGAATAAGACGCTATTCTTCTCTTCCTATGATGTCGTTGAGCTGCTAAGACCTGGACCGATTGTCCTGCCTGGTTGTTGAACTTGGAAAAGGTGTTTACACCGCCGATGTGGGACTTGGTGGTCGATATGCCAAATTCAAGGCAGCTGGTGCCCCAGTGCCACTCAAGCTCATTGCCCAGCTGGAAGTGACTTGCTCCGATGGCCAAGACTTTACGATCATCTCGGATGAGACATGGCTGACTACGACCGAGGGTCCGCTACTAGAAGCGTCATGGTACGGTGGTGAAGAATATGACGCTCGGCAGAACATTGACCCTCAATACTTGCCGCAGGGAGATCGCAGCGAGTGGCAGCTAGCGAATCTCACGGATGAACCACACGCCGAAAGAACAGGACTTCACTGCTCTGAGAATCCGCGTCAGCGCTGGCAGAGTCGGCAGTACAGACACGAGTGTCGGGTTGCTCAACAACATTCACAGAATGTCAGACCAGAGCATTCAGAACCAGATGTACTCCGTCATGACGGACTGCCCGCATCGCGAGAAAATGGGCTGGCTGGAGCAGCTGCATATCGCGATCGATCCGATCTTCTTTGGATATGACCTTCGAGCCTACGGCAGACATTTAATGAAGCAGATTGTAGATGCGCAGAATGAGCAAGGCAATGTACCCACCACTGCTCCTCAGCTCACCGTGTTTGGTCTGTATTCACCTTACAATTTTGACTTGGCTCCAAACTGGGGCGTGTCTATCATCCTCTTCGCATGGAAGCACTACGTCACTTACGGAGACCTTGAGATTCTTTCCGCTCATTGATATAGGCGCTGTCAATCCAGAAGATGTGGAAGCAGTCTATCGCCATCTCATCCGATCAATCAGGGACAATGGCACTCACTGGACTGTCGGCGAAGTCGGCCTAGGGCCTCTCTTCCGAGCCTTGACACTACCTCACGCCTACGACTATCTGCTGAACGAATTGATGGCAAAGACCGATTACCCCAGCTACGGCTATTTCTTGGAGCAAGGAGCCACGACTTTACCCGAACATTGGGAGGGGTATGATGGCAACGGCAGTCTTGATCATATCATCTTCGACTGCGGCGATACTTGGATCTATGGCCTGGCTGGGATGAAGCAATCTCAAACCTCGATCGGTTGGCGAAGCATAGATTTTGAGCCCATCTGTGTTCCGAATGTCACTTTCGCCTCGACGGAGTATCTCTCAGTGCGTGGGAGAGCTGCTGCGAAGTGGGAGAGGCAAGAGAAGCTGTTCGTCTATAATGTCACTGCGCCGGCTGGTAGCACCGGTTCTGTATCTTTGTCAGCGCCGCTTAGGAGTATCAAGCTTGATGGAGGTGACGTTGAGGGTCAGCTCGGTGTTCATCATGCGAAGCAGGTCGGTGACAAAACTACGATCACCATTGGTTCTGGTTCTTACTTCTTCGGCATAACTCGAAAGGATATGTCCTTCTGCGGGACTTAGGGCCTGCGCATGTGCCAATGCTTTTCGCTCGCTTGTTTCAGCGGATGCACGAATTTCTTGAGCGCATACTGATCGCTGTAGCCGAATCACAAAGGGGCAGAAAGTATACCGGCAACGGTCGTCTCGCTGAAAAACGCTTCGCATTTCGACTGTTCGCATAGTCAACTCAGCGTTCCTCCCCGTGATCGCTGATTCAACCATTCTGCAAAAATGGATGTATCTCAACCGGACAGACAACGCCGTACCGAAATATATCAGCCGTCGCACCCATGCACCGTTCTGTTCCAAGGAGACGACGACACCCATCAAGTGGCTTCTGTGGGTCAAGCTGAGACTGATAGAAGGTTTCCCGATACGCAACACAGGCTCAAAGGACGAGTTGCACATCAAGTACACGCGTGCTGAAATCGAGACCAACTTGGCGCCTAAACACTATCGTGGAGCACGGATCCCTTGCAAGAACCAGAAGGGAGCATTTGATGGCCGTGAACGGCTTCTAGGAGAAAGGCAGAGAGCCGCTACTCATTAATTGATTCGGGTCTCAAATGAGGGTGAGGGCTCATACCGACTTGGTCGTCTGCAAAAGGGCGAAAGAGCTTATATATTCCAGATCTACCTCCACACAGTCCCTCGAAGCTCGGTACCTGAGGCACTGATCCTCGCTTGCGAGGGCCTGACGACAAGCTGGGCAAAACGACTACTTCCTACCACGAGTATATTGCGTACGCCAATATATATTAATACTATGCTTAGGCGGCGTAGAATGGCCATTTTGGAATCATTCTGTCTATTTAGAATATTTATGCGACGTTATGTTATAAAGATATAGTCGATGCCCGAAGCCGACTCTAGCTTCTAGCTAGGAAAACCGTATATACCTAGGATCCATTAACAACTAACAATACCGTAAAAATATAGCATTAGTATAAGCTTGTAGCGCGTCTAATTTCAAGTAGGAAATATATAAGGTAGCAGCGTATAAAGTATAGTACTAAAGGATAATCGCTAATTAGTAGAGGTTACTCTTAAAGCCGGCTTTAGCACTAAAACTAGTACTAAAACATCAAATCCCTAACTACTACTAATATTCCCGATATGTATATAAGCTTATAGCTATTACAAAGGCGACTAGGGAATATATAAAGTGTTTATATATGCCGTATCGTATTCTAAAGATATACTTAACCTATAGAGGAAGTCTTTATCTAGTCGACTATTATATAAACAGCGCTCTAATATAGGGCGCCGTATCGTATATGCGTCTATCTCTTAAAGCGTATTATAGGCGTTTAAGTCGAGCTCTTTTGTTGTCGCTATAGTAGGCAAATATCTAAGCCTATTTTAGTTAAGTAGGTCTATTTCTATATAACACAAAGCACTAACGCCGCCTCCGGCAAGCAGCGCGCTTTCTAGCTCTAGTTAAAAGACTTCCTCTTCCGCCGCCTTTTCTCTCTAAATTCGAGCGATCTATATAACTATACCTTAATTGCCGCCGCCGCTGCTATATCCTCTAGCGACGAAGAAATAGGCGAAGCCGCCTTGCCCGAGCGTCCTAAAGATAAAGAGATAGGAGATAGCGACGACCTCGAGTAATAGATTAATATTATATCGAAAGGTATATAGCTTACGTCGATAGTAGACGATGTCTTTAACGATACTAAAGGTCGAGAAGCTTTATAGAACGATATAGAAATTATAAGACGCGAGCGCCTTATAGCTATTATAGTAGAGGCCGCTCGCGCTAGCCTAGTTAGTAATCTAGCTAAACCGGTAGTCGAGGAGTAGCAAGAGGAAGAGATTAATAATATCGATAAAGATAATATCGATACTAAATTAAGTAATAAAAAAGAGGAAACCGACGAGGAGAATACGAACGCTAATCCTACCTACGAGCGCCGGTACTAAGCAAAGGTAGATAATACAGATAATGTAGATAATGTAGATAATGCAGATAATGTAGATAATGTAGATAAAGAAGATAAAGATATAATCGAAGATAAGAAGACTAGGGCAAAGCGCCTCGACCGCGAGAAGCGTATGCCTATAGAAGAGTTTAATAAGGCGATAGAAGAACTCGAGCGTCTTTAGATCGGTCTAATTAAGCTTATCTAGCGATAGGTAGGACAACTAGGTATATAAACCTATCGCCGCCGACTTAAGTATATTATAGATACATTCTCGGACGAGAAGCTTACTAATAGGCGACTTATATATAGGCAGCTAAAGCAACTAGTTAGTACGCCGTTCTTCGACTAGTACGATTCTAAGGATAGTATAACCGAGTTCGATTTAGCTACGATCGACGCCTAGATTAAAACTACGGCGCTATTATAGTACGACATGCTACGGAACGAGCTACTACCTAATAAGAAGGCTAATAAGGGTATATACGTTTTCGAAGACTCGCGTAAAATAATGCGAAAGCGTATTACCGTACTAATAGGTATCGTAGTTCGTTCGATCGCGTCGACTAATGCCTCTCGCCTTTATAAGGCCCTTAGTATATATCTAGTAGCTAGTAGTTGCCCTCGCTATATACTCGAGGTCCTTAATAATATAGGCATCGTATCTTCGTATAAAACTATTTAGCGTATTATAGCAGAGAATGCTAAAGCGCAGATAGAGGCAATCCGGACGCTTAAATAGGATCTAGATAACAGTTAATAGTATATATACTAGGACAACTTCAATCGCTAACGTAGAATACACGAGTAGACTACTAGCGATACTAGAACCTTTAATAGCTTTACTACCTCTTATATCGCCCGCAATCTATATATCCTAAAAGGTAGCCTAAAGTAGAGCATATTACGGTACGATGTCCTTCTCGACCCGAGCGACATTATTAATAACATCGTAAACAACTAATATAGTCGATAGATCGCTACCTATTTTATAGACTAGGCGCTCGGTAAGCTCCTCGGTATAGAGATCGATTAGTATATAAAGAACTAGTCTTCGTCTACTAAATTTATTTATCTAACATTTCTAAAGATTAAGCCTCTAAAGATAGATCCTCCGAAGGTATACTCGATACTACTATCTATATACGATAAGGCGACGATTAAGGGTATATACGGTGTTATAGACGACCTCTTCCTTAATTTTATAGGCCTTAATCGCGATAGCGACTTCTTTAAGGAGCGGCTAGTTATCTCCGTCGGGGATAATATAACTAATATATATAATCGAAGCACTTAATTCGAGAGTGTTAAGAGCAAGAACGCGTACGATACTCGTAGATTTATCCTTGCCTCGCTAGCATAGTTCTATACCTTTATAAATATCCTCTACGGCCTACTAAAGACTTACTAGAATACTAATAAGGATAGAGAGCTACTTAATTATTGTTTCTAAGAAGATGCGCGCTTCCTAAATCTAAAGTATCTTAGCAACGAGAAGCCTAAGTTCTTCCTTATATAGGGACTAGTAGAAACTAGTTTCGATAGCCGCATTGTCGTAGTATTCGCCTAAATACTAATCGACGAAGGCAAGATGCTATCTATTCGAGGAGATAAGAATCGTCTTAATGCGATAAAGAGGGCTATTAAAGACCTAAGAGCGGTTAAATATATCGATATCCTATTAAAGATATATAAGAAGCTGTTTACGGTTAACGCCTAGCGCGGCGTAGCGACTCTAGCACTAGTGCTAACTCCTACGAGTACTAGCGGCGCTCGTGCTTCTATAGGTACTAGCGGTGCTCGTAGCAGCGCTCGTAGCAGCGCTCGTAGTAGCGCTCGTAGTAGCGCTCGTAGCGGCGCTCGTACTTCGACGGATACTAGCGCTCTAGGGCGCGATAAGTCCTTATCTAGTTCCTTAACAACACTGCCGGACTCGGCTAACCGCTTACCGCCTAACGCGCCGGATCCGGCCTTTACTACTATATATCGTATATTATAGATATGCATCCTCTTCTTTACTACTAAGAAAGTAGTACGTAAAGCGGATATTAGATATCTCTACTATATCGTCGATCTGCTTATTTAGCTATTCTTAAGTAATCGCTAAACTAACTATAGCCGTATGCTAGTCTATCTACGGTAGTTGTTAAGTAACGCGGCGGATAAAGTATTATAAGAGGCGATCCTTGCTTCCGGTATCGTAGTTAGGGATCGTAAGGGCTATGCTCTTGCCTCTAATAAACTAGTTAAGTTCTATAACTACGATTACTCTAAGGATATAAAGAAGTACTCTAATTCTACTTATAGTATCGACGCAACCTTCCGCAAGGTCGCCTTAAACTACGAAGCGTCTCGCGTAGCTAAGTAGATCTTCCGTACTAGTCTTAGTATTAAGAACAACAACACTTATAACCGCAAAGATACATCTGTTATAGTATTTAACCTAGCCGAGAAGATCTTAACCGAGGGATAGGCTAGCTAGTAGAGAAAGGCCGGTGCTCTTTCGGATAATATCGAGCAGCTTAGATACGACAAGCTTGCTACTACTATCGAGGAGCTAAACACTGCTAATCTCCGCCTATATAAGGGCCGTGCTAGCCCGCCACTTCGCTATAAACATAATAAGGATGCTGCTAAGCGCGAAGAGGGCGGAGGAGATCGTAGTCCTCTTGCCGCTACTAGCTAGAATAATAAGGTATAGGCGATTCGTAGGAGTAATAGCTTCTATAAGCTTATAGAAGGCAATCTCGAGGAAATAGACCTAACTAGGAATTAGGGTAGCAGTCTGTTTGTTAGGGCTAGCTTAGATAGCGAGATATAAGGCCGGAGCTAGCTAGGTAGAGGCAGTTAGTCCGATATAGGCTAAGATAGAGAGTTAAGTAGTAATAGTCGAGATTTAGACGGTATTGCAAAGGCTAGTTACTATATCTAAGACGTAATATTATACTGTCCTAGGTCTATGTCCTCCTAGGCCTTATAGCCTTAGGCACGGTTATATGCTAGCGGAGATAGTCGCCGCTCTTGCCTCGAAAGTGCGATAATAGATAGCCGTTATTATTACCTTGCTATTGTCGTACTGCTATTAGTAGAGGCAAA